TCAACCAAAGGGAGAAAAGTGACACTTGTCCACACAATGAAACGCTGTAAAATTAATATTTATAGATGTAAATACTCAGTAAATTATATTCATCAAGATTAACACTTCAAATCATGAAAAAATGTGCCTCCCTAGAAATATACTCTTCAAAAAAAGAAACACATAGTAGAATTTTAGAGACACATTGAACATAAAGATTATTTAGTTAAATGATGTATTGATAAAACAGAAATGTGGTTAACAACAGGAATACTATTTAAATGCCATAATTACTCAAGAATTTTAAAATCATTGTCAGTTTAAGGTCATTTAAGATCAATATCTGGTATGCTTCCCGCAGACACAAATGATAGCCACCAACGGCATCTAATGGAAGCAAATGTGTGTAATAAAACTGTATAGGAATACTTTGCCACTCCAAATGTAGAGCTTTGGTCAGCTGTTGCAGAGTCTGGGGATGCAATTGTCTTTGGCAAATCATGTCAATCCATTTTGTCCAATGCTGCTTAATTTGGTTTAAATCTGGCGATTTAGATGACTGTGGCAGAAACAGGTTGCTGTTGCTTTGCAAGAATGGGAGTGGCAAACGAGTCGTATGTGACTGTGTATTGTGATATTGAAATAAGGCTCTAGGATGCTGCAAAATTGAATAGGCATGTGTAGGTAGAACATGGTTAGAGTACCTTCTTCCATCAAAGTCCTTTGAAATCGAATCAAATCATATACTACCATTTTCCATATCATTACACTACCACCATCAACTTTTTTAACGTCATGGAGGCAGTTATCTGTCTAACGTTCATTACAAAGCATAAGCTCTCTAAAACTTATAAGAGGATTTCCAGTAAACATTCTGGACTAGTAGCTGAACCAAAATGTTCAGCAGTGATGCTGTGGTCACACTCAATTGATCTGATATCTTTGAAGTCGATATTAGGGATGTTGTAGGGTCGGAACAATGGCATGAATAATCATCTTGCAATAACTCGTAGTCAATTGAAACTGTCTTGTTAGATGATCTGTGCATTTCAGGGATAACTAATGCTTTAGATGACGTCATTGTGTTACATTCATGCAATTAACGTAATCCTCTGAAGTGATGCTGTGCTGCTGATGTCACACGTAGTCTTCCATATTTTTTGCGAACATTGGATGTTCAATGTTAATGGTTTATGTTTTATGGATTAGATATGGCGCTGTACGTAACATTAAAACCTCTTGCAATTGTAGGCTGCGGTACCCCTGCTTCCAATCGCCCATTTCCTTTTTGTGCTATGCAGCATTCAGGTGTAGCATTTTTAGAAAGCGTCAATTTTCAGATAAAACCAGATTCAAAATATCAAGAACCCCCGCTTTTGATAGCCCCTTTGTACCTGAATGAATTGCATCCGAAACCAACAAATGAAAATTGAGATAAAAAATGTTGGGGGAATTTTGCAAAATCAGGTCTTTTGTCTGCGAGACTTGTAGAGTAGCTGTAAAGTTAACAATTGCATTAAAAAAAATCACGCATTTCACTCGAATGCACCATATCCATCTAAAAATAAGGTATGGCAAAACTATCATACATTTTTCAGGGTATTGTTCCTACTATGCGTTTCTTTTTTTTGAAGAGTTTATGATTTAACTGCTAGTATACAAAATTCTTAGGCTCATCAATTTAAAAAAAAATACACTCACTTGTTCAAGACAAAATGTACATACCATTTTTGACATTGCTAAGAATATGGTCCGTATCTTTCAGGATAAATAATAATTCTGGTACCAACTGCCAATTATTTAACCTTTTTTTCCAGGTGCCCGTGTTCACGGGGTATTGGATAACCTGTCACACTTGTGAAATTTTGGCTTATATAGTGTTGATTAAACACTTAAGTTATTCTTATTGTACCCGCATTAATGAGAAAAAGTCACCAAGAAGCACGACTACTCTGAAGAAATTAATTATAAGATGATCTTTTTAAATAATCGTGGCTATATCGTTTATATAAAAAGCAGGTAAAATCATATTTTTCTATTTAACGCTTCATATGTGGATTTAGTTACCCGTTCTGATGAAAAAATCACCAACAAGCCATGTCCTCTCACCGAAGAATAAATTATTCCAGTATGGTGAAAAAAAAAACAATTATTGTAGACATTTGTAATTATGTGAAATTTGACTACGGATCATTTTGTCTACTTGATCAATACATAAGCCTCACAGTGGTTGTGACCGGTCAATAGGGGATGTTCACTCCTCCTGGCCACCTGATCCCGCCGCTGGAATATTACCAGGGTCCATATTATATGCCCTGTTCACATGCCCTAATTGTTTCGTATACGGGGTACCCCCTACTTAAATTTTACCACGTTGTAAAAATAAGTAGGGAAGAATTTGTGTTTTTTCAATTATTGACAATTTGTATCTACACCTTTTACATGAGTATGACGTAGAGATATACCATTACATTATAATGTGTCATCCAGTTTTGGTAGTATGGAACTGTGAGAGGGTTTGGCTGTTTCTGCAATGTATATATTTTTTGTATTTCTAAGTGTCAATATATACAGCTTATTGAATAATATACATGTGGAATATTGACTGGCACTGATTAAACACTCTCCGTATTATTAAAGTTACCAACAATCCACAATCTCTCGCTAAGGGATAATTATTTCAGCGAGAAGAAAAACAGTTACACAAACAGACATTTCTGAAATGACACGTAAACTTATTGCTTCTTCTTCATGATTATGATCCCCAGAATAAGTATTTTCGTGATTCAGAGTTTTTAAGCTCATTTGGAGATCTTAAGGTTCTCTAGATGGTCATCTTGTTTTTTTTTTTAACCTTTATAAACGCAAGATTTTTATTTTTGGATGAGCTAATTATTTTTGATATAATTATATAGGGAAAAAATAATAATAATATGGGGTACCCTATGGCTTTCTATACGTATCATTTGGTTTGTATCCGATTTCCTCACTTAAAAGTATTAACAGCAGTGAAGGCATCGTCGCAAACCACGGCCAAAATGTACGATTCCCTCCCAGGAAAGGGCTATATATGCGGACTCCGGACCGTGATTTTAGACGATGCAGTGAAGGAGAAACTGTCCAACAAATGTTTGAGAAGTACTGAAAATCGGGTGTGGATACTTTAAAACTCCAAGGAAATTCTAAAATATTTATATATGACTCCATACCTTATTACCGTATGTATGGGGTTATTTTCTTTTTATATCAGAAAATAAGCAAGGTGCTTGTGACTAAATTGTCCAATTTTTGTTTTCCCGTAATGACAAGGAACACACGGCGAGTTTGACCAGTCGACAGGGGGATGCTCTCTCCTCCATGACACCTGATCCCACCTCGATTTAAGTCCCGTGGTATCCCAGGGGTCCGTGTTTTGTTGATCTTTTAAGATCGACTACTGTTCTTTATATTCACATTTCTCATTTGCAAATAAATAATTTTTATCTCCCACGGTATATCGAAACTGTGGCAGAAGTTTTACTAGTATTTTTTTTAAAAATTACTTCTTAAATAAAAATGATGTCAAAAAAATGTTAAGAGAAGGTATTTAAAAAATATATGTTTTTGTTCGTATTTAGTAAGGAAAAGTGTCTAAAACTATTTTTTTGATCTTCATGCACTATGCTCACTGGATGTGCAAACACGCACATTTAAAATACGTTTAAAAATACTAGTATTCGTTTTTCAAGTATATCAAGAAAAGACGAAAGAGTTACATTATTGATAACATATAGTGCATATTAGAACAGAACAAGCAAAGAATTGTGGTCCCCCGCTTTCGGTGTCTTTGTGGGTGGGATGTCATTTTTTTATAACGTATTGTGTCAAATCTTGTCAAAGGTAATGCACATGTCAGATATGAAAGCCCTTTCTCTTCTCAATCAAAAGTTATAAGGAAGTGAACCTGAAGGCCCCGTATGACAAAATAGATTAATATATATATTGGTAGTTTCTTAAGAAAAGTCTTGCCACAAGTATTACATACGTGAAGTATGAAAGCCCTGGCCCGAACTGTTCAAAAGTTATGGCCAAGATTAAAGTTTTTTTTTTTAAAAAGTAGGTCAAACTCCAAGGTCAAGGTCAAAGGGTCAAAGTTCTTGGTATCCAATGAAAGGTCTCCTCACAGTGATTACATATGTGAAGTATGAAAGCCCTAGCCCTTACCATTCAAAAGTTATGGCCAAGGTTAAAGTTTTTTCATAAGTATGGAAATCTCCAAGGTCAAGGTCAAAAGGTCAAAGTTGTTGGTATTCATTGAGAGGTCTTGCCACAAAGAATAGATATGCGAAATATGAAAGCCCTAGTATCTACCGTTCAAAAGTTATGGCCAAAGTAAAAGTTTGGAATTTTTGTGTAAAAGTAGGTCAAACTCCAAGGTCAAGTCAAAAGGTCAAATTTGGTGGTACCCAAAGAAAGGTCTTGTCACTAGGAATACACATGTGAAATATGAAAGTCATAGCTCCACTAAATCAAAAGTTATAAGCAAGGTTAAAGTTTTTGTGACGGACAGACAGACAGACTGACTGACAGACTGACAGACGAATGAGATTTAATGTCCCCTCGCTTTCGCGAAAGCGAGGGACAAAAATAGGAAAAAGGTGAGAAAAAAATGGAAAGGGGGGTCAATACCCCAAGTGCCCGTGCTCTATAGCTGCAAATACGAAAAAAAATCAATTTGATGTATTTCGCTTTTTAAGTAATCCAATATTTTTTTAACAGAAGAAGCATATGTTAACAGCTTGTACATCATCCTAAAGACCAAAAGTCAATTTAGAAATGTCAGACAATAGTCTGGGCTCTCTTCTCTTGTTTGCTGACAGACTGATTTAAGTGCTTTAATAAAGCACAGAAGGATTTAGCACCAAGGGATTTCTTCTGAAACTTTTGTCTCTTTTTTGCAAGGGTTATATAGCATTGATTTTAAATCGATCTTAAATCAAACGTTGTCTTTTCAGATATTTTTCTGATAAATGAAATTTAAAAGAACTTTAAATTGGTGAATTTAATCCATTCCTCATATAATTTTTAGCGTTACTCGTGAGGATGGTGTTGTCGAGACTTTTTACTTGTGTTGCTATTCTGCTGATAATGAATAATCCGAGTGTAAAGTCGTTACTTGTAGAGCAGGCGGTCATAAAAAAGAACATCCCGCCAGGCAATGCTTGCTCTAAGCTTCAAAATATGCCCGGGAATGCCGAATGCTTCATACTTTGCTTGACAGAAATGTCGAACTTGCACGCTTTCAGTCGCCGAGTGGACACCGGAGAATGCCGATTTTGTAAGACTCCTGAACAAACCTCATCTGCTCCCATAGATAACTCTACCTGGGAGACCTTTTATCCAGGTGTGTCAAAATATTAAAAAAAAACAAAACAGTTTTGATATGTTTTTCAAGATGTGGTACTTATGATTTCTGCTTTGTTTTTAAATATCAAATTTTATAATAACAATAGTTTTATGGATTTCCCAAGGTATGTGTGGAGATGGTTTTACTTATACGGTGTACAAGGACGAGCCACTTTGTCTCTCTTATATCGTAAGTAAAGTGGATAAAGTAGATGCAAAGCAACATTGTATGAGCCATTCCAGTGATTTAGTATCCATTGGGTCCACGGAGAAACAGAAGATGGTCGTGGGTTTTATTGGTTTGTAGTTTATTTCATTACATCTAAACAAGTCAACTGAGCTGAAAAATGAAGATGTGAATCAATGTTCAAATATTTTAATTGGTGTTTTGCAATCAATTAATTTTTCTCTTTCTTTTGATTTTGATGAACGGTGTTGTCATGTTACTAAAAATAGAAATTTCTGTGAAATTCCTTTAAAACGCTACTCCTCCAATAGTTTGGGTCTGATTTCAATATAACTTGGCACACAAGAAGCCTACACTAAGATGCATAATTTTATTTATTGCTGCCTGTTGCAAAGTTCAAATCCAAGTGCTACTATTCTTTGTTACAGACCAGTAGAGCTACAGTCTCATCATTCATCAGAGATTTCTGGTTGTTTAACTCGAATGTCAACTTCCTGCTTATCCGCGCGTCTGTCGATCTGTACCATTCATAAATTTTCGTTGCGGTTTTCTCAGCAACTACTCATTAAGGATATTTGAAATTTTACCATAGATCTGTCCTTAGCTGAGGCATGTCATGTGATATTCATTTTTGTTCAAATCCACTGTCAACTTCTATCTGTATGTCTGTCCGTACCATACATAACAATTTTTTCGCAGTTTTTTCAGCAATTTCTCATTGCAGATGCTTGAAATCTTAGCACATACTGTAGTAGTACTTTGTTGAAGCATGCCATATGGTTGGATTTTTTGAAATATGAATCTGAGGTCAACTTCCTATTTATCTGTGCATCTGCCCGTCACTAAACTTATGCATATTAACATGATAGTGTATATTCACATCAGAGTGGGGGCATTACTAGTGAGCATTGGCTTACACAGACTTCTTGTTATAAAATATACATGTATATTAATCACTGTTGGATCGTTATCTTCACCTTCTCATTGCGTACTGCTCCAGCTTTAATATGAAACCTGAAAAATGTACATTTAAAACAGATTTTATTTTTGAAGAATATTTAATACAATTTTTAATAGATTCAAGAATCTATGTAAATATGATTTTTAAAATTTTATCTGATCTTTAACCCCCCCCCCCCCCCCCCCCAATCGAGTGTCAAGTTCAACAAAGAAATCATTCAATTTATTGACCAGTATATTACTTTCAACAATAAAAATAAATTATTTTGAAAAATGTTGAAAATTTATTATTCAAGTTCTAATATAACATAGACTGAATTCAACAGCTGAAAGTGTCCGGTAAAATTCCAAGTATAACCCGTTTCAATTTTCTTTTAGCTTTTTGTGAACAGGGTAAATATACTAGTAAATGCATAAACGTACATTAACAAATCTCATTCTTTTCTTCTAGGAGGCACAAGTATTCTAGACATTTGGTTTGAGGGGAATACAGCTGCTGGGTTATTGCCCTTTGTCTGCGAAGCACCTCCAGTGTTCACAACATGGAGAAAATAAAATACGGTGTTCTTGGATTGTTGTTGATGCTGCTGAGTTTGAACTCGTCTTGGTGTTCGTATTCTGTGTTACTTGGAAGAATGATTTATCAATATATGTATTTATCATTGAATTTTGTAGTAAAAGGTAAAACAAGTAACTGTAGATGATAATGTCAGTCTCTGTTATAAGTTGTTTTATCATTTAGATGTCACACACACTGCAGATTGCTGTCATACAATAGACTGAATTTCAACATCCTTTAAAAGCAAAAACTACTTGTAAATAAAAAAAATTCTTGCCCGCATCGTAGCTTTTTGTATACTTTTAAGTTTAATCTAAGACAGACCTCCCTTAGTTCTTGGGGAAAAATGTGACAAGAAAAGGAAAAAATGTCCAGTTATGCAAATCCCAAGTTTTTTCATGCTTAGCTTCCGAGTGCGCCTTGGTTAGGGACACCCTATATCAGAAAAAAACTAAAATCAGGATACCTAAAATTAATTATGCTGGTCAAAATCTTTAAATTTTGTCAATTTCTTAAATAAGATGTCTACCTTATATGATATTATTTTGCTGAAGAGTATATCTTTCTACGAGAAAGAAAGATTAATGAAATTAATTCCTTTAAATGATGTCATTAATCTGAATAAATAAAAAGGCTCTGTGTGTGGGGTTTTTTTTTTAATTTATTACTTTTTTGCGAATAAGTAGGTAGGTTGTTTGAAAGATTAGTGCGATGTAGAGGGAATGTCAATGTAAGTGCCCCCTCTATAGGAGTACAGAAAACTCATTTTCATGCTTAAAATACATAAAAGAATAGGCAAGAGACGTTTTCCAGTGGAGGACTTTGTTATACAAACAAAATTAAACAAAGGATGACTGCACTTAACGCTGTGTTTTGGGTCTTTTTCGATCGCTTCTGTTGCTTTTAAATGTTAACTTCATTTCACTTTTATATATTTACTACAGAAGTATGTCCATTGACACCTAATTAAAATGTTAAAAATAATTTTAGACTGTAATACAATAATTAATTTCATGTTTTTGTCCTTTCGGTTTTTCGAATACAGAGAATTAACACTTATCTGCCCTTGATTAAACATTGTGTAAGTATAAGGGGAGGGGCTAACATCGTAAGAATGGATCTAAAATTAGACTGGATGCATAACAATGACGTTTTTTATGAAATACGAGATCTTTATTTTCCATCTTGCTATTTATTCTGTAATTACAAAGATTTAAAACGTATGAGCCCATCCATGTAAGTAAAAAATACTTTAAATCGATGGCTGACTATTCAACGTGTTCGAAAACAGTGTCTTAGTTATCACAGAACATGCTATCAATAAGTCACGTGACGATATCACGTGGTGAATTATAATATTCAACGTGTCACAGCCCTTGGTTACAACAGGGAGAGCTGGTATAAGAAGAAGCAGTTTTTTTCTCTTTTTAACCATGAGCGCATGTTTGTCTATTAATCTCCTTTTAATACAACATTACTTATGCAAATATACGAGGGCCGTTCAAAAATTACGCGGATTTGTTGCACAGAAAAAATATTTGACCACATATAATCGAGCAAAATGTCACACATAATAAAAAAGAATCTTTACTTATATGGTTTTCAAAATTTCATATCAAAATGTTGTAAATTAGTATCAATTTTAAGTGATTTTTCATGACATATCTTTAAGTCACGGAGCAGCAAAATCTTCGACGTCACGGGCATTATAAAAAAATATGTGATTAAGCTTTCATTTTCTCAACATTTTCCCAAGAGTATCTGTACAGTTTGAGTTGCCTTATCTACTCAACATCCAAACACCATTTCCTGTCAAGCTTAAAATCTATTAAACAAGTAAATAATATTCTTTTTTGTTTTAAAACCAAAAACTGCAGGTATTTATGAGATATAGTGTGGTATTGGTGACTCTCAATCACGTTCTTTACAGTCCGGATAAAGTTTTTCGTCGATAATCTTCTTCCCGTCCTCCCGTATAGCCTTTTTACAGAGGTCTAACGGTCTAAAATTTCAATTTGCTATTTGTGGACGAATGTCACAAATACCCTAGTTTACTACATGTTATATTATGCATATTTTGGATCTATGTTGGCCATATCTCGAGCATAACATAATTTAACAAAAGTGTGTTGCGCCATCAATTCAGGAGACGTCATTTTCACAGTCGTTTTCACGGGAATCGCATCAGAGAAAAATCACTATATTTCTGTTAGTACTTCAAATATCACGTCAGAAATCTAAATGCATAATAATAGAACAATTTAAAGATACATTTGAGAAAATTGTCGAAAAATATCGCGAATTATAGAAAATTAATGAGTCAAATTTTGGATTCCGCATGCTTTTGCTTCAATTTTTTTGTCTTGCTCCGTACCTCTCCATCAGCGATATCAATATACCGATAATTTTAGTAGAATTACTTTAAAATACAGAAATTTGGGCCAAAATTCATTGGAATTTTTAAGATACATATTTCTGTGAAGTTTCATAACTACATGACGCCCGTAAGAGTAAATAATAGCACAGTCCGCGTAATTTTTGAACGGCCCTCGTACAGCTACTGTTAAAAGGAGAACAAACATGCGCTGACTATGTATAAAGTCAGTAAAGAAAGTGGGCCTCCTCATTATCGTACGAAGATAAAAGAAATGGTGTTGACCCCAACCTCATGAAACAGATTCCTACATTGTAAATACATACTTCTATTTATTGTAATTAAGTAAAGTTATAGATTAGATGTTGATCATTTCTGCAATTGAAAGAAAAATGTCTGTTTTGAAAATTTATTTTGACCCAAATTTCGCATATCCTTAAAGGTACTTGGACACAGATTTGAAGTTATCACGAATTATATATTTTAAAAGCATTTCACACAAAAATTAATGAAAAATCTTTTTTCATTTAAAAGTTATTAAAACTTCAAAGTTTTTGGCGGGTTTGATTGACACATCCTTGCACTTTCACAAATTTTAACTTTATTCTTAACCCTTCGGAAAAGTGGCAATCTTTTTGTGTATTAATGAGAAATATTAAAATTTTAATCCAGAAAAACAATTTTATTCAGAGTAGAAATGTTACAAAGCAAAATTCCTTCACATGTACCGTCATTCCGAACTAAGTCTTGTGTGCAAATCGATCACACTCGTGTTATGTACACAGTTTTTGTAAACAGGGCAAGAGCTCTGTTATTGTTGATTGTTAACGATTCACCGGGTGCGTTCAAACGTCAAAGTCTGCTCACCACAACTGCACGGACTGACAATATCTTGTGTGTTTGTTTTGCTTTCGAACATGTCTACTCTGATTTTTCTGGATTATAGTATTAATATTTTTCATTTATACACAACAAGATTGCCACTTTTTAATATTAAGAGTAAACTTAAAAAAAGTGCAAGGATATCATTTGCAAACCCGAGAAAAATTTGAAGTTTTAATAACTTTTAAACGAAGTAAGATTTTTTTTATTAATTTTTGTGTAAAATGCTACTAAAATATACTAGAGGTACTGTGAGCAATGAGCTCACTAAATAAAACCCCCTGCACCTCATATAAATATAATGGCAGAATCCATGTTTTGTTCTGGAAAATCCAAAATATATGTCAGATCAAAAAATAAAATAGGAGGTGCACAATGACAATATGTAATAAAGATTCTGTGAAAGTTTCATTAAATTTCCTTCAGTGGTATGAGAGGAGTTGCGGATAAGAGATGGGTACCCTTAAAAGCGTAACAGACGGACGGACGGACAGACGGAAGGACGGTGGAGTTTTTGTATATACACGGATATTCCGATCTACATATATACCCTCCCGCTTTTCAAGCGGAAAATTCATAATAATGCTTTTAATATTATACAGAAAAAATTACCTTCAAATCTGTGTCCAAGTACCGTTAAGTGCAGTCATCCTTTTAAAACTTGTACCCACAACAATCCAGTCGAAACTGACACAAGTAGACGGACTTTTCAGAATATGTCCTTTATTTAATGAAATCTTTGGGTGATGTACTCCAAAGTTTAATAGAATATTTTTTTTCTTCTTCATTAATGTGAATAATGTGAACCATTATATTCATTTACGCAAGTAAAGACGAATACAATACAATGTTATGTTCTTATTTCTACTATTAATTACTTTTTTCTCAAGTACGCAAATCTACAAGGTCAAGGTCAAAGGGTCAAAGTTCTTGGTTTCCGATGAAAGGTCTTTCAACAAATAATATATATGTGAAGTATAAATGCCATAGTATCTACTGTTCAAAAGACATGGCCAAAGTAAAAGTTTAAAATTTTCATGTAAAAGTGGGTCAAACTCCAAGGTCAAGATCAAAAGGTCAAATTTGGTGGTACGGTACCCAAAGAAAGGTCTTGTCACAAGAAATACACGTGTGAAATATGAAAGTCATGGCTCCACTAAATCAAAAGTTATGGGCAAGGTTAAAGTTTTTGCGGACAAACAGACAAACAGAAAGACAAACGGACAGAGAGGCAGACAGACAGACAGACAGACAGACAATTTATCATTGAGTCAAATGCTGAAACTTGACGTTTACGGGGGCATAAAAATGTGTCAAGATCAAGACATTAAAATTATTCTGGATAGAATATTAATTTAGTTGAACAAGCAAATTCAAAGAATTGTGGTCTCCCGCTTTCGGTGCCTTTGTGGATGGGATGTTATTTTTTATGACATATTGTGTCAAATCTTGCAACAGGTAATGCACATGTCAAATACGAAAGCCCTATCTCTTCTCGATCAAAAGTTATAAGGAAGTGAAACACGGATGACCTCGTATGGCAAAATAGCGAAGATTAAACTTTTCTTAAATGCAAATTAAATATAAAATATTAAATATAAATTAAATTTGGTACCAAAAGTAGGGTAATCTCAGAGGAAATACGATTTTGAAATATGAAAACCCTAGCACCACTTGTTCAAAAGTTATGGTCAAGGATACGTTTTTGAAAGGTAGGTCAAAATCAAAGGTCAAAGGGTAAAGTTTTTAGTTTCTTTAGTTAAGAAAGTTCTTGCCACAAGTATTACATGTAAATAGGTGAAGTATGAGAGCCCTTACCCGAACCGTTCAAAAGTTATAGCCAAGGTTAAAGTTTATAAAACTAGGTCAGACTCCAAGGTCAAAGGATCAAATTTTTTATATCCAATAAAAGGTCTTGCTACAAGTATTACATTTGTGAAGTATGAAAGCCCTTGCCCGAACCGTTCAAATGTTATGGCCAGGGTTAAAGTTTTTTAAAAAGTAAGTCAAACTCCAAGTACAAGGTCAAAGTTGTTGGTATCCAATGAAAGGTTTTCTCACAAGGATTACATTTGTGAAGTATGAAAGCCCTAGCCTTTACCGTTTAAAAGCTATGGCTTAGGTTAATTTTTTTACATTAGTACGGAAATCTTCAAGGTCAAAAGGTCAAAGTTGTTGGTATCTAATGAGAGCTTTTGTTACAAGGATTACATATTTGAAATATGAAAACCCTAGTTTTCATCGTTCAAAAGTTATGGCCGAAGTAAAAGTTTGGATTTTTTTAGTAAAAGTGGGTCAAACTCGAAAGACAAGGTCAAAAGGTCAAATTTGGTGGTACCCAATGAAAGGTCTTGTCACAAGGAATACACATGTGAAATATGAAAATCATAGCTCCACTAAATCAAAAGTTGTGAGCAAGGTTTTTCTGTGACGGACAGACTGACAGACGGACAAACGAATGAGATTTATATTGTCCCCTAGATTTCGCGAAAGCGGGGGACAAAAAGTTATATCTTTATGAGAAACTTTAAATTTTCAGAATATGAAAAATACTGGAAAGTATTTTGATATCATGATATAATTTATTTATTTTCCCAAGTTTATTTGCCCGGTTTCATACTCTTTTTCTTTTCTTTTTATTTTCCTTCACGATGGAGATTCCTTTTAATGAACAACATAAATAAGGTCGGAGCATTGTGTAAATAATCAGTTTGAAATCTTTGAAATGCAACGATTTACATGTATTTACTATAGAAAGAAAATGAATTGTAATAAGAACAAGTTGACTGAAATGAAATTAATAGGCCTATATTGAATATTAATTAAATATATTATACAGTCTGTATATGTGAAAACACATGTATCTATGAATAAAAGAAAAACATTTGTGAGAAAACGTGTACAGTTTTTTCGGAATAAAGCTAGGATTGCATTGTCTAAAACCTCACGAAACACTTTGCAGTCGAGTTAACAATTTAATTTGTTTACAAACATGGCGGGCAAAATTTGTACCGTCGAAACTTGTTCAACAGAGATAATTTAAGAAATGGATGAAAGAAAGCAATATTTCCCCCTTACAATATCATCCCTACAGAGAAAAACCGTATCTGTCGATGTTCATAAACCAGATGTTTCTCAAAAGTCACCATCGAAAGCAGAAATTTTACAAGACTTAAACGAACACTTGGCCGTTCATGCTGAGCGAATGCGGTTACTCAATCGTGCCGAAGAGGGGCTTGTCAGTGACAGCTTTAGTCCGTACTCAGGTCGTAATTCTAGTCCTGGAGAAAACAAGGAAGTGTATGTAATTTTAGTATTTTTCCCTGCAACAGTATTTCAGAAAATGTGTAGTTTTAGCTGGCAATGGCATGTGCCAGTTTATTTACACTGTGTAATGCCGGCATATTGTAGTAATCTAACTAATGAATGTCAGACACATCAGCCCAACAACTCCTAGGCCTATTGATGTCTACGCCCAATGACACATTGGCACAAAAAGGTCAGCCCAAGATTTAAGCTTGGTTGGCCCAGTTTATAAGACACCGCCGCGGCTCTGCCCAAGCAAAATGTAACACAATGAGTGTTTAAATTATAAGTTTAATTGATAAATTAATTTGTACAGTACATTTATCTATGTTTAGATATTGTGTTATGAATCATAATTGATACTATCAATGTGTAGACCGACGGTCAATAATATCTTTAGGGGGAGTGACCTGGGACCTATGTCCGAAAAGTCTTTGTGTGAAATTTTCAAAACTTTGATATTTCTCTCCTGGCCACTTGCTTTAAATTTTAAGGCATTAAAATAAATACCTTTATATGCTTATTTTACACAAGAGCACGTGCAAAAACAGTGTGAAATGCTAAAAAATAGATTATTTACAGACATTATTTTTCTACAGAATAATCATGATAATGCGCAAAAAAAAAAAAAAAATGTCAAATCACATTCAAAATAACCTGAATTTAAAATAGCTGACTTGTATCTTTGAAATGAAGGCAAATTCATTGCAATTCATTCATATTGCATGAAAAATTATAATGGAGCACAATTTAAGTATCACCCCATTTTTCTACCGTATTTTTGACAATGCCTTCATGCATAATAGGCAATATCTTAGAAAGTCTTTGTGTGAAAATAGTGTAATTCATAAGTTTTATAGAAATAGATTAACTTTTTATTTTAGTAAAGAAAAAAGTATAGTATACCTTCGTGATAAAATAAACAAGAAATTTGAAGTTTTCTTTAATTTTCATACTCTTTTGTCATAAATATTGACCTTTCTGCACTAAGACAGAGGTATGTAAGCACTGACGAACATCTGAATATTAAACTATTTTGCGGAAAACAAGTATTCTACTTTGATTAGTAACAATTTACACTGATATAATCTTTTATTCTTGATTCCGATTGTTCTGTACATGCCCCCTTTCCCCGTCAACAACTAATACTTATCTATTAGTACAATTAAATCTGCTGATAAATATTAAAGCAGTATAGGTACACATACATTTTTAAAAAAATCTTATTTCAATTTTCAAAAACAGTTAATGTAATGATTAAATTACTTATAAACATATTTTCCTGTTTTAAACCGCTTTCTTTGCTGAATTTTATATTTTCTTTTTGCGCTTATATCAGCATATTATTGATGTATCTTTTCAAAACTTAAATAGCTATATGAACTATCAACCAACGGAAGAGAATTCTAATATTAACAAACTCATTAATATTATCATTAACTAGGGCTGTCACGGTTCCAAAATTTTTCGGGTCGGGTCGGTTCTGGTTTTTTTAGGTTCGGGTTTCTCGGGTCGGGTAGGTAATGGAAGAAAAGCTCATATTTTCAACCATAAAAAGAATATTTTCATTTAATCTTAGAAATAGCAACATTATAACTAGTTTAAAGTAGCCTTCTGACTAGACAACAATTGTACCAAATTATTTAAATCACCTTATAATTACAATGTACTAACAAGTCTCTCGTTTTTGACGCCATTTTTGTAGTAAAATCTACTCTATTTTACAAATCGGATAGTCAAAGAATTGAAAAAAAATTCTAATGCGTACCCGACCCAAATTAATTGTTCCGGGTCATTTCGGGTACCCGTGACAGCCCTATCATTAACAATTATTAGTAATGAATAAATTTTCTTTTTGAAACTTGTGTATGTTATTGACTATTTACAATGTTAGGCCTAAATCACAGAACTTAGCGAAAGTCAACAGGTATAAAAAGAAACATTGCTATTGTGACATCAAATAACGCTGTTATGAGTTTGACGTAGAACGACATAGGTCCCCCCTTAATTAAGAAACTCTGGGAGATTGGATACAATAAGAGAGCATCTTCAATCATTTGACGGACAATTAGTTTTTACAATGTGCTGTTCTCGAATATTGACACTTTCCAATCAGACTTTGTGCAAAGCTGCAGCCATCTAATTAACTGAAGAATGTGCAAGGTACACACTGTAAACAGTGGACATTGTTGTATCCTATAAGGAGATGTGAGACAGAGCCTCAGTGAGGGGCGGACTATACATGTATTAATATAAAATGAAGTGACTCTCTAACTAACTAATTGCTACATGTTTCACCATATACATGATCCCTATGATGCAGCATCTTGTACAAAAGATGTGCGCACTGAGTATCAATAGTTTTTAACATCCTAGCTCTTAGACGAACTATGAGAGCTTTTTACCATCTTAGCTCCGAGACGAACTATGAGAGTGTTTACAAACTTAGCTCTGAGACCTTTGTGAAGCAATGACTATGTGAGATTTCACCATCCTGGCTCCGAGATCTTTGTAATTGAACTTTTCATGTACTATTGTTTTTGCTGCGACTTTTACAATAAAACCATAAACTTAACAGAAGTCCTCTTAATCCAAACACATTGGCTAATTGTGTTATAAAAATTTCATTGCGAAAATATATTACATTTCCTTTTTCAGAATTTGCGAATTAAGTGAAATATTTATTGAAAAAAGTAAACGAATAAACTTGTTTTTCTTACTTATATAAAAATAATCTCCCAAGGGCTTATAAATTTATAAATTGAAATTTATGATAGTCAAAGAATGAGAAGACGTAATTAAGGTGCTAAATGCCATGTGCAAAACTATGAAAGAAGAATGAAATAGCCCATTGGAAAATCTCATTTTAAAGTGCCCAAGTGGGAAAGACCATAGACAAATTGGGACTGTCCAAAGCAAAACACAAAAAAAGTACCGGTAAACACGAAAAAAAAATGCACCTGTTTTTATTCATATTTATTTATTTGTTCGTATATATATATAAGTATATGTATCTGTTACATTTTCATTATTACCTCGTGAAAATAAAGTATAAATTCAGTGTCCCTGCTTAATGCTTTTCACAAAAATCTGTACCCTGTTTATATTCAGATACTTTGTATACGTAAACTTCATTCTGCAGACCAGTTTATGTCAGTCTGTGAAGGACACAAACTCAAAAATCATCTTTGTAGCTTTTCAGTTATATATTATACAATTATAGACTCTTTTGGTGTTGAATATGGTTTGTTATTCACCAGAAAAATATTCATATTGACCGAGGCAAATGCTGACACCCTTTTCATTAACAAATTTCCATTGCTGAAAGAAATGTCCAGATAACAGTTTGTCACCTCTGTGTTTTCCTCTCCGAGTTTCGCTGTATAAGACGTCCAAATGTTTAAAAATAATCCTGCAATAGGTTTGTATAATATTTTTGCTGCTGACAGATACATAGCTCGCTGTGGTCATTGCAACCATTGATTACAAAGTTGTTTGAGGTATTGATTATGTCATCACAATGCTGCTGTACGCGCATTGACCCTCCGGTAAATACGACCTCAAATCCTGTGAATATGTAGTGTTATGTTTGCGCTTATATAGGGAATATAAATAGACTATATAATAATTTATTCAGTTCTGCTGTATTAAGAATTTGAATCTGTATAATACACAAGTACTTATGTTAATTGCAAAATTAATCTTCTGCATTTTATATATTTAGTGCCTATTTTATACAAATTGTTACCGATTCGATTATTATCCATTGATTAGAGTAAACTGATGCTGCCAAGTAATCAATTATGATTTTCAACCAATTTGACAACACTACGGCGGCATTAATCCCTCAAGCCAAAAATAAAAGAAAAAGAAAAGTTCAAATGTAGTCCATTAAATTCCTCTCCATCGATAATTGACCTACATATGTATATGTATCTCTGATGTATTTATGAAGAGAAAATTTCTACTATGTTAAAATATAGTATTACTTAGCATTATATCTCACATTTCCACAAGAGAAAGATGCAAAGGACTATATGGCTAACTTTTATTAAGTTATAGAAAGCCGAGGTGTTGTTGGGCTGAGATGTTGTCTACAGTAGTACCGTAAATCTGGAAATTTTTGCTGTAGATAAATTTTTAGCAAATTTGCGAGTTTATTGCATTCGCAAAAATATTTTTCTTAAAAATAAATTACCAATAAGAAAATGTAAACAAAGCAGTGGTCATTCGCAAAATTTTGAAACGTAAAAATTAATCAACAGCATTTTGACCCGAATTCGCAAAATAAAATTGACGTAAAAATTTCCAGATTGACGGTAATAGATTCCATTGTTATACATAACTTTACTTTTAAACTTACAGATCTTCCAAGAATGTAAATGATGATAAAGAAACAAATATATCTAAAATCCCAGTGCTTTCCAAAAGACAGAAAAGAAGGGAAAAAGAAAATCTCTCAAAGACATCAATGAAACCTGACCTGATGAAAACTACCACACTGGAGATTCACTGTGTGCCTGAGAGAGCTGCTCAGAAAACTGACAAGCAACAGAGGAGGAAAGGGGTTCCACGGGGAAAGAAGAGCGGGGTCCAGATAAAGAATTACAGGGCAGACTACACATGGAATAGAGGAGGAAGGTTAAAGGAACTCAGGATTAGGTAAAGTCCTACACCTAACATTTAACCCAGGATTAGGTAAAGACCTACACCTAACATTTAACCCAGGATTAGGTAAAGACCTACTCCTAACATTTAACTCAGGATTAGGTAAAGTCCTACTCCTAACATTTAACTCAGGATTAGGTAAAGTCCTAACCTAACATTTAACTCAGGATAAGGTAAAAACCTACACCTAATATTTAACTCAGGATAAGGTAAAATCCTACACCTAACATTTAACTCAGGATAAGGTAAAAACCTACACCTAACATTTAACTCAGGATAAGGTGAAGACCTACGTCTAACATTTAACTCAGGATTGGGTAAAGACCTACACCTAACATTTACCTCAGAATTAGGTAAAGTCCTACACCTAACATATAACTCGGGATAAGGTAAAATCCTACACCTAACATTTAACTCAGGATAAGATAAAAGACCTACACCTAACATTTAACTCAGGATGAGGTAAAGTCCTACTCCTAACATTTAACTAAGGTTAAGGTAAAGACTTACACTTAACATTTAATCAGGATAAGATAAAAGACCTACACCTAACATTTAACTCAGGATAAGGTAAAGACTTACACCTAACATTTACCTCAGAATTAGGGAAAGTCCTACTCCTAACATTTAACTCAGGATGAGGTAAAGTCCTACTCCTAACATTTAACTAAGGTTAAGGTAAAGACTTACACTTAACATTTAATCAGGATAAGATAAAAGACCTACACCTAACATTTTAGTCAGAATTAAATAAAGATGCCCTACACCTAATATTTTGCTCCGGATTAAGCAAAAACCTATACCTAACATTTTCACTTAGGATAGAGTAAATTCCTAGACCTAGCATTTAGCCCAGGTTTAAGTAAAGATGCCCGACACCTAATATTTCACTCAGAATTAGGTAAAGACTTACACCTATAATTTCACTCAGGATTAAGTAAAGACCAAAACCTAACATTTCACTAAGGATTAGGTAAGAGCTACAACATTTTACTCAGGATTAAGTAGAGAATTACAACATTTAACTCAGTATAAGTAATGACCTACACATAATATTTCACTCAGGATTAAGGTAAGTGTTACAACATATGACTCAGGATTAAGTAAAGGCAACAGGGGTGGAAATACCAGTTCATTAAAATATTTACATTACACATGTTTTTTTTGCATTTAAAGTGATTAGTGAATGGAAATCTATGGCATTAAAAAACATAAAACAGAGAGGGGTCAAAAGGTTACCGGTAAAGCATGCACTCTTTATTTTGTTTTATTAGGATCATATTATAAAGATTAACATTTATGAAACATATTATTTACAAAATATTTACAGGCATTTAGCAAGGAAATTTTCCAACATTTGGAAAACTAAAGCTTTTGGGAGAGTGCTTCCATCTGTAGCAAGGTCAGTATTTCATACACGGTATAAGATTCAGCTCTTGCTTTTTATATGTTTTTATTTATAATTTTAAATTTCATTTTCTAAGATAAAGCTACAAATATTGAAATTTTTTTATTTCTACATAAAGCTACTGGTTGATTGATTGGTTACGTAAAAAAAAAAATCACATGTGGGGCAGGACAGCAAGAGATGGAAGTGGGCTTGGTTTGTAGCACCTGAATTTAGGATATCAGGAAAATGTAAAGAATAACTGTCTGATATTTTGTAATGATGATCAAGCAATTGGCTTGCATAATAATTATGGTGGAAGCCAATTGCTGGATCTCATCTTTAAACCAAATATTAGACAGTTTAATTTTTAGGAATTTGTTTGCCACTTTTGATTTCTCTCTTGCTGTATCTGAGGATCCCTATATAAATCTGCTAACTTGGTCACTGTTCAGTGCAATCAATCATCACTGGTGTAGATGGACAACACTGAGACAGGTGTACAACTAATGTGTTTTGAATTAACAGGCGACATTATGAGACACACTTGGTCAGACAAGTATACAGGGAGTGGCATGCCATGTGGTGGGAAGTCAGAAAAGAATGGAGGTTGATGGTGCGAGCAGAATGTCATCACAGGTAAATATAGCACAAGGCCAGAGGTCATATCATCCAAAAAAAAAAAAAACAGATTACAGGCTGGACTAGTAGGCCTCTCAACTAATTTTTCAAGTTACACATATGGTAAAAACCATTTGATACATAAATCTGTAGGTACATGAAATTCTCAATAAAGATTATAAACTATACAAAAATTTAATTAAATCCTAAAAAAGTAAACTGTTATACTCCCCTCAAACGAACTTAAGGGGGGGTATATCGGAATCACCATGTCCATCTGTCTGTAGACGAGATTTTGTGCGGACATTTTCTCAGAAACTATTGGAAGGATTTGTCTGTAAATTTGTACACATATTATTCACCATATGAAGGTGTTCACATGGTATTATCATCTTGATTGGATGATTATTTTGTATTTTTCAGGTGTTTTTTTTATTTTTATTTTGTTTTGTGCAGACCATTTCTCGGAAACTATTGCAAGGATTTATCTTAAAATTTGTACACTTATTATTCACCATATGAAGGTGTGCACCTGAAATTTTCAACTTTATTTTTTTATTTTTCTGCATTTTACTGGTTTTATTTTTTATTTTAATTGACTCATTCATTTTGGGTTCACGTGTAAAGATTCAGACATAGTATCTAGAATATCTGTACAAAAATGTGAACTACAGCTAAAAACTACTCATTAAAACTAATAAGTAGAAACATCATCAAGTGTTAAAAACAGTTTTTACATTACACAGAAGATAATGTACATTCATTTGTCTCTTGGGAGTAATGTCTGGATTTTGTTTAATATAATTTTTTTCTCAGCAATCAGTTTGCAGAGTGTCATGACACATAGTTGCAATTTATTTTTTTTATTGCCTGACGTCACGGCATCAGGCTGTATAAGGATTGATATTTCCAAGATCCGAAACTGTGCGATCATATCTAGAGAGCTAGATTTTGTGCAAGCTGATTTACACTGGAATTCTTTACCTGCATTTTAAAAGAAAAAAGTTTTCAGAAAAAAGAATGATATAACTGATGCAAAAAAATGCAGTGTTTACTTCCTTTACTCTTTTTGCATGGAACAGATTATTCCATGTGATTCGCCGTTTGAAAAATGTCTAAAATGTGTATCCTTTTTTCTGACATTTTATGGCTTTACTGGATCAGTCCATTTATATTCTACATCAAACTTTGGGGTGAAATGCATCTTTTCGCGCCAAATGTCACTAGAAAGCTATCTTCGCGCCTTTTCCTTGGATTGTTCTATTGTATGCAACTTTGGGTGTGCTAACTTCCATGGAATTAAATAAAGTTTGTCCTTTTAACATTTTATGGCTATAATTAATAATCTCAGAAATTCTGGAATCTACAAAGTTTTATATCATTCTTTAAAACAACATATCGTATACATCAGTATATGGACATGCAACACTAAGAAATGATTTTTCGACGTTTTTTTCTAAACGTTTACAGTTTGAGTAAACGTTTATTCCATAAATGGACTAGTCTAATAATAATAAAAACAAATTTGTTTTAGTGCATGATCTATTATATGTCTCTGTTCAGATGCACACAATTAAATAAGAAACAGAATGAAAACTCACGGGCTAACTTTTCTTTCCACAAAGGACCTAAATATAAAATTTACATATTTTGATTAAATAATATATAATACATTTTTTTACAAGTCCCCCCCCCTTTGAAAAAAAAAATAATGAACAGGTCTTGTTTTACTTTTACTTCAGAGGAGAAATTACATCTTTACAAAATTTCTTTAATTATAAACAAACCAATCTTTAGGTAAAATGTGTACAATGCATGATTTGATAACAGATTTTAAATAATAATGACCAACAAACATTTGTAATAACAACTCATACTTATATTAAATGAAAGAATTGAAATCAATTTAGATCCAAGGGCAGAGCCATCACTCCACTTGAATATCCCCCTCCTCAGAATAACAACTCTTTAAACGTTTACAAAATTCGTAAACGTTTCACCCTTATCTCACATACTTATTGGCTTAGAATCTTCAATCTTTGTCATTACCTTTACTATTGAAAATTTCCACTGAAAGGTAGGTCATTGTGACCCCCTTATGTTTTTTTCCTACTTTATTAAAATGATATTCAGTTATAATTGGCTAGTATTCATCAAACTTTGGAAGTTGATGGAAGTTGGCCTTGGGAAAAGGGTTAGAGGCTTCAAATAGAAGTGATAGGTTGTACAATTTATCGAAATAGGCGATTCAAGGCCCTTGGGCCTCTTGTTTATTTTTCTGCATTTTATTTTTTATTTTTATTGACTCATTCATTTTGGGTTCATGTGTAAAGTTTCAGACATAGAATCCAGCTTAAAACTACTCATTAAAACTAACAAAAAGAAACATCATCAAGTGTTAAAAACAGTTTTTACATTACACAGAAGATAATGTACATTCATTTTTTTTTTCTCATGGGACTAATGTCTGGACATGCATCCAGTTAAAGATAAATTAATGAGTTTGGTGTACAAGTTAAATAAAATCAAAGTTTTAATTATACAAGGTTCTCAAAATAAAAAGTTAGGATATGTTTCAAACCCACAAAAGTACCTTCCTCTCAAAAATTTATCAAAGCACTTAATTCTGGATGCAGATAAATTGATTGATTATCAAAATTAATTTGATTTTGTTTAATATGATTTTTTTTTTAAAAAGCTGTTGCACTTTATTTTTTTGTGAAATAAAAATGTTACAATGGAATTTACAATGTGTTAGTATTGGTGTTTTATCTGGTTGCACCTTTGTTTCATTCATTAAAAGATATAATGAGCAATTATTTTCACTGTTAATTTTTGTTAGAAAATTGAACACCTCTTAGATCCATAAAATATTTGTGAATTGGCACCTTCTCTGAAAAACCTGGTGGGGTTATTTGTCCCTTTTGGACAGCTGTAGTTAATATTTGATCTGTAAAAAGTAACTCAAGAGTAAAAACGATCAACAAAGTGCCAATTTATGAGTTATTGTTTATAGAAAAGACATATAGGCTGCTTCTTTGTTAGATAAATTAAATTTTTGGCTAATTTCTTGCAATATATTTTTAAACATAATGTTTTCAATTTCAATTTTCTCTTTTAACATGTTTAAGATATGTGGTTTGGAGTAAAGTGTTTGAAGCTTGGAGGCTCTATGTACTCTATCAGAAGGCTACTGCAGAAAAAATGGAGCTTGCTACAACCATTAGTAAGTGGTGAACTATCTATTACAATTACAATATTTTAAAATCATGAATCTCTCCACCCCCTAACAATTAGATTCAGTTGACTTATACGGTGAAGTGTAGATTACAATGTGTGCTGTAGAGTACATTTACAATGTGTTTGAATTTCTGCAACTTCTCCCTCTAAAATTATAAAGAATTTTGCTTTGAGTTGATAAATTATGTTGTAGTGTAAATTAAAATACATTAAAACACACTTATAGTGAAGTGCCAAGGAGAGGCAATTTTGCTTTTATATAAATGTAATTTGTTATATCTGTCAGTAAGTTCATAATATATTTTGAAGCCACGGGGAAATAAAAATCACTTCGATTAAAGCATCAATTTGTTATAAGTATGTATGCTACAAGCATGTTTTACTATATGTGATAAAGGGTAGATTTAAGAGGGCATGGTGGTTGTGGCTATTTTTAGAAGTTGTTTTTGATCTCTTTGAGAAGAAGTGCTCCATATAAAGATAAACAAAAGTAATTAAATTGTAAAACTATTATGTACATGTATAAAATTTTTCTTTGCCAAGTGATGGTTGACAGGCAGAAGATTTTTTTTACATAGAAATATAAAAAAATAAGTTATATCAAATTGGTTATTTGTTAAGAATAACAAAGTCATAAGTGATCATATTTATATGGAAGCATCCTCAGCCGAAGGCTCAAGTCAAGCTTTTCTGATCAAAATTTGTCCGTTGTCTGTCGTCGTTGTAGTCGTTGTCGTTGTCGTCGTCGTAAACTTTTCACATTTTCAATGGCCAACCAAAGTGGGCCAATTTAATCAAAATATGGCACAAATTCTTGGGTGAAAAAATTTGTTCAAAAAAGGGCAAGCCCTTTTTAACTGGAGATAAGGTTTACTTTTGAGAAAAATTAATGGCATTTTTTAAAAATTTCTTTTTATCCTAGCCACTGGGCCAGGAAAGATGGAACTCATATGGAATCATGGGCCTCTTGTAGTATAAATGTAAGTTTGTTATATCATGTCAGTAAGTTCATAATATATTTTGGCCACCCCAAGTAAAAACATAGGAATATATAGCAAAAATTTTTAAAAATCTTCTGCAAGCATGTTTTACCACTGTGATAAAGGAAAGATGAAACTCATGTGGTTGTGGCTATTTTTAGAAGTTTGTTTTTGATCTCTTTGAGAAGAAGTGCTCCATATAAAGATAAACAAAAGTAATTAAATTGTAAAACTATTATGTACATGTATAAAATTTTTCTTTGCCAACCACAGGGCCAGGAAAGATGAAACTAAAAAATGTAAGTTATATCTGATGGTTAGTGTAGATTCAATTTTGTTCATAATTTTACATTATTTCCTTGTCTAGGGTGGGGCCACAAATGGCAAATCTCAAGTTTTACATAGGAATATATAGGAAAAATCTTTAAAAGTCTTCTTAACAGAACCACTGGGCCAGGAAAGATGAAACTCATGTGGAATCATCCTCAGGTAGTGTAGATTCAATTTTGTTCAAATCATGACTTTTGGGCTAGGGTGGGGATAATGGCCGCACCCAAGTTTTACATAGGAATAAATAGGAAAAATCTTTAAAAATCTTCTTCTCCAGAACCACAGGGCCAGGAAAGATGAAACTCATGTTGAATCATGCTCAGGTAGTGTAGATTCAAGTTTGTTCAAATCATGACCCCCGGGGCTAGGGTGGGGCCAAAATGGCCAACCGAAGTTTAACATAGGAATATATAGGAAAAATATTTAAAAATCTTTTTCTCCAGAACCACTGGGCCAGGAAAGATGAAACTCATGTGGAATCATGCTCAGGTAGTGTAGATTCAAGTTTGTTTAAATCATGACCCCCCGGGGCTAGGGTGGGGCCAAAATGGCCGACCCAAGTTTTACATAGGGATATATAGGGAAACCTTTAAAAAAATTTCAAGTACTTCAAAACTATGATTAGTGATATTTATACGGAATCATCCTCAGGCAGTGTAGATTCTAGTTTGTTCAAATGATGAATGCCTGGAGGGGGGGGGGGGGGTAAATTCAAGCCCGATGTGCTCAGGTGAGCGCTGTGGCCCCTAGGCCTCTTGTTCATAATTTTACATTATTTCCTTGTCATGAACACTAGGGCCACAGTTTGTCAAATGTCAAAGATTCTTGTTTAAAAATTCTTTCATTGAAAGTGGCTATGCATAACATGATTTTCTGGGATGAGAAAAAATTGTAAGTTGTCATGCATTGATTATAATTACGGTCAAACCTCATAATCTTGAATTGATGGGGCAAAGGAAATACTTTTGGGATATGGAATTTTAGATATTGGTTTTCATGACACTGAAGTTCAACTGTATATTGTATAAATTCCCTTGACAGTTTGTTTTTTTCTTTTTACCATTCATTTCCTTTCTTTGCAGGTAACAAAGCAATTCTAGGCAGGAGTCTTAAACACTGGAAGGATTTTGTTAATATCCAGAGAGGAAAGAAGAAAATTAAAGCAGAGGCAGACAGCCATTATCACCACGTGTTAACTAGGTAAAATATCTGCTAATTTAAATTTGTAAACTAGGTAAAAAAAAAACTGCCAAAGTGTTAGCTAGGAAAAAAAATCTGCTAAAATGTTAATTGGTTAATATTTTAATGAAGTACAAAATATTCTCTTCTCATTCAACTATGGCCTGAATGGGAGAGGATCGTACGTACCTTGTTTGTAAATTTCATACCTGGCATGGCTTCACCTAGCCAGGTCCAAAATTTACTATCCAAGTATCATCCCATACCCTGTCACTACAAAATTATATAATTTATAATACCAAATTCAATCCAGATTCATAAAATTTTATCCCACTCTTTGCGATATGGTGGGATTCATTTTTGTACAAATCTGATTTCAACTTCCTATTTATCTTGGCATTTGTCCATACCAAATTTCTTTCGAAACTTAATTAGTGTTTATTCATATGAGAGTGTTTATTCACATTAGAGCGATGGTATAACAAGTGAGCATAACCGCACAGCCTTCTTATGATAATTTTGTTGGTGTACTTATGATATTTAATTAATGTTTATTTCTGTTGATAGGTTAGTGTGGATTAAATGGAAGGAGCAGTACAGTCTTCAGCAAGAGAGACATGAAATGGAAGTAGTGGCTTTACAGTTCTGGGCCTACAGAATTCAGGCACAGGTAATTACAGGCATACAGAATTCAGGCACAGGTGAGTACAGGCATACAGAATTCAGGCAAAGGTAAGTACAGGTATACAGAATTCAGGCAAAGGTAAGTACAGGTATACAGAATTCAGGCAAAGGTTTATACAGGCATACAGAATTCAGGCACAGGTAAATACAGGCCTACAGAATTCAGGCACAGGTTGGTACAGGCCTACAGAATTCAGGCACAGATTGGTACAGGCCTACAGAATTCAGGCATAGGTAAGTACATGCATACAGAATTCAGGCACAGGTAAGTACAGCCATACAGAATTCAGGCACAGGTAAGTACAGGCATACAGAATTCAGGCACAGGTAAGTACAGGCATACAGAATTCAGGCACAGGTTAATACAGGCATACAGAATTCAGACACAGGTAAGTACAGGCATACAGAATTCAGGCACAGGTAAGTACAGGCATACAGAATTCAGACACAGGTAAGTACAGGCATACAGAATTCAGGCACAGGTATTAGTACAGGCCTACAGAATTCAGACACAGGTAAGTACAGGCCTACAGAATTCAGGCACAGGTATTAGTACAGGCATACAGAATTCAGGCACAGGTAAGTACAGGCATACAGAATTCAGGCACAGGTAAATACAGGCATACAGAATTCAGGCACAGATTGGTACAGGCATACAGAATTCAGGCACAGGTAAGTACAGCCATACAGAATTCAGGCACAGATTGGTACAGGCCTACAGAATTCAGGCACAGGTATTAGTACAGGCATACAGAATTCAGGCACAGATTGGTACAGGCCTACAGAATTCAGGCACAGTATTAGTACAGGCCTACAGAATTCAGGCACAGATTGGTACAGGCCTACAGAATTCAGGCACAAGTATTAGTACAGGCCTACAGAATTCAGGCACAGATTGGTACAGGCCTACAGAATTCAGGCACAAGTTAATACAGGCATACAGAATTCAAACTTAGGTAATGATATCATCTGACAGGTACAAGTAATTATTCTTACGGTCAGATTTTACTTACTTTATGTGATTATGTTTAGAAAAAATTATCCTAATGCAATAAACAAATTCAGAAGTAATTTTTTTTTATCAGCACTGGTTGATTTGGTCAGACAGACTTAAAAAGAAGCGCCAGATTTACCACAGACATGCTCTGTCTCTCAGACACTACCAACAAACCGTTAAGAGGAGGTGTTTTATTGCTTGGACTCAGTATTGGCTGCAGAAACGAGACAGGAAAAGACAGAAAGGTATTGATACTGAAGAAACAAGTCAGAAAAATATGGAATCTTACTTAAATAAAAAAAGCTTTTTGTTCATTCAAAGATTTGAGTTTTTATACAGAATCTATGTTTTATAGATTATGCAGATAAAGACTATGCCCAGAGCTTGAGATATCAGATAGTATATCCTGTTTTATAGATTATGCAGATAAATACTATGCCCAGAGCTTGAGATATCGGATATTTTATCCTGTTTTATAGATTATGCAGATAAATACTATGGCCAGAGCCTGAGATATCAGACGTTTTATACCTGGCGGAGGCAGTATGAGCTCCATCAGTCCATTAAATCCCACCAGCACCACATTGAAGTCCTGGCCGCGCGGTTCCAGAGGAGGCGGTACTTCCAGATCTGGAAACTTTGTATCCTTGTCTGTCTGTATCAGAAATGATGTCCTTGTGCTCATAATTTCTCTTGTGTTATGTGTTGTGTGGTATATGTGTGTTTAATAAATTGTATGATAAGGTTTACATTACGAACACTAATTTCATCCAAATGTTAGGTTATTATGACAGAGTTTACAGTGTGATTACCTTAAACCTGCTGTTTGGTACATTTTGATTTTCTGATAAGACTCGGTGCAAATGAAGGTCTCCTTTTTATTGAAGTACAGTAATGTTTGATGAAGTTAAGGCTCTCTTGTAAATATTTATATCTACAAAGATATTTAAGCCATCATAATCAGATTTTTTTTTTAATCTTAAAGTTTGAAATCTCTACATGGAAATGAAATTAAAATTTTCTACAAAGTATGAAAATTTTCCTTGACCAAGTGGTTTCTAGACATGTTGATACAAGAACAAGAGAAAGAGAAGATGCTTAAAGCAGAGGTGCATTACAGGAAAAAATTGATGGTATGTTTTTTTTAAAATTAGTACTTAATTATCAGTGCAAGCTATAATAGTTTTAATATAATAAAGATTTAGTGGACAGATTATTTCTCTGGTCTTTCGATTAGAGGGAAAATGGAAATATACAATTGCTAGCTTTAAGTATGTACACATAATCTCAGGATATTCTCAAAAACGTGTCACTTGTTTAGACATTATTACATATAAAATCAGAATTATTTTATCTTTAAGTTTGTAATCTTTACATGCAAGCAAAATCAAAATTTTGTATAAAGTTTGGAACTTACTTGTCCCTGACAAAACTGTTGTTATCTATCTTCTATAATTTTAAAGTAAAGAATCTATTCAATAATGTTTTATCATGCTGTCTTCAAATTTTTTAACATTTTCTCGCAGCTGATGGGATTTAATGCCTTTCGACTCAATGTGGTGCAGCTGAGGGTGAAAGAGATGAGAAATGAGTTAGCTGTTCAACATTACTTTAAAACAGTATGTCAGTTTTATAGTGTATATGTCTATCATTATACCCCCCGCAAACGAAGTTTAGGGGGGGGTATATTGGAATCACCATGTCCGTCTGTCTGTCTGTAGACGAGATTTTGTCCGGATCATTACTCAGAAACTATTGGAAGGATTTGTCTGAAAATTTGTACACATATTATTCACCATATAAAGTTGTGCACCTGATATTTTCATCTTGATTCGAATATTATTTTGAATTTTACAGGTGTTTTTTCATTTTTATTTTGTGGTTTTGTCCGGACCGTTTCTCAGAAACTATTGCAAGGATTAATCTGAAAATTTGTACACTTATTATTCACCATATGAAGGTGTGCACCTGGAATTTTCAACTCTTTTTGTTTATTTTTTTGCATTTTACAGGTTTTATTTTTTATTTTAATTGACTAGTTCATTTTGGGCTCATGTATAAGGTTTGAGATATAGAATCTAGAATATCTGTTCAAAAATACTACAGCTTAAAACTACTCATAAAAATTTAAAAAAAAGAAACATCATCAAGTGTTTAAAACAGTTTTTACATTGCACAGAAGATAATGTAATTTCATTTGTCTCTTGGGAATAATGACTGGACATGCATCCAGTTAAAGATAAATTAATGAGTTTGGTGTTGGAAGTTGTTAAGGCATATCTCTTATGAAGCATGTGTGTGTTATCTAATCTCCAGGGAATAAGGCACAAGAATTAAAGATCTCTCTTCTCTTATTCTCTTAATTGTAATTTATTGTCTGTCAAAGCACTTCATTACTGGATGACCAGCTCTTTATTTTCAAAATGCATTTCAAATTGATATATCAAGATTAATTTGATTTTGTATAATGGTTTTTTTTTAACAATCAGTTTGCAGAATGACATAACACATAATTGCAATTTATTTTTTTAATGCAGAAATAAAAAAAAATAAAATGAAAAAATAAAAAAAATTGTTACAATGGAATTACAATGTATTAGTATTGATGTTTCATTTGGTTGCACCTTTGTTTCATTCATTAAGAAACATGATGAGCAATTATATTTCACTGCAAATTTTTGTAAGTAAATTGTGAACACCTCTAGATCCATAAAGTATTTTTGAATTGGCACCTTCTCTGAAAAACCCAGCGGGGGGGGGGGGGGGGGGGGGGGGGTAGTATTTTATTTGTAACTATTGGACAGTTCTAGTTTAGTTTCATTCTGCTAAGTTTATTACTAGGTGTGGTCTTTGATTTAGGAAAAATGTGTTTATCAGTTTCTAAATGCTATATTCTACTTTTAATTTCATATCAAAATAAATATGCACCTTTTTTCCTGTTATAAAGTTTAGTAAGTTAAACTGCAGAGTCATGTACTTTTATATTAGTTCTTCTTCTCTTTACAGCTTTTGAGCCGACACTGGCAGATTTGGTTACAGAAATGTGAGAACAATGAAGAGCTACAGATAAGTCATCTTACCAAGCAAGCACATGCTCATTATCAGTAAGTTTTCAGTAAATCTTCTTACCAAGCAAGCAGATGCTCATTATCAGTAAGTTATCAGTAAATCTTACCAAGCAAGCACAATCTCATTATCAGTAAGTTATCAGTAAATCTTACCAAGCAAGCACATGCTCATTATCAGTAAGTTATCAGTTAATCTTCTTACCAAGCAGGTACATGCTCATTATTAGTAGGTCATCTTACTAAACAGGCACACATTAACAGTAAGTTATCAGTAAATTACATGTATCTTACCATGCAGGCACTCACATGTAATCTATAAATTATCTCTAAATCATCTTACCAAACATTATCAGTGAATCATCTTACCAAACATTATCAGTGAATAATACTCGTTATCAGTTTGTTGCCTTACCAAGTATACACACACGAATGGTATGTGATCTTACCAAGTGGACATAAGTTTATTGTCAGGCAGTTGTCAAATCAAATTATGATTCTAATAAAGAGAGAAAACAGGTGAAGTTTTCATTTTTGTTTTATTTCACAACAAAACTTATTAACTTTCCTTCAGGAGTGTCCTCAAAAGAAAGTGCTTGGATGCTCTGATGTTGTATACCAGATACAGAGAACAGAGAAAAGTAAGTACCAGATGACAGAACCAAATATTTATCAGCTTTAGCATCATTATATGTTGTGTAAACGTCATTATTCTCTGAAAACCACCAAAGAATCTTTTTTTCCATTTGTTTTGTATATCAAAGTAGAAATTGATTATAGACTACCTCTCCCAACATGCTTTTAACCGTAGATCGTGTATATAGCAACAATATGTACATGATTGTATAATTTGGTAGCATATGGCAAGATGTAAAAAATGACCATCATATTTAACACCAAATTGTAATCACTAGGACATGGCCTACCAAATTCTTTTCTTAATCTTTTCACCTCCTTTTTTTAAAACACAAATATCCTGAGGACAGACAGACATACAGACACTGATGAAATATAATCCCTAACCAACAGCTTATTATTGTTTTATATATCAGTATGTGATGTGTTTTGTAGATGTTGAAGGTTCAGGCAGATGCTTTCTTTTTCGTTCACTCCATGCCCAGGATTATCTTCCAGTGGAGGATTTATGTTGAAATGGAGAAAATTAAGAGAGAAAATCTGGAAAAATACACAAGTTTTAGAAGGTACTGCTTATTGTAGTAAAATGTTAAAAATTACAGAAATATGATGAAATCTCAGTTTATAGATATACACTAAAAGAATGTAATTAATCAGAATTATAAACAAATGTTACTTTTGAAGCACATGGGTACTATACATGTACAAGATTTTACCTTTCACCTTTATATACAAACATACAGTGTATAGTGATCACACAAAATCAGTTACAGGCCCCTGTGTTTAAACAAGTGTAAGTTTTTTTCCTCCTTTTTATTCAGAGAGAATTTGCTTGCCCGTTTCTTCTACCAGTGGTTTAATTCCTTCTACTTTTACTTTCTTTTTCAGAGAGAATTTGCTTGCCCGGTTCTTCTACCAGTGGTTTAATTCCGTCTACTTTTACTTTCTTTTTCAGAGAGAATTTGCTTGCCCGGTTCTTCTACCAGTGGTTTAATTCCTATGAAGAACACAGAGATTTCAGAATGAACTGGAGAATGGTAATTTTAATATTTTAGTTCTAATTTAATTCTATAATAGATTTTCTCACTGCCTAATAAACTTACTTACTTAATCCTCTTCGTGCTGGATAGCACATAAGGCCGTCACCAGAGACTTCCATGCTGGCCTGTCCTGTGTCCATTTCTGTATCTGTCCCCATGTCCAGCGGTTCTTTCCCATCTCTTTCTCTACAGATCTTCTCCATGTTTCTTTTGGTCTTCCTCTCTTTCTCTTGCCAGGTGGTGTCCATTTCAAAGCAACCCTTGGGATGGAAGTTGGGTGCATTCTACATACATGCCCTATCCACAGCCATTTTCTTCTCTTTATAACTTGAGATAGAGGGGTGGTGTTGGTCTTTTTGTATAGCTCCTCATTTGAGATGGTATTTGGCCAGAAGATGCGAAGTATTCTGCGAAGGCAGCGTGTCTGGAAGGTATCTAGCTTGTTTGAGATGGTTTTAGTAACTTTCCATGCTTCAGCACCATATAGGAGGACCCCAAGCACGTTGCTCTTGAAGATCCTTATTTTGGTGTTTGTGCTGATCTTTGCTGACCTCCAGATGTTTCTTAGTGCAACATACGCTCCTGTGGCTTTTGAAATTCGAGCTAGTACATCTACCTCTGAGTTCCCATCTGTGGTGATCTTGCTTCCTAGATAGCCAAATTCTGAGACTTCTTCTATTTCTTCGTTATTTAAGGTGATGGGCTCCTCTGATTTAGTATTGACCTTCATGATCTTGGTCTTGGTGTTGTTGATATTAAGGCCAATCTTCCTTGCTGTTTCTGCTAGTTGTTTTGTTTTTTCTTGCATGTCACGATGGCGGTGTGATAGCAGTGCTATGTCGTCTGCAAAATCCAGGTCTTCTAACATCTCTGTCATGGCCCAAGTAATTCCCGTCCGCTTATTCTTGATGGTTTCTTGCATAATCCAGTCAATGCAGAATGTAAAGAGAAGAGGGGAGAGCAGACATCCTTGTTTTACTCCAGTCTGTAATTCGAACTCCTCTGATAAGCTTGATCCACAGATAACTCTGGCATTTAGGTCTGTATACAACATCTTAATGCTGGAGATAATTTTATCTGGGATCCCATAATGACTGAGAATTTTTTCTAAGGCTAGGCGATTAACACTGTCAAAAGCTTTTGTAAAGTCGATGAAGTTGATGTAAAGCGGAGAGTTCCATTCATTGCTCTGCTCTAGTATTTGTCTTAGAGTGAATATCTGGTCAGCACATGATCTCCCCTTTCTAAATCCTGCCTGTTCTTTCCGCAGTAGAGGGTCTGCTATGTCTGTGATTCTGTTCAATATCACTCTGCTTAGCACTTTCATCGATACTGAGAGCAGCATTATCCCTCTATAGTTATTGCAGTTGGAAAGGTCTCCTTTTTTTGGAAGTTTTACAATAAGGCCTGTTCTCCAGAAGGTTGGTGTCTCTTCTGATTCCCAGATGTTCTGTAGAATATTTGTCAAGATGGTAGGTGTCCAGTACTCTTCGGCCTTGAGGAGCTCTGCATTTATCTGGTCAATGCCAGCAGCCTTTCCATTTTTTAATCTCTTTATTGCCTTTTTTACCTCTTCTATACTGGGTGGATCTGTATTAATGTCCAGTATGTTAATGGCTGGTGTTATCAGGACCTCATTTCCTGTATCATTTATATTGAACACTTCCTCAAAATGTTCTTTCCATCGTTTCTGTATATCTTCTTCTTTGGATAAGACATTCCCTCTTTTATCTTTTACTGGTAAATCTGCTGTCTGAAGTTCCATGTTGTCTTATGGATATCTTTGTGCATAAATATAGTTCCACCAATTATCAAGTTGTTTTCTTGGCAGAAAGTGCACAGTCTCTCTCCATTGCTGTTACATTCTCCTAAGCCTTGCTTACCCATGATGCTTTCTCTTCCTTGATTGCTTTTCCCAACTTTTGCATTTAAGTCTCCCAAGATAAGTAGGACATCGTGAGATGGTGTATTGTCTACTATTTCTTGTAAGCTGTCGTAAAAGGAGACTTTTTCGTCGTCTTCTGCATCATCTGTTGGTGCATAGCATACCACTACTGTAAGTTTGGCAAAGGCTGAGTTGAATCTTGCTGTTATGATTCGTTCATTCACTGGCTTCCATTCTAACAGACTTCTATAAACTTCTTTTGTTGTGATTATTGCTACTCCTCTGCTATGATGTTCATCAGTTCTTCCAGAGTAGAGTATTTGATGTCCTGACACTAGTTGTTTTGATCCCTTGCCTGTCCATCTAGTTTCACTTACTCCAAGAAGCTCGATCTTGTAATGCTCCATTTCTCTCACCACTTGTGCTAGTTTTCCTGTTTGGTAGAGGGTCCGCACGTTCCAGCAGCCCACTCTACGTGTTATTTTTGGTCGAAGGACATCTCCTATCAGGGTGGGGGATTCACCCGTCATACTATCAGTATCCTGAGTGGTTTCAATCCTTCTTCCATCATTTTGTTCTCTGGTTAAGGTTTCTGTAGCTGCATTGTTTGACATGTTAGGGTTGCTGGCCCTAAGCATAACCCCCTGGACTCGGAGGGCCAGTGGTTTTTCTTTCAGGGTTGTCCTTCCCTTAGATGATTGCGTTCCCTTGCTTTCGTGCTCATCTACACGGATTTTCTGTCTGGATTATCTTCCATAGCCTTTGACTTTCCCAAGCCTTCTCACAAGGCAGTGATGTTATTTGACCCATAGCTGGGGACTAGGATTGCAGGCATCAGGGCATATCCACACGCCGGTGGGCCATGCATGCCGTGCATTTAGGGGCCTAGTCTCCTCCAAGACCCTGTGGTTCTGCTTGGGGCCGCAAGGTACCCAATTTCCATCTGCTACCTCGAGGAGGATCCCATATCTGGGCCACATAGGTCTAACTGCGGAGAGGCTATACCTGGCAGAGAAGACTTACATATTTTGCTAACTCTTTTGCAGCGAACTGCTAGCCAGGGGTGGAGCTGAAAGCGAGAGTGACAAGCACAGACACAGACAGACACACACACTGTACGCATCACACAGCCATTAAGCAGACACTGCCTAATAAAATTATATTATTATTGGCTATTTATCCATTACTGAAACTCTTACCTATTATATGAATTTTTCATAACTATATATTTGACTGTTATGAATAGTCACGGTTGTAATGGGTAATAAGACGATGAATGTAATGGTTTCTGGTGAGAATACTGCTGACACATGTCTCTTTATTAATACACAGGCTGTTCTACATCACGAGGATAGTACAAGAAAACATTTCCTGGCCAGATGGAGAAATAGACTACAGTCATGTCTGCAAGAACGGGACCAACAGGTTAGATAGTACTGAATAAAGGGACAAACAGGTTAGCTAATCCTATATAAAGGGACAAACAGGTTAGCTAATCCTATATAAAGGGACAAACAGGTTAGATAATACTGAATAAAGGGACAAACAGGTTAGCTAATCCTATATAAAGGGACAAACAGGTTAGCTAATCCTATATAAAGGAACAAACAGGTTAGCTAATCCTATATAAAGGGACAAACAGGTTAGATAATACTGAATAAAGGGACAAACAGGTTAGCTAATCCTATATAAAGGGACAAACAGGGTAGCTAATCCTATATAAAGGGACAAACAGGTTAGCTAATCCTATATAAAGGGACAAACAGGTTAGCTAATCCTATATAAAGGGACAAACAGGTTAGATTATACTGAATAAAGGGACAAACAGATTAGCTAATCCTATATAAAGGGACAAACAGGTTAGCTAATCCTATATAAAGGGACAAACAGGTTAGCTAATCCTATATAAAGGGACAAACAGGTTAGCTAATCCTATATAAAGGGACAAACAGGTTAGCTAATCCTATATAAAAACATGCTCTTAGTTATGATTTCTCATGACTTCCAAATATGAAGTAAGTAATTGATACATGCCAGGAAGTCATCCACTGTTTATGCTGCTCAAACTAATTTTGTGACATTGGAGTGAATGACTGAATGTCTTATTAGATGTACAATGTTGAACTCGCTTAACATTTGTTTGTGAGATATTTTGTAAGGATAATGATAGTCAGTGTGTTTTGACAATTTTGATTGACTTTCAGAGTCTGGCAGAGAACCATTACCACTCCTCTATATGTAGGAAGCACCTGCTAGCGTGGCTACAGTATGTCAGGGATCTTAGAAAAATGTAAGCAATATGTCCTTAATTAAAATACATGTGATTTGATTATTTCTGAATCAATAAAGGCATGATGAGTAGAGAAAGCATTAAGACTTCACATGATGAAAGTAAGTATTTTTTACAATCTGTACAATTGCAGTTCTGTTGTTCCCTTGTTATTCATTTGCTTAAATAATGTCTTTTTATATAAAATCCTTACATCATAGGGAGAGTTTAGAAACAAAAGCAATGGCTCATCATTACAAATCCTCACTGAAGAGGGCCCTACAAACATGGAGAGAGGTGAGGGAATTTTTTGTTACTTTTTTTTTGGTAAAACAATGTTTTAAGATAAAATTCTACAATTCTCTTTCTATCCACTTTCAGTACACAAAAGAAATTAAACAGGAGAAGTCACAGTGGCTAAGAGCCACAAAACTTTATCAAATGAATTTGTGTAGAAAAGTTCTGAGGGTTTGGATTGCTCAGAGAATTCAAGGAAGACAATTCCAGATGCTGGGAGAGGAGCGATACAGACAGAAGTGTAAAGACTGTAAAAGGTATAATATTTCGCATCATTGAAAACATTAAAGGTATAAAATGTCATATCATTAAAAGCATTAAAGGTATAGAATATCACATCATTGAAAATATCACATCATTGAAAGCATTAAAGGTATAAAATATCACATCATTGAAAGCATTAAAGGTATAAAATGTCATATCATTAGAAGCATACTATAAAGCGGGTTTTTAAATTTTACAAGTTTTTGATATCATTTCTAAAACCACTATAAAATACCTCACTATTATTTTGTTGATATGGCTTTACCTGTACAATTAAGGTGGGCATTTCACACATGGAGAGACAATGTTCTGGAGAATGTTAGAGAGAGGCAGGAAGACAGAGCTGCCATAATCCACTACAACAGACAACTTCTACACAAGGTAACTCACAATCTGTCTGTCTCTTATTAGATTGTACTCAGACTGAATATTCCACTGCATCAAAAGTGTAAGTTGAAAAGGATATTTTTATGGATTTTGTCAGAGACTGATCTTACAAAGAATAAAAATGTAGATATTTTGAACCCCCAAAGAGTCCTAAGATCACTGCACCTCAAGACTGTGTGGCTAAAATACATACCTGTATACTCATATTGTTGATATTGACAGCTGCTGCTGACTTGGCATAGATATGCTGCTATTCACGCCTACAAGAAGTCAGAGACCAGGCAATGGGTGGAGTCTACAAAACAGGCCCTAGATAGAAGTAAGACAAATAGTTATATAGACCTAAAAAGTTATCACAAAACAGGCCCTAGACAGAAGTAAGACAAATAATTATATAGACCTAAAAAGTTATCACAAAACAGGCCCTAGATAGAAGTGTGTCAAATACTGTTGTACTGAAATTCCTTTGATCGAGTTAATAATTATAAAATCAGGGTTTAAATTAGTCTTAGCAATCAAAAGTTATCTCTTATGTCCAGTCAATGTTTCAAACATTCAGAAGAAAGATCTACTCAGCAGATCTTGGAAAAGTAATAACGGGCTCATTCAAGATTGAGAAGCCGTAGAAGAGGAAGGACGTCAGGTATTTGTGTTATCTCATTTGTGGTGTCTCAAAGTTCTGCAGACGGACCATTTGATTAACATAAATCCTTACAGGTTAATAAAATACTATTATATAAACGGGTGTTTGAAACCCGGTGTTGAAACTTAGGTCTGGGAGCTAGTGCTCAAACATAGGGTCGCAGGGGCTTAGTACTTTGACTGGGAGATAACAATAAGGAAAATTATAATTATATAGAAGATCATTTTAAATCACTGTGTTGTTGATTTATTTTTGATTTTGTTTGTTCTTATATTTAACCCAATCAGCTAAATACGTCAAGTAACGTAAAGGAAAATTCTTTATCTATACTTCAGCGAACCCACAAAACACATTTGCGAGAAAATTTGTTGTCATATTTTTGCAAACACAAGTGGGAATATATAAATGTAAAATATATAAATGTGATATTTTGTTGTTTTTTTAAATCCACACCTGTATTTGACTTTTTGGTTAGTCAAACACGGAAACACAACAGCACTCCTGTATATAAGTAAACATTCATCAACTTTACCGTGGTGTTCCTATCACATGGACATGGTACAATGTTAAATTTTATTTTTTTTCTATTTTCAATAAAAAGAAATGGAGTATTTATGCATTTAATTCATTTTAAAACAATGCATGCATCGAAAGAAAGTTACTTAGATAAATGGTAATTATAATCAGGTATTGTCTGCAAGCTCAATCACCATGCCTGATTGCATTGTTTACCTTGAGGCGATAGATGATTGAAATGCCAAGAAGCCAAACTTTGAAGGTGCTAGTGATAATAATTGGGAAACAACTACAGGGGTAACAATAGTTTAATAAAATTATAATTTGGCAGAATTTTGTGTCTTCCGAACATATGCAGTGCTAGTGTGTATATAAAATCCAATGACCCTTCGACATTACGGACATTATGTAATCGCACGTTCCGGCTTACATGTTCTTATGTAAAAGCTTTGAACACACACAAAAAACGATATTTAGAAATCTGTTAGCGCACAATAAATTTTAGCGTTCAGGGGCTCTTGTGCCAAAGGCGCTAAAATTAGTAGTGTGCCAAATATTCTCGTTTTACAGTATATAGACTTGAAAGTTATCACAAAACAGACACTAGAAAGAAGTAAGACAAATATAAAGACCTAGAAAGTTATTTTATCCCAACTTTTATTTTCCAAAACCACAGAAATTGTAAAAATTAGGGATGTCAATTTTGTCGTAAAGCATGTAAAGGCAGACAAGGTACATGCTTTAGTCGAACGATAGTCGAATATTCATTTAATTTTAATTATTTTTTCATCATTTTCACTGTTTGACTTTTAAGACTAGTTTACAATATTTAACCTACGCTATCACCATTATAAAACGAACTTCTGAATTGTAAACATGTACGTAGTACAATAAAAACTGTACATCAATGTGTATCCTATGCATTTAATTTTAAAAATAATATATTAGGTGCACATTTTATCTAAATGCAGGATAACAAATGCTCGAAATTGTCCTTTCTTTACTTTACGGTAGAACATGTACCCCAGAATTGAAGCCAATTTCTACGTTTCCGTCAATGCATGATCTTTGACAGGTAAACAATTAAAGCGTATTTATATAAAAACATAAAGAGAATGAGACTTGAATAAATTTCAATTATGAAATTTTGTGCAAACAATCAATGATTGCTTGAAATTAATAACAGAAAAGAAAACAGGATTTAATTACCTACTCTCATAACTGACCCCAACTTACGTGTATTTACAGTTTTGTAATAGCTGTTTAATTAGTATTCTTAAGTTTCTGAATAGTTTGAATCTACAAAACTTAACAATTGCCCTCTCCATTTAAAACAGTAAGAGGATACAATCATTAATAAACATGTTTGAACACACACAAAAAATGATGTTTTTGAAGACATGTTTGCACACATACATCGACGTTCAAATAATTTCCTTTGAACAGTTATACCATACCCTTAATTTTACATACCCAGTATGAAAATTTTGATCTGTAAATAATGAAATGGGCAAATCTAAGTTAATTACCTTAAAAACATTACTTTGAGAAAAAGTTTTTAAGAATAATACAAAGAAATTTTAGTCAAATTGGTATTATCCAACGATGTTATTTCTCAAAACGTTGACATCCCTAGTAAAAATCCTTATTTTGGCATGCTAAAATTGCATACAGTGTAGAACTCTAAAGAAAACTTGAAGTGATGGGTTTCTTACCAAACTAAAATTCTTTTTTTAAACAGACAAGTTGCAAAGATATTTCTGGCAATGGCAGAAAGCAAGAGATGACAGAATCTTACAGAAGTTCAAACGAGAACAGGCTGTTAATCATCATGATACTGTGATCCAGCAGAGGGCGCTACAGCAATGGAAAGAGTTCACAGTCCTAGCAGTCAAGAAAAATGCAAGAACAATATATTGATTTTTTTATATAAAAAACATACTGGTATCCAGTGCTCATTTAGCCACATTTTATTTTTTCCAACATTCATTGCTTGTCTTGATTTTTTCAGCTTCTAATGAAACAGTGTGTGTGGTTTAACAATATCAGATTGATGAGTAATTTTCTGTCCGTGTGGAAGTGGAGGTACCAGTTAAAACAAGAGGAGAACCAGAAAACTGACATCGCTTTGTGGCATTGGAGTCTGGTTCTCCAGAAGAAGGTATAAAAGATAGACACAGAACATAAAGAAAGAGAGAGGCTGTAGAAATGTCTGTAGTTTTACCTCCATTATCATTGTAGCTTAACTTTATTTACACTAAATTAGAGTTTTTAGACATGAACATGCATTCTGTATGATTTAGTTTCAAAATTTCAGATAAATGTTGGAAAACATTGGGTGGGCACTAAATTAGTTTTACTGAGCACAGTAAGATATTGAGGACAGTATTGACATATTCACAGATTTTGGTGGCCTGGTTTGGCTTCACTGCAGACAGGAAGAGAAAGAAGGATCGAATCACTCAGGCCTTGGAGAGACGACGCACGCGACAGATACGTCAGGGCATCACCCAGTGGATCGCTGTGGCAACAGACCTGTCAAATATGAGGGCTAAAATTGCAGCCCAGCAAAATGCTAAGGTTAGTATTGTAACAGTAGTCACAAAGACTAGCAAGGGTTCATTGAAAACAAATAAGAGTGGCACATCTTTCTCTCTTTTGATGTCCTGTACACAATGCTAATACATGTATGTGCGCACTAGACATAGACTTTTATATTTACTGTAAAATTGCATTTGTCTGCATGATTTGCTTCAGATGCAATCATTTGCTAAATGTGGGACTAAGCCTTTGCCTCAATTGTATATGTAAAATATATTTTTTGAAGTGATTTTTTTTAAAGTTTGATTTCTTGTATTGATGTAAAGTTTGGTAACTTTGGTTACTTGTACTGTTGATATTTCTCAGGATGCCTTATTAAGTTTGATTACTTGTATTGATGTCTGATGATATTTTTCAGGATGCCTTTGCCAAACATCAATTAGTTCAGCGTTGTGCGTTACACTGGCGATACATAGCAGCTAAGAGGAAATCAAGGGGAGATCACTCTAACAGAAAAAATCAGGACTTGCTTCAATTTGAGAAGAAAAATGTAGACTATGTTCCAAAATTAAAACCTAAGGACTTCCATAGAGAGGAAATTCTCTGTAAACCCTTCCCATACAACCCAGTGGAGTCTGTGTCTCCTCAGAGACTTCCAGACAAGGGACAGAACCTCTCCTCTCTACAGTAGGTTTCTTATTACTGGAGGTTAGGCTCCACAAAAAAGCTGGAGTTGTTGCCCCCTGATTTACAGCTGATGCAGATTTTCATCTGTTTAGATAATTTTTCACACCAGTTCAGACTGTCAGGAAGCTTTTTTTGCAACATCTATTTGTTAAATTTTTACTTGTAAAGTAAGCTTAGAATTTGTTTTGACAGTTGTTTGTATTTTTTTACATCTCTAAAATTGATTTACCGTGTACAACTGTAGGTACATGTGGGTCTCTCTTTCTGTAAGGAGAATATTACATTCTGTTAAAAGAGGTTTTCACCTCAGTTGTTGGGTTTTGCTTATCTAAGACAGATTTTTACATTTGATAGGAAGGGTCGGTACATTCTGATTATGTTCTATTTGTCTTTGTGTCCTGAATATTTTCTAAAAATGTTCTACTTATCAGATTGCCTGGAAGAAGAAAGCCCAGGCATCCTTCATTCCTGGAAGAATCTCTAAAGAGAGCTGGCCTGTTTTCTGGGGAAAGGTAATAAAGATGGGGCTTTGTTTACTGGAAATGTATAAAATTAAAATGTTTTAATTTTTTTTTGTGTTAAGTGTTTTGCAAAATCCTCTATATTGGAATCATTTGAATTCATTGTGGTCAATGTTTGTGGGCAGTCAAAATTTTATTGAATTCATGAGTCTCTTTATACCACAAATGCAATGAAATTAACCTCCAACATAAATTAGTGCTTTCTCAGTAATCAAGATACTAAAATCTCAGATTTAATATCATTGATATAAAAGATATTCATTTTGCATATGTGTTTAAACAAATAGTAAAGTACTTTTTTTAAAAATACTATTGATTAAATTTTTTTACAGGCCAGTTTCTGATGGAAATCAAAATATACAGAGCAAACCTAGTCATCCTCCTTCTAGAATGTTAGAGGAAAGAAAACCTATCCAGTCTGTGCCTGTGATGTCAGAGGAGGAAGTTCCCAGTCCCCCCGTCCCTCCCCATATACCTACCTCAGACCTGCCCGGACCTGGAGATTGTCCTGTCATTCCTCAGGGTGAGAACAGCCGGGTTCCTCCACTTGACATACATGGAGTGGACAATATACCCTACCTTCAGGAAAACATTGAGGTTTATCAGGGACAAATATCAGTGCTGCCTTCAGCTGCTGCAGTAACTCAGCACCATGTTCACTTGGATCACATTCAGTCCATACAACCCACAACTGGAGAAGAATTCCAGCTCTTAACTCCAGATCATTTTCTCTCTCATCCAGATTACACGATTCCAACTTTTCAAAGTGACATTTCCCCTCTAAGTACCCCAAGAACAGTTGACTCTACATCATTAGCTGTCAGATCAATGATACGAACTATAGATAGTACTGCAGGGATTCCAGAGGCCCCAGGCAGGGTTAATGATCAAGAAACCCTCCCTTTGACTGAACAAATAGTGAGGATAAGAAATCAGCTGAAAAGTTTTGAACAACAAAAGAAAAAACTCAGGTGAGTCCAAACAAATATTTAATATGGGATACTGACTGAAAATTGAAATGATAAACGTGAAAAAAATTTTGAAAACAGAAGTTCAAAGGTCATAGGTTTAAGTGTTCTTATTGTTAAATTTCATTTTTTAAAAAAACAGGAAGTTACAAAAACAGCACAAACAGCTGACTTCCTGGCTTGATGATGAAGAGGGGACTGTCTCAGAATCTGAAATTAAGGAGGTGAAAGAAGAAGTAAGGGAGGTAAGGGGCATGTCCCTTTGAAAAATTATTTTTAATCAAATTTAATTTTATTAATCAGGTTTACTCTTTTTGTGTGTGTAATGGGAAATAAAGGAAAGTTTCATGATTGAATGTGGCAAAAAAAACAGACTTAGTTTTAAAAAAAACTGCTTTACTCAAAATAAGCACATAAAGCAGTCAAATCACCATTACTGGCATGATTATAATAGGCAATAGGTCCTTTACAAAAATTGTTAAATACACGACCCCTATGTCCAGATAAAGCCAATTTGATCTCAACAAGAAAAAGACATGATGCTCGTATAACTGTCAAGGCCTAAGGGCTGAGAATTTTAATGTATTATAGGAAGATGGTATTAATTGTTGATACTTTTATATTTTAGATGGAGAAGGAAATTAAAACATACCAAGCTGAGATAGAGAGGCAAAAACCAGAATGTGCCCAGTTAGTAGAAAAGGTCAATCAGCTCATTCAAATGATGTCAGAAAGGTCAATCAGCTCATTCAGATGATGTCAGAAAGGTCAATCAGCTCATTCAGATGATGTCAGAAAGGTCAATCAGCTCATTCAAATGAATGAAAGGTCAATCAGAAAGGTCAGAAATCAGCTCATTCAAATGATGTCATCCAGCTCATTCAAATGGTCATCCAGCTCATTTAAATGATGTCAGAGAGGTCATCCAGCTCATTTAAATGATGTCAGAGAGGTCATCCAGCTCATTTAAATGATGTCAGAGAGGTCATCCAGCTCATTTAAATGATGTCCTAGCAGAATTATATATCTACGATAGAACCAAGCCATGAATAAACTGCCAGAAAAAGTAGATTCAGAGATTAGATTTTCTTGTACATAATGATATTAAAGATTTAGTTCTAGAGAAACTTTCCCTGAGCAGGTAGATTTATTGTTTGGTCAGTTTGAATTTTCATAAACATTTTGAAATCATGAAAGAAAAAAGAATAATTTACATATCTGGATAAAATGTTTGAAAAAAAAATGTTATTGCCACAGGATTACTTTTTTGCTCTTGATGTCATATATTTTCCTGTGTTGTTCTTAACATCTAAGCTTATGTCAGTTTTGTTGTAATTTTTAAAAGTAAGCACATACACATGTATTATTGAACATTAACTCATCAAGTAATTAAAAATAGTTCTTGCTTAGTTAGGATATTTTCATGTTAGAAAGGTGGTATGGTAAATGGGTGGCATGTCTACAAAAAATATAATGCAACTTATCTAATCCAGATGTGTATTCCAAGATCTTGCCAAATACAATGTCAACTCCATTTCAGTAAATTCAATTTTTAAAAATATATATCTGGTCAACTTCTATGGAGGCAATGGTGTTCAAATTTACACAAGTTTGAATGTATGTTGAATGTAAGTTAAAACTTGATGTTCAATCTTTTAAGTCACTCAGTACATGTTAAGAATTAAGTTTCCAGTTCATAAAACAATCTTCAAAGCTGGAATGACCCTACGAAATGATCGAGTGCATGTACTACACAGGGAAAAGTGACTCACATGATATTCATGTAATTATTTTTTTTTTATTTCAAAATTATATGAGAATCATGTAAATATTATATAATATTTTTCCATGCGAATTTTATCTGAAAAAAATTATATGATGTTCACATAACATTTTTTTAGAACTTTATGTGAATTTTTTTTGCATGATATTCAGGCGATATGCTCTTCATGTAAAAGTTTTCATATAGATTTCAAATATCTCATTTTCTGTCTCTTTTTCATGCAAAGAATTCATATGAAATTCATGAGAATTTCAAAATAATTTTATATGAGCCACTTTTGCCTGTGTAGTTTCAAAGAATTTATCAATTTTTTATATAAAAAATGAAAGTTTGTTATCTACATTTCTTTTATCTTAATGGTAGTTTTGAATTTATGAAATGAATGTTGTATCAAAGAATCTTATATAAAAATAGTGCCAAATTAAAAATCTTTCAAAGTAAGCAGTTCTTATTTATTTGTTCTCAGAAAATGGGAATTCAGTAAAGTTTTATGTCAGTTTGAATATTTCTGTTATATTCCTACATTAGTATATATGAAATTGTCCACAGTTATACCGAATTCATGAATTTCATAAAATCCTTACAAAGATGCATAGCTAGCTGGTTCCAGTAAATATATATACCATGGCTACTTTATTCAAAATCTTATAAACAAGAAGGGGGGGCTAAGTCTTGCTGTTGAATTTGACAAGGTTATTAAATTTATATACACAACACATGAAACAAATCTTTATGTTAAAAGTGCAAAACGTCATGATGACTTTAACTTTTTAATCACCAACTTCTCTAATTTGTGTAACAAATTACCCTTATCACTCGCATGTAGGATTTATATCTCAGTTGATTCGATATGCAAGAGCATGCTCTACGAACAAACAACTTCTAAAACGAGGTAAATTATTGACAAACAAGTTGATGAACAGGAATATCAATATACTCGTTTAAAGTTATAATTTTACAGTTCAATGGTTGGAACAACGACTTCGTTAGTAAATACAGTATACATGAATTATCAAATCACCTGCTGACAGGAGTTTTCTTATCAATTGTTAGGCCATTTTTCACACACTGGATTTTCTACGGTCCTTTTGGTAACCCGTTTATGGCCAGATCTTGGTCTATCATATATGTTCCTAGCTGCTAGAGACGTATGTTTAACCGCTGCAAAACCGATTGATGTACACCAAATGAAATTTAATAGGCCCATGTGGGCTCTGCTCCCATTTAATTTGGTATTGTTTAAATGGATTTTTTAGTTTGATTAATGTTCGTTATCTCTTTTTTTATGTCAAACTTTACTTCCAATAAAAATGGAACACGAAATTTTACTTACATTGTCATTGGTCATTTGTAAATTATTTTAATTGATAAAACTTCGTTAATATATCAAAAATAAAATAAAAGTTCACAAAGAGAGATTTCTTGTTTCCTGTAGAATTTTTTTTGTATTCAACTAATAATTTCCAACAAGCCTGTGGGATATTCCATCGGTTTTTAGCAAATTTGTTTTAAATTTTAAAAAAAAAAACTTCTAGATGAAATAAAGAATTCTTTGCTATGGCCTTTACTCCAACAAGAATAAAACTTAAGAAAAATCAACTCTCTGCAATCGACAATATTTAGAAAAAGCCTTGTAAAAGACTTTTATTTCAAAAATGTTTCAAATCTGGATAATTTGGTAAAAAACTTGACATTAATGGGTGATAATTAGTTTGATGAAACAAAAGATTCATGGTGGCTTTAGCTTTTCATAAATGTTTCGGACTTATAGTGTTTGTGTGGCAAAAATATATTGTCAAATTTTAAAGTATGTGTAATCGGTTATTCAATGTGCATACATTGTTTTAAACGAGGCATGTTTCAGAGAAACAAGTTGATCACAAATGGATATCCGGTACAAACTTTGCCAAGTTATTTTCTTAAAAATGAAAGTGGTGAAAACAGAGAAAATCATGCTTTTTAAATAATTGAAATTCAATGCAGAAATATCATACAAATTATTTTTCTCACATGTGTTTTTAAATCTGTATACAAACTAATGAAGGATATAGAGATAAAGAGCAGTATTCAATATCAAAGTCCAAACACATACAAAATAGGAGCAGAATTTAAAACATAAGAGATAACATTGTCCATGAACAGTGCATCGCCCACAAAGATCCAGATATGTGATTTGTTATTGAATTTTGCACAAAATATCAAAAAATTAACGTGGTCAATTCAGTGTGTAAATAACAGACTAAAACTAGGAAAAACATCTGTCAGCATTTGACTCAAATGTGAACTGTATTTGAAGGTCATTATATCTGTTGGAAATAGAGAAATGCATCACATTAATGACGCATATTCCCACAAATGTTACCTTAATGCCATATTCTTTCTTGATTTATCAGAGTCATTTATTTAACTAATTTGAAAGCCAGTTTCAAAACTTTTTGATGTCATTACATTTTTAGGGCGGAATAAAGCTAAAACCATACCTTCTTCGTTGATGGTCCAGATTAGTTCAAGATATGTGAACACAAGTTTTATTATGCTCTAAGCAGTGTTCATTGGAATATAAGGCTTCTGAAATAGGTTCAAAGAGTTTCATTTGAAAATTACATGCCATCTACAAATAAGAATCAATCTGAGCAGTGTCTTTGAGAGATCCGAATAATGGTTTGCCAAACCATAAAAAAAATGTAGTGTATGTAAGGCCAATCAAGATTCAGATAAAGCATGAGACCTACATTTCAAAACTGGGGTTAAAGTTATGAATTATATTTGCTGTTTTTAACCATCTTAAATCTTCTTGTCAGAAATATGATAATGTAATAAGAATAAACTTTTCAAAAAGAATACACCATAAGCTCTTACCTATCAATTACTTGCTAATATCTTGTCAAAGAAGTGCTCACATTGCTGTATGTATTATCAATGGTCTTAATGAATTTCATGTAATAACAAAATGCATTTAACAGGTTTGCATAACAATTTAAGTGCAAGTCACAAGGAAAGTGGACTTGAATTAGACAAGATAAGAAATTTCTACACATAGCTTTTTCCAACTTAATTTAATTAGCGTACTTATACAACCATAAATTAAAGAAAGAAAAAACGCGTGATGTGACAATGTTTTATTATCTAATAATGATAATAATAATAAAGTCACAGTTCATATATACATGTATAAATATATTTCAGTATGAAATAAATATGTTTTCATCCTTTTATTTTCAATACAATTGATCTTTTAAACAACATTTATGTTTTAGATATGAAAAATGTACATGTACGTTAATTCATGCTTTTATTTCACAATAATTGACATCTGCATAAAAGGGAAAAAGGTTAACAAAAAGTACCTTTTCAATATGAAAAGCTTGTATACCATATTATCATCATGTCAGCACAAGACATAAAAAAGAAAATGAATCAAAATAAAAATGTTCAAAACATATAGTATGTTGCAATGATAGTTGTAGAACCTACTATAGTATTTTCCCCATTTGCAATTTTTTTTTTGGGGGGGGGGGAGATTATATTGATTAATGGGCTTCAAATTATGGAGCCATTAAAACAAAGATAAAATATACTGTCAAGTCTAAACCATTATCCTATAAAAGAGAAAGAAAAAAAAATTAACAACAATTATACAAAAATAAACTCAATATGTTTCCCCCTTATTTGAAAGGTACCATACTTCGTTGTTCACAAAACAAATATATCATAAAATGAAACTCATTATTTATTCGGCTTTCTTTTACGTTTCACATAAATTAGCTTTTCACTACTATGTTAACTGAGAATTAACATTGTTTTCAAAATTAATCTAAAGATATTTACATTTTTTGTATAAGTGGAATGAAGCAAGGAATCTAAATTATAATCTATGGAATGAAGCAAAAAACGCTTAGATGCACCATAGCAGATTGATAGCCTATTTTTGGTGACCTTCATTTCATTGATTGTCTATATATAAATTAGATCAGTGTTTGACAATGCTCCCTGTCATCTTTTATAACATACATCATAATACATAATATAGAACGTACGTAGTACATAATATTGGACTGTACCAATGATTCAGATACTAAATCTTGAAAGTAAAAAACCCTAATGATATTAACAATATAATTATAAATTACATCAGGAAAGCTTGTTAGTATACCTCCGTTAAAAATTATAACGTGAATGTGTATCTTCAGTTCATTCAATATTATCCTGAGAAATTGTAAACGTGTTGTCCTTAGGGCAAGAAGCTCATCAGAATTCATAATCAGCGCATTAATTATTAAATAGCTTCCAAGTCTTCCTTAACCCTTTTCCTTGTTTTAATGGTTTTATGTGGTTAATATGAACAAAGGTTGCGTAGAGTTTGACAAAAATACTTTTTTGCCATTTTAAAATTGATACCGCAACGTTATTCAAACAAACAATTACGTCTAAAAATTTGCATTTCTAAACGACTCTTTCTCAGACTTGAATATGGACGTTCTTATTGATACTTTTACAGATGATCTATCTAACCTTTGACCTGACCCTTGTTCCTGTTAACCTATAACCTTTGATCTGTGACCTCTACCCCTTTATTCCTCCAGTATTTCTTGTGCTGTTGTAGATGTAGAGTGTTGTCGGCAATCCTCGGGTCCGGATGGTCGTACTGAGGGGGGTTGAGTTCCGGATCGTACCCCAGCCGCCGTAACATCGGGGCGATCTTCCCCATGTTCCTGACTACGCTGGTAGGGTACGTCCCCACCCATTTACTGAGGGCTTCAAGGTTGACTGGTTTTACCACCTGGTCTGTCGATCTCTCTGACCTGTACAAAAACAAAAACTTAAGACATATACCGAGTACCGAAAGAGTCTTCCTACTTCTATGCCGAGCAGATCATGAAACAGCTGCTATGGTACTGAATCATGGCTCAGAGGGTCCCTCACTTTATTCTTTGCAATCTTATGAATAGAAACGAATGTTACATTGACATATTTTGGAGTACAGATAAAGCTATAGTATATCTTTTTATAGAATCTGGGTAAGGTAATTCTATTATACAATTTCAATCAATATTACAGTTGTATACATGAAGAAAAAACCATGTAATCGAATGAAAAATATAGAGATAACGAAAAGTATTGAAGCTCAAAAATAAAGTCCATTCAAACAAAATTACAAATCAGGAGCAGAGCAATCCAGGACCTTTAAAGCGTCAGAGGTGGGATCAGGTGCCATGGAGGAATGTGCATTCCCTGCCGAGCGGTCACACCCGTCGTGTGCTCATTGTCATGATCGGGAAATAGCGGTAAACAATACAATTAATGGTGTTACATGTACGAGGGCCGTTCAAAAATTACGCGGACTTGTTGCACAGAAAAAATATTTGACGGCATAATCGGAAAAAATGTCACACATAATATAAAAGAATCTTTACTTATATGGTCTTCAACATTTCATAACAAAATGTTGTAAATTGGTATCAATTTTGAGTGATTTATCAGGACATATCATTAAGTCACGGAGCAGCAAAATTTTCGACGTCACAGGCATTATAAAAAAATATGTGATTGAGCTTTCATTTTCTCAACATTTTCCTAAGAGTACCTGTAAAGTTTGAGTTGCCTTATCTACTCAACATCAAAACACCATTTCTTGTCAAGCTTAAAATATATTAAACAAGTAAAGAATATTATTTTTTATTTTAAAAACAAAAACTGCAGGTATTTATGAGATATAGGGTGACATTGGTCACTCTAAATAACGTTCTTTACAGTCCGAATACACGTACAGTTTTCGCCGATAATCTTCCCGTCCACCCATATTGGCTTTTTACAGAGGTCTAAAATTTCATTTTGCTATTTGTGGACGAATGTCACGAATACCCTAGTTTACTACATCTTTTATTATGCATATTTTGGATCTATGTTGGCGAAGCATTACACGTAATTTAACAAAAGTGTATTGCGCCGTCAATTCAGGAGACGTCATTTTCACAGTCGTTTTCACGGGAATCGCATCGGAGAAAAATCAACATATTTCCGTAAGTACTTCAAATATCATGTCAGAAATCTAAATACATAATAATAGAACAATTTACAGATATATTTGAGAAAATCGTCAAAAAATATCGCGAATTATAGAAAATAAATGAGTTAACATGCTTTTGCTTCAAATTTTTTGTGGTGCTCCGTACCTCTCCATCAGCGATATCAACATACCGGTAATTTTAGTAGAACTTCATTAAAATATATAAATTTTGCCCCAAATTTATTGGAATCTTTAAGATACATGTTTCTATGAAATTTCATAACGATATGACGTCTGTAAGAGTAAACAAGCTAATTCAGAGAATTCGTGTCCCCCGCTTAGGGAAAAAGTCGGCTCCCCCTGACTGAATTTGTAGAGTTATTAAATGTATACATGTATACTGAAGGAAATAAAATACATGTATGTCAATATACATATAAAGATTTGATTGCTTATTCTTTATTATGTGTATAGAAGATTTTTTTTATATGGAATATTTATCACACTGAATGATGATTTTATAACCTCATAAATTTTTCATTTCACATGCTGAATACTATCATTAAGTAAAAAAAAAGTATTAAAAAAAAAAAAAAAATGGTTCGACCGAGATTCGATCCCGGGACTTCTCACATTTGAAGCGAGAGACATAACCACTAGACCACGGAGTCGCTTTACATGCTGTCAAGTATATGCAGAACTGAAGTCACATACATGTATATATTCATGTTTTCATGTTTGGTATTCTCAAAATTTTACACAATCCATGGTGTTTGATTTATTTAGCCTTTATTAAACAGTTCTAATAGATGTAATAAGAACATAAAGTCCGCCGAGAACCTGTTTTATACGCAATAACTCTCCTCATGCCCCTGCGCTAAAAATAGCGACATGTAATATTATAAATATTAATAAAACAAACGGGGCAGGGCACTTTGAGAGGGGCGAGAGACGTCCTAGGGAGTTTTGGTATAAAATTACATTGCATAAGCTCAAAATCTTCTTGAAATATCGCCCGGAAATGATAGTGTTACACACAGACAGAATGTATAAATTTACGACCTTGAACTTTGACCTTTTGACCTCAAAATCAATAGGGGTCTTCTTTAGGCTACAGGGAGTTGTTATGTAAAATTTCATTGCAATAGCTCAAATGGTTCTAGAGATATCGTGTGGAAACGAAAGTGTTTTAACAGACAGAATTTGCTTATTTATGACCTTGACCTTTGACCTTTTGACCTCAAAATCAATAGGGGTCTTCTTTAGTCCATAGGGAGTTGCTATACTAAATTTCATTGCAAAAGCTCAAAGGGTTCTCGAGATATCGTGTGGAAACGAAAGCGTTACAGACAGACAGAAAGACGGACGGACGGACGGACGGACGGACAGCTAGACGGACGGACGGACGGACGGACAAACCCAAATTAATATCCCCCACTTTTCAAGCGGGGGACAATAATAGCACAGTCCGCGTAATTTTTGAACGGCCCTCGTAGTATGAAAAACGTCAATCAGCAGTTGACTTTATGAAAGATTGTATTTCCTGACAATGTCATTCATTTTTTAATCGACCGTAGAACTTTCGAAATGATGACATGAAACGAGAATATTAATATTCTTTTTTAATCAAATTGTTGGTCAATACCTTACTTACAGAGATATTATATATGACTTTTAAACATTACTACATTGTTACTTTTTGTAAATTATAATTGTGCTCTTTTTGCCTATCTACATTAGACATGAGGAGGAATGCAACCTTTATTCATCTAGAATTCATACATTTCCTGAAGCACCGTCCCTTGATGTCTTTTGTAGACTGGCAACCATTAATAGACCTTCATCTTATAATATATTTACAATATATGCACACCACCATGGTAAAATTGGTTTAATCTTTTTATTATGTAGTACATTGTCTCTATTTTATGTGAGATTATACTTGTATCTGCGTTATGCCCTCAGTGGGACCATGATTGGAAATAAATTCTATTCTATTCTATAAAACCCCATAAGCAGGTGATGAGGGTATATTGCTAAATAAGTAAGGGAAATTGACGATAGAAAAAGTTAAAGTCATCACGTTTATCATAGAGCTTTGTAACAAAATTACCAGTACCATCTATTTCCAATACCCAAATATGAAACAGAAGAGTCATAAAATTTGAAAATGCTTATATATAATTTTCAAAATATAGCATAATGATTTGAAAAAAGTCAGCCATGGAATATTCATAAAAAACATGAGGTCTGACATTTCTGTTTCATATTTGGATGTTTTGCTCGAAAAAGACGTTAATGGCAACCTAACAACTAAACGTGACGACTTTAACGTCTCTTTCTATATAACTTCTCTTACTGATGTCACAATAAAACACTTATCACATGCATTAGGTGTTCAGGTCTTCTAACTGTTTCGATACGCACGAGCTTTCTAAAACAATTTCTAAAACGAAGCAAACTATCAACAATTACGTTGATAAAAAAAAATGTCGACAGTCTCGTTTAAAAGTCATCAATTCGTAAGTTCTATGGTCGATACAATGACCTTGTTAGCATAATACAACGTAATATTGAGCTGAATGCTGACTGAAGTACGGCATATACTTCATGTACCTTTGAAAATTAAAGACCATTATTTACACATCTATGTCTCCAAATGTTTTCGTTTTCCAGATCACCTCAAGGAACACAAGGGACAGGGGATGCTTACTCCACCATTGCACCTGATCCCATCTCTATAATGTTCTTTTTAGAGTTTTTGGTTGCTGATCTGCTCCCAGTATGTATTGTTTCAATATATCCATCTTTCATATGACTGATTGTACTTTGTTTAACGTCCTGTTCAAAAAATTTTCACTCATATAAAGACGTCACTGTATGAGCGTATGGCTTGAAATTTAGACCTTTACTCGGCACTTAGGGCCATTGAGCAGTGAGCACTTCTGATACCATGTTATGCCTACTGTGACAAGGGGCCTCTGTTTTTTAGGTTTTATCCGAAAGACCCACAACTTTCAGTTCAAAGTTTCGAGCGTTTGGTGAAGAAACAATTGCTACCTTTCTTACCGACTTTGGTATGTCGAAAAAATGATTCGAACACACGACCTCTCCATCGTATTTAGGTGTTGTATTTATATATTGGTTACTTACTGTGACAAAGAAGCACCTCCTTTTTTTCCTATGAAGTCCTGGTGATGCAGCACATTGTTACTCCAAGGAATCTCCAGGAATTTTAATATTCGCCGCATCCAGAGTTCCGGATGGAGGCTGAGCTGTTCGTAATACACCGGCATACATCGACGAGGTCCGATGTGAAGACACTGACTATACATGTTCTCTATAATTGCATTCCATTTTTCCAGACAATTCTTAGGATCTTTTAGATCGAAATTGGATACTGTAACCTTTCTGGAAATTATTGAATGAACACTTGCTCGTCCATCTCTAACCATTAATAGGAACTTGGCTTTGGGGAATAATTTACTGAGATAAATACTGTGTTTCAATGTAAAGGGATCTTTGTTACACAGCCACGGAGCCGGGTCGCCGTGGTTCTGAATGATGTCCATAATAAAGGCCCCGACTGCTGAGTCTAACACACGATTGTTAAGCCCGGCCTCGGCCAGCCTCTTTCTCTCCCGCTCTGACTTGGTCCAGTCAGTCCTGGCTCTCAATATCCTCGGAATAACACGTGTTTCCTCGCCACATCTCACGTCCTGATGGGCATCTAACATCACGCGCATCAACGTCGTCCCACTGCGAGGGACTCCCCCAATAAAAATCAGCGGGGCACTATACTGTCCCTGTATTCCACCTTCCAGTATTTTCGGCCTGTCGTTTTCATTTTGCTGAAAACTGATGTATACCGTCAGTGCTCCAATCCAGAAAAGAATGAGAAGAGTGGAATATTTTGTCAGACCTCGCATTCGGACAATAAAGCTTGTTGTCAGAGGTTCACGAACTTCCTTCATCTGATCTGTACATGTAACATCAAAATCCTCGAATGAAAAAACAAAACAAATCCTTTAAAGATTTAACATTAATGATTGATCCGTCATAAGTTTCTATATTTTAAATCCTTGGATGTTTTAACCACTCTTGTAGACTATTTCGTTCTTTCATAAATTCATATAATACTAATCCAGGAAATTTTGAATTATTAATCGATGCGTAAACGGCCTAAGAGTCGTGTTAATTTTTAATTACGAGACCGACATTATGAATTATTTACAAAATCTCTGCCCAGGTATCTGTCAGGTAGAGTTATGAATAAACGGCGATTAATTTTTATATTTTATATTTTAAGAATACAATTTCAGTGAAAAGAAAACGTCATCGGGAACGTTAAAACAAACGAAACAGGTGAATATAACAAACAGTGACCGATCGATCTCATAAAAATTAAAGACAACACAAATCTGTGTACAGGGAACAGAAGGCGGATCTCCGGAAATTCCAGAGGTGGGATCAGGTGCCTAGGAGGAGTGTATGTGCATAAAGTGTGCTCATTTTAAAATCTTTGAATTTTCTTTTTAGCCATTGAAGTCGTTGGCAATATATCCAACATTTCTTATATATATCATACTGAACTTTTTTAGTTCTTTATAAAAAAAAAGTCAGTATTAAATATTTTTTACTGGTTCTCTATATACCTGGTGCTCTGCACACGGGGTTTACATCTCTCAGTTGATTGAACGCAAGAGCAAGCTCTAGGTATGAACAATTTTAAAACGAGGTAAATTATTGAAAAACAAGTTGCTGAAATAAGAATATCAGCAGTCTCGTTTAAAGTCATTTCGTAGGTTCTTTGGTCGATGCAATGACCTTGTCAGTTAATACAATTTATCATTTAGTCGAATGCTGTCGTTTTTCATACTTTTTGTTAAGCCATTATTTACACTGATTTGTCGACGGATTTTCCCGTTACTTCCCAATCATGACTGACAAGGAACACACAGTGGACGTGACCGTTCGGCAGGGGATGCTCACTCCTCCATGACACCTGATTCCACTTCTGATCTTTAGGAGGTTCGTGTTTGCTCTGCTCCTATTTCGTATTATTTAATGGATTTTTTAACTTAAATATTGTTCGTTATCTCCATATATTTCATACAGTAATCCTAATATATTTAACTGCCTACTGATCTTTTTTTCATAAATTTGAGAGATTAATGACTAAGACAATATTTGCTTTTCCTAGTTCTTTTTAATAAAACCAACTTAAACAACAATTAGTCAGGTTGCATGAAAGCATCCAATTTTATTTTACACATCGTTGTATGCAGTTAAAAAGAGAGACAAACAGACATAAGTCAAAGTCATAAACAATTCTTGAATTTGGTCTTTGAGATTTTTTCCTGCATATGGGCGGATTCAATTCCCCTTAAAACAACATAGCCTCTTTTCTTTTTTAAATTCTCATAGATTTTTCAGTTCTGTTCACATATCTATGGACTTTGTCATGCTCTATACTTGGGGAGGATTATGCAGTGCTCACATTTGGCACACGGAGGGTCTTAACCCTGATCTGTTCTGTTACTGTCGGGACACGGTAATTCCTGTCGTGTTCCCTCATCACGTCACTCTCTTCGCTTTCTTCTCCTTCCTCCTATAATACACGATCTGCCCGGTGATTATGATATTCAGCAGACTAGCCTGGACGAAGGTGAAGATCATGATTTTGTCCATGGTCAGAAGGAGGGAGGATGTGAACCTCCCAAAACTCTGGAAGGTGCTGAGGAAGGCGGAGGCCGCGGACAGCTGACCAGTTCCGTGGTTCTTATAGTTCGTGTAGATCTGTATCACCTAGACAAGAGGAAATACCAGATAATGAAGATACGAGTACAAGTGATTTAATGATTTTATCTATATTTTCTTATATCAATAACTCAGTATTTTTATACCATTTACAAATATTTTGATATAAAAACCCTGTAGTAATATGAGAAAATATCTTTTAACAATACACTATTATGGCGACCCATTTGCATTGGCATGCTGTATAAAATTTAAGATAATCATAATTCGACAAGGTGTCAGCATATCTGTAAACTGATAAATTGATAAATTTAAAAGTTCATTTAGTGTAACACCTGGCCGAATAAATGGACATCCATAACAACTGACCACGGAGTAAAGCATCATCTGTGTATTACACACGTGATACTACATGTACTGTTTACTATTATCATTCATCATTATCAAGTGACAATTATTATGTGTGTGTCGTAATTGTGCTTTCATTTATATCTCCGGTAGATAACAGAAATATCTAACAATAGTGCCAGCATGAAATGTTTTTATTTATTTGTCACTGTATAAAATATGCTTACCTAATTTGCATTTTAGCTGAATAATTAGGGATTCTGAATATATAACTAATTTATGCTATATGTAATTTAAAATTATTCTCTGTAATTCTCCCCGAAAAGTTTTGTACTGGGGCGTATATTAAAAAAGAAGGTATGACAGTCTTCATTTTAATCATCAGTGAGTGTTGTATCTTTAAACGTATTTAAGGATTTAATAACTATTTTTACCTATCTAAGTGTTTTTTTTTATTATTTCCATGATGATTCATAGTAAAATCTGACAAGGTTTTTATATCTTTTCTTTCAGTCGAAGAGGTAGCCATGAAGTTATGATCAATCGGGAACTATTGACTTCATATTCTTTTTTAATAAAAAATAGAAATTTTATATTCAGTTTCGTAGCCTGATTTTGAAAGATATATATATTTTGTAGTAGGAAAAAAATAGCAGTTTATTGCTAAAATTCCTTCAGGAAAAGATATTAATAAGATTTCCTACGAAAAGTAGACGCAAAAAAAATATAAAATGTTTAATACAAGAATTATTTATTTTAATAAATATGAAATCATGGGGGTTGGGGAGAGTGTGCCATTGCGGTGTACTCTGAATTGTAAATACATAAGGTATATAATGATAGGAATTAAGTACGTCAATATTTGTCAAACAGTGATATTTCAGCATCAGAGGAAGGTGTTAGCCGGTTACCACAATATTACAGAACAGGGTAACCAATGGAGACTCACCGAAATAACACAGAATGTCAAAACCTATAAGAGAAGACAAAGGCTTGCATAGCCTGTGTCAACTACAAAGAGAAGACAAAGGCTTGCATTGTCCGTGTCAACATCAAAGAGAAGACAAAGGCTTGCATAACCTGTGTCAACTACAAAGAGAAGACAAAGGCTTGTTTTGCCTGCGTCACCATCAAAGAGATGACAAAGGCTTGTTTTGCCTGCGTCACCATCAAAGAGATGACAAAGGTTTGCATTGCCCGTGTCACATCAAAGAGATAACAAAGGTTTGCATTGCCTCGTGTCAACATAAAAAAAAGATTTACCCGGCTAACAATGAGAATGTCTGTATCAAATCGAAGACAAAGGCTTGCATTGCCCGTGTCAACATCAAAGGGAAGACTTACCCGACTAACACTTAGAGCAGGCATGCTTAGGATGTTGAGTGATATGAGGAAAGTGGTAGGCAGCAGAGGAAGCAGGAGCGCCAGCATAACTACAGTATAGAGCAGCATGAACAGCAGAGCCGACAGAGGGCGTCTGTTGTACTGTAGTAACAGGCAAACCAGGATAACATTCTCCACCATAAACACGAGATTCTCGCCCCAAGTACTGAAAAATATAGAAAAAATATAGAAAGTTTCATAATGGATGGTTTTAAACAGTGACATAGAAGTTGGAACACAATGATTCTATGCATATTGACAGGTTGAAAAATACACTTTATCATGGATGTATTACATAAATTTCTACAAGTATTAGGTATTTTTAATGACCTACTTTATTGGAAACTGCTTCCAAACGGAGTATGCTACTATTGACGATGAAGCTTCCAACATGAGAAGAGTGCTCATGACATTGATTCCAGACCCATTCCGTCTTTTGAGAACTTTGAAAATTTGAGGAATTTGGCCTACAATAGGAATATTATTGGATTAAACATATGTGCTTTTCTGGTACCTGTTCTTGGTCAATGACTCTAAGTGAATACTTCCGAATAATTAAGTGACACTAATCACGAGGAACTGTCTGAAGTGAAAGTACGGATCGGAAAAGTTATTTTTAGATGAACAGAGTGTTCGTACCAAGAATCATGGATCCAATCAACACGTAGCCGTAGATCTTCACCACAAAAGTTAGCAGACATTGTCCTGTCAACAGAAAATGGTAGAGGTAAAATCTAACTTCAACATTTAAAATGAAGGTACAGGTATGCCATTAAAATTGAGAAATCTACACGCCGGTGAAGGATGGTACATGTATTTGTATTTCATACCGTAAAAGAGGTACCGCCTCTGAAATAGCTCCGTGTAGCAGACGTCGGGGATGCCGACACCACCGATAGCTTTAGCCGTGGTTGTAGAGTCAAACATATTCCAAGCACTGAGTAGGAGTTCAAACAATTCATATACACCGAGTACCACGCTGTCAAAGGGCTTATATAGCCAGCTCTGGGTATCATTCATAGTCCACCCCGTCTGACTCCGCGATAACAAATAACACAAGGCGAAATAACAAGCTGATAACTGAAAATATCATACGATATAATATCCTACATATAAGATGGCCTTAGTCTGTCCAGACATACTATAAACACTACTTAACAGTTTATCGGCGAGCGACGGTGGTGCGTTTTGAAAGATGAAGAGTACCAAAGTCCACATCTCTTGTGTATACAACAACAACAATGCTGACTAATACGTGGTATTTGTAAGCTACTTTATTACAACGCAGCTGATGATGTGATGTTTTTGTTGTGTAACAAAATGTACGAATTTTAGATTTGGTCGAATAACTGTCTCTATTTAGGATTTTTATGTTGGTGTGAATTTTGAGACATGTAACAAAGCAAAATGAGCTACACTTTTGAAAATTTTATTTTTATATATAATGATTATTATTATAATATATTAATATTATATATAAAATATATTATAAATTATTATATTATTTTTGTAAAAATGTGTTATTATGATAAAGTATGTATCTTAATCCTTTACGATCAATTAGACTAAAATAAAGAAGAAGAAAGACTTCTACATGCATCCACAATCCAATATACAATTTTTATAAGAAATCATTATTGTACAGGAAGACAGTAATGCAATGTTGCAACCATTATTGAAATAACGACCACTATTGAAATAATTATTTCAACAGTGGTTGAAAGTGCATTTCAATAATATATATTAAGGACAGATGATACAAACAAAAAATGGATGCCTGGATTGGTATATATATTTTTTTGCCTAATTTCATTGCAAATGATGCAAATAATAAATTTCTAGAAAATAAAGAAATTGTAAACCTCTTTTGAAACCATCCTTATTAATCTATACAAATATTTTTCACTTCAAATTCCATTTTTGTGCAAATTTGAATAAAAAATTAAAAACTACGCGGTGAAAGTTATTCATTTTACTCATTTAAACATGACCCAACTTGTTATTTTCAAATTCTTTGACAAAAGTTTATTTGTATCATCTGTCCTTAATTGCAACCACAATTGAAATACGTCCACTATTGAAATAATTATTGAGAGTGCATTACAATAACACACATTGGCTACAACCACTATTGAAATAATGTTCTCTTTTGAAATAAAGATTTCAGTAGTGATTAAAATATAGATTTCAAAAGTGATTGAAATATTGATTTCAATAGTGCTTTAAACAATGATTCCAATAGATATTAAATTATTCTAATAGTTGCTGACAATACCAAAACCACATTGCAAGCTTTCTAGGTGTATCCCAACTATTAAAACAAATAGAAGGATGAATTACACATTCTGTTTTCTTACACAAGAAACTAATTTATTGAGTTAAAATATGATGACTTCAGTTGTTTTATGTTTTCTTTTTAGTAGAAATTTCAATTAATACACAGACACTTTTTTAAACTGACCTACATGTACCTATAATGCAAAATTGTATGCAAAAGTTATAAGCAAGCTCTCGCTGAATCTGGTCAAATCGGCGAAAACCAAAAGAAATCAATTAATATCTGCAATTCTGAAATAATTTGTTATATAAAGTTCATTTTTTTTCATTGATTTGGAAAAGAAAGGATCATAAATACATCTGGGTGTAGAAATTAGAATATCTAGCCCAAAATGAAAAACAAGAAGGAAGACTGATAATTTTTTTACTAACTTTCTGATGAAAATATGCTTATTTTCAATAAAAAGAATACAGAAGAGAACGAAATTGTCGCTCATATTCATGGGATTACCTGCACCACAAATATGAATAGTAAAGTCAAAGTCTACTCGTCAAGATATTAAAAAGCAAAATTTCTAGGGAAGTTAGTATTCGGTTTATAAAAATGTTAGGTGTTATTTCAATAGTAATTAAAATGTGGTGGTGTTTTGAAATGTATTTTCAACTTCTTTTGATATAATAATTTGCAAGTAGTCGTAATTTTAATAGTTAACTCAATTAATGAATTAAAAATGTTTGAAAACATAATGAACAATTAATCCTTATATTTTTTATTAGTTAAGTTGTTTCAATAAGCCTTGCAATGTGGTTTTTGTACTGGATTAATTATCAGCAACTATAAAATCATTATTTGAAACACTTTTGAAATCATTATTTCAATTATTATTTAAAAAAAAGTTTATTTCAAAAGTGAACATTATTTCAATAGTGGTTGCAGCCAATGTTTGTTATTGAAATGCACTCTCAAACACTACTGAAATAATTATTTCAATAGTGGTCGTATTTCAATACTGGTTGCAATCAATGTTTTGTTTTGAAATGCACTCTCAACCACTATTGAAATAATTATAATAATGGTCGTTATTTCAATGGTGATTCAGTCGCAGCTTATATATAGTTCTTCCATCGCAAATATGAACAACAGGAAGTTTATTGACGCTATTTTTTCTGTCATTGAAATAGCTGTTTACTCTTTTGCAACAAAATATTCCGACATCATAGTTGCAGCTCATACTAGTATTTGTTTTAGCAAACTACAAAGGTGGTATGGAGGTATGGAACCATTCAATACACTAAACACTACACATTTAACATTAGAATATAGGGATACCAAACGTAATGAAGCTCAAAATCAACTGTAAACAATACAAATCAGGAGCAAGGCAAACGAGGACCGTGAAAACATGAGGTGGGATCAGGTGCCATGGAAGAGTAAGCATTCCCTGGTGGCGGGACCTACCCGCCGTGTCTTCCTTGTCATGACTGGTCAAACAGAAAAATCCTTGGACAATTCAGCACATGTAAAAATGGCCTGATGATTCGTGTGCCCAAAAAACGTCAGTCAGTGTTCGACTTAATGATAAATTGTATTTGCTGATAAGACATTGCTTACCACAATACTTTCAAATTTAAAAGCATTTGACCGAAAACAAATAATAAAAATATTAAATTAAATTTAAACAATATTTCATTATGTATAACAGATGATAGCTTGAAGATCTTCTTTTAACTGATAATAATTAGAACATTTTCCACAAGGACATCTTTTGACTGATGATAGCTAGAAGGCCTTCTACCTGTTAAAAGCTAGGTATTCTAACTGATGATGGATAGAACGTCTTCTGACTGTTATAGCTAGAAAATCTTCTAACTGATGATTGTTAGATCATCTTCTAATTGATAAAAGCTAGTTCTTCAAAGTGAAACCAGCAAGAACAACTTCTGACTGATAATAACGGCAGCATCTGACTGACGATTGCTAAAACGTCTTTTAGCTCAGCTTACACCAAACAATGACTTGATTTGTAGATATAGGTACACATACACGTAAAATGCTGTTATGTCTCTTTATCTGATTTACAAAATAACACAACACAAAAATACTGATAACTTAGATAAAATGAATTTTGATGTGTTTTAGTGAATAATCGGATATTGACATTACATTACTGCGCCTGATTATTTTCTCAACATGTCATCTCGAACAAAGACGAGTGGCACAATTACACTATTAGTATTTATCCTGATCAGCATCGTTTGTTTGTTTGTCTGTCTGTTGTCTAACGTCTCTTTCGATAACATTTCACTCATATTGAGACGCCACCACTTGCCAGTGAAGAGCTGGTGTAGAGCTGCAAATTTTGTCTTAAATAATCGACACTCATGGCCATTGCATTGAACAGTGAGGGATCTTTTTCGTGCCAACTGCGACACGGGTGCTTGGTTTAACCGGTCTCATCCGAAAGACCGGTCTCCACGTTCAACAGTGGTATAACCGGCAACGTTAAGGATCAAGTCCTGCTCCCTTTAATTTGCAAGTTCTTCTTAAATCTAAAAGCAAATTTAATCTTAACAATCCTGGTGGGATCAGCTGCCTTTGAGGAGAAAACATGCGTTCGATTGTCCTTATCAAGGCTACCATCCCACCCGCCAAGGTCAGACAAAGAGTACATTTTGATAACATGTGGTACATGTATATATAACACAGTCCTTTGATGAAGAACACTAAACTCGTTCATATACAAGATAAAGTGAACAATATGCAAATAAAACTGATAACTGCGATTTATTATATTTGAGGTACTCTTGCAAAACCAGGTGAATATTTACAATACGCTACAATGTTATTTCAAATGTACAATATATGTGAATTCATTTTTTGTTTTGGTATACTATAAATCAAAAACAGTTTCCTTTATTTTTATGATAACCTTATAAAAGCATTTTAAATTTGAACATATAAGATTCGGCAATGAACGACCTCGAAAAAAAAGAGTGATCTAAGAATTAATAAACAGATGAAATGTAGGGAGATAAAATAGTTTTGTAAAGAGTGCATAAAATAGGGACCCGTGGAAACTCCAGTGACGATATAAAGTGCCTAGGAGGAGTAAGCAGCCGTGTAGATCATACGCATTATCAAATAACAGAACAATTTATAATAGTCAAATTCAGTATGAAAACAAAGGTTTTTACAATTCGTATGAAACAAGTCAGCAAAAATACGACCTGATGAAAAGCTAAAGTTTGCTAACATGGTCATTATATCGACCATAGAATCAACTATATGCCGATTTTATTTTTTTTTTCAATCCATGTATTATCAATTCTTTTGTCAGTAGCCTGCCTCTGTTTAAATTGATTGTACTCGGAGCATGCGCTTTAGTCATGAATAAGATGGAAGATTTAAACACCATATGCAGCGGGATATTTCAACATAAATGTGAAAAGTTAACGATGAAAAATGTAAAAATGTTTCACATCTGAAATTCACAATGTTTTACCAAATCAACACAAAAACTTTCCAAAAATTCAACTTTATACAAAACCATTCCCTGCGATGAATTTATGTCCAGACGTTTTTGTTATCATTGACAGCTGCTTTTTCAATAAAATTGGAATTCGTATTTAATTACTTTGTCATTGGTCGTTTGCAAAATTATTTTGTAAAAAAAAATAATTGTACACACAACTAATTTGAAGTTAATATTGTTTCTCATTGACAATGTGTAATCATCTATGTGATGTTTGGAGACCAGGTCTTCCACATTCTATTGGAAATCCCAATGGTACCATTTGCGCCCCTTTATAAACATACCTATTTTTGTATTTATAAGAAAAAAATCACGAAGCACAAGTTCTTCTCAAATGAAACTTTAATCCAAGATGATTTTTAACATTGCATGTTCATAAAAGAGGTGTTATAGCCAATCAGATGCCCTCTGACAAAAGAAAAACTAGTCATTGTGTTCTGTTTTTAATAGTAGCAACCATATATCCTTTAACTGTATTTCACGAATATGGCCATTACATCAGCAATACCAACACCTAAAAAAAAATGCAAGACATATTATGGATATTATCGAATCAGCGAATCCAAGAGTAGCAACATGTGTTGTTATGCTTTAATCTATACGAAAAAGGTCATAACATTTCTAATGTTTTTTCTGATCGGGCATAAAAAAATCGATGTTGGACCGCTGAGTGAGATGTTGAGTCGATCAATGAGATGTTGGACCGCTTTCGTCACAGAATGGGCGGAGCTTAATAAACTCGTTTTTATCCGTTGAAGTTCAACAGTGAGGGGCTCCGTTAATGTAGCCCTTTCCTTTGGGGGGGGGGGGGCTAAACAAAACATCAGATTAAAAAATCGGACAGGGCTACATTATTGCAGCTAGTGAGGGGCCTGAGTTTACATCGCGGAAGGAAGTACAAAATACACGTATGTCAAAAAACAATAATAATATGAAAAGTATAACAAAAATTTTATTGACAATGTTCGTGCGTTTTGTAGACCCTCGAACCAAACTGTCTCCCTTTGGCCTAACGGCCTTAGGCAAACGGTTTGGTTCTTGGGTTCGACAAGACGCATGTTCCCCTCGAACTCAGTCAATAAATGTATAATGAAGATTAGTTAATGTCAACCAATTAGCGAAATAAATGTCAGCTTATTTTAAAAGTTAAATAATTAAGATGTAAACGGCATTGGTCAAACTAATACCAAAGGTATAAATCAACTATGTGTAAATGCCATCATATCATGAAGAGTTACCCCTAGCGGTTGTGATACAGGTGTTTACTTGTTCACGACACCTAATCCTTAATTGGACGACTTCAGAAACCATGAGGTTTCTCTGCTTCTCTTGAAATACGAGTATTTAATTGACTCGTAACATTTCATCACTTAATGAAATACCTGCACAAATAATTGCTAATAGAACACATCAAAAAAACACATTTCTGAAGATTTTAACAGTAGTACTGTCGCGTAATTGTATTGGCATTGATAAAAATATTCAAGTTATAAAGTAAACCACATCATTCATAACAGTATCTCTAGTAGATGTTTATTAAAATCTAATGCCTGTAAAGTAGCAGACAAAATACGATATACTAGAATTTTTAGTAATAACACATCAGCATAACAATACCAGAGTATTACATTTATTTAGTAAATGTATTGATATACATGTATTAATTATTATTAAAACAATATTTTTAGAGGAGACCCTTTTTATTTCATCAAAATATAAGGCTAAATGTTTAATGCTTCATTGTACTTATTTGACAATTTACAAAACTTTTTTACCCCTTGCAAAAATTATTAATAAAAGAAAAACATTATCAGTATCATTACATCATCAAAATCATTTAAATAGTGTAATACATGTACATGTAAATCATCATGTCAATTGATAAAATATTTCTTTTTTCTTATTTACTAGTATTGTTCAGGTATTTCCATCCTCCTATGATGCAAAAACTGTTATTAATTTAAATTCCTACCCAGTAGAACAATTTTTTTGAAAGAATGCTTTTCAACAGGTGTAATAATAAATAATGTTAAGTAAAAGAACATAAAAATGTATATTTTCATTATTTAATCAATTATTCAATCTTTGAAAAATTGTGACAAGGGCAATAACTCCCTCTCTTATATCTTCATTCAGACCTTTTCTTTATTGTCCTTTTAATGTAAAATAGTTTCCTTGATACAGTATATTCACATTTCTAAATCATCTTATAAGTAGCAAGTATTTTGGAACTCTTAGTATCAGTATTATGCATTTGAACCAGTTTTTACATAATATTTACAATACTATTTTAAAATAATCTACGATTTTTTCATGTTGACATACTTTTCTGTTTATTTATGTCTCCCATCTTAAATAATAAGGCAATCTATAATTTTTGCGATAGTTGGTAAATTTAAACTATAATAAATGAAAATAAATGCAGTTTTTGTACTTTGAGCGATTAAAATTGTGACGATGGAAAAACCTTAAATTCCAAAGTCACAAAATATGCTACTTTTTGGATGACTGATTTGTAATGTATTTTTAAAGAGTTTTAAACAACTCACCTGATCCATTTTGATAGACAACAGCATCATTTACAGTAGAGTACATAAAAGTAGGTTTGTTTGAGAGGTCATCCCATGATCCAGCACAGCAGACACCAGGTGGGTCAAGGGTCACAAACCACCCGGCGTCATTTTCGCATCCGCCATAATTCCTCTGAATAAAAAAATTCCGCGCGCATGAGCCATGCCTGAAATGCACGCAACAAGATCAATCAGAAGCATACTTCGTAATAACAGAAGGGATAATTACCTAAGACTTTTCAAAAAGTAGTATTATAGCTTTTAACGAACAGAGAAATTTGAGTAATCGAGTAAGGAGTCGTGGGGGGAGGGGGGGGGGTCAACAAATAAACCATCAGTTATAACTTTATTTTTTAAAGATATGATATCTTAACGACAACGGTCTTCCATACATACCTATATACGTCTCATTGGAAAAATAGCACTATCAGACAAACCCATACCGACCATACCATGCCAGATATACCTATACTAGCCTAAGAGGACATTGTACTACCAAACATTACACTGCCAATCTCTTGAGACAAAGATATACCAAATAAATTCATTCCAAACATCCCATACTGACCATACCCATACCAAAAATACCTGTATTTATACCGATGTCAGGGGACATAGCACTATAAAACATCTATCAAACAAACCCGTACCGACCTAGGGGGGACATAATTCCTACTGGCTTAGGTAGACAAAGTTCTACTACACATACCCGTCCACTGAGAAGTAGAAGTACGTCATAGAGGAGTTCAATGTCGTCCAGGAACTGGACAGTAGACGCTCGGGTGACATCCAGCTTTTTATGTTTGATCCTTTCCCACTGAATGTTACAAAGGCCACTCTAGATCCGCCAGTGTACAATTCTAAATGTACCTTCAATAAAAATGACATTTCACAGGCTATACCACATCGTGGGTATTTTCAGAAACTATAGGTACTGGTGCAATATAATCTTGGAAAGAATATCATTACCGTCTTCCTTGGAAGACGGTATTATATAGTTGAAGTTTTTTACAGTTCTTCGGACTATGCACTTCCTCTTTTGTGATTGGTAGAAATTGCATGATGTGAAAATTTTCAATTATTTCATTGGTTGAAATGCTGTTCAGGGCAAGGGAGATAACTTTCTGATGATCTAATTTTCGTACGACTTAACAATTTTGCAAGATTTTCAATCTTAAAAAAATGACAAAACGAAGAACAAAATCAGCAGCAATTAATTCTAAATGACATGCTATTTTTTTAATAGCAATAATCAAAAAGGTCTCATATTTCATTATAAGTAAAATATGATTTTTATTGCTTGCAGGGTTTACAATTTGTTATTATTCTTTTTCCCTTTCTTGTTTGAAGAAGGTAACGGAATCAGCCGAGGTGAACCGAAAGCTCTCGGCCAGTCAAAGTTTACGGAGATGACCGAGCGACAACCGCGGTAGGGCAAATGCCAGTAAAAAGCTAATTTAGAAATACAAAATCAAGAAAAAAATGACAAGGCCTGATAGGTAGATCAGTTTACTGTTTAAGATTGTTGCTAAAGACGGTAAGCTTTTTTTTAAAAAGCTCTACTTGTACAGTGTAGACCATTTGACACGATACCAAGGTAGAGCATAAACACCAAATAAAATACACATGATTAAAGGTTATGTATTACACCTCACTTCTAAAATGGACAATCTCTCCCAGAAGTCCACCTTTGGGTTCCGGTAGTGTGTTGCACATGCTCTAGATGTCATGGAGTTACAGGTATCTTGGGAGGGTGTTGAGGTGTTTGTTCCTAACCACGTGTCTTTGACGCCCACTCCGTTCCCTGCTGTACCACGAAGCATTAACTCTCTGTCCAAGACTTAAAAAAAGTTAATGATTGATGTCATCTTAATTAAGTGTTGGTCGAATTCAAGTTTCTTGGTAAAAAATTAGTTGATAAATGAAACAAAACTATTCAATAATTCTTTCAGACTATTTGAGGTGTTCATAGAAATTTCTAGGAGGTGACTTTAACTTACTAACATTCTATACGCCAAAAAGTGATTTGACTTTTATTGATTTAAAGATGTAATAAGTGTAAACCCTTTCATTTTAAAGGAGATTTTATTGTGTGTAATGTACTTAAAATCAAATCAGGTGAACAAAAACTTTCTGAGCTTAGTTGAATACTTCGTTAATTAAAAGCAAATGAAATTTCTAAATAAAATGTCTAAATTCACCCAATCATTTCCAAGCACATACCATTTGGTCTGAAGTAAAGTGTCCATGTTTCGTTCCGATCTATAATCTGACCGATTCCTTGTGGTCCAGGGGTATTTATCTCACAAACTCGGTCATTCTCGTGATAATTCGCGCCGTAACAATCCTCATACGCTACACAACTGATACAACACTCAGTACTATCAGTGCTTTGATCCTGGGACAAAATCACGGTGGGATTTCGTATCCTAAGTCCGTGAAATGTCTTAAATAGACCGGCGTTTTGTGGGATACTGATAGGTATAAGTATAAATATGCATACTGTAAACACCCCCAAGTGATCCTTTCTCATTATATCCAATATAAACCTTTCATAACAGGTTTAAAAGAATACGCTCTCAGGGAACACTCAATGACATTCGCCTGGATTTGTTTTCCAGTGGAATTATGTCATAACCTATAACTGTTAATTCTTACTGTGTGTTTCCAAACTAAAAATTTACTCGAATATCTGTACAAAAGGCTGGTAATTCCTATATTTGTCTGAGTCTGAAACCAAATGTAAGATAAATATTGACTCTGGGACATTCAACGCCTCATCATAGAGAATATTAACCATACAATCTACTTTGGTTTATTGTCTTCACATCAAAGATTTTCGATTTATTGATATTATTATCATGCATTCTGGGTTCTATTTGAAAGCTGTTTAAAATGAGAGATAAATTTTCATAGTTTTGACATTACTGTACTGGATTAAACCGAACTTAGATACAGTTGAATTTTGGTATGTCGAACGCTGACATCTCGAATACCATGGATATATATGTCAAAATAATCTAGAAGTCCCAAACACTTATTCTTCAAGTATTTTAATCTTGAGAATTATATCCTGAATTATCGGATAATTCTATCTATGTATTTATAATAATATAATTTTTTTTCTCGAACCCCATCGAAACAAATTTCTATTTTACATGATTTTTAGTCACTGTCTCGGTTTACAAATTGGCTTTTTATATAAAAATCTTACGTCAAGACACAGGCACCTAACGTTACTTATTTTTCTTTTAAGGTAATTCCACCCTCCTATGATGTCATAGGTTTTTGCAAAAACTGTAATTAGTTACTTATTTTTCTTTTAATAAAAAAATATACACCTAACTCATAATAAACATTAGATAGATGTATATTTTTATTAAAAGAAAAATAAGTAACGTCAGGTGCCTGTGGGTCAAGATTATATTTCAGAGTTCAATGTCAATAGAGGAAGAGAAGACTAAAGTGAATCAAGCTAGAAATTTCCGTACATTCGACTTGGATGAATTTGAACCAAAGCAATCTATATCTCAGTCTGATAGTTCTAATATGTGTGATGATCTTATAAATACATAATACAAGGCTGATGTCAAAGCTTACTGACATTTTAAAATCATGTGGTGGAATGTTTTTTATTAACATTTTAGTTGTTAGATAAATTTGCCAGGCCTTTTGTTAGCTCATCTGATATAAAAATTATTTTATATTTGTGCTATGTCACTTAGTTAAATAAATCAGCCTGGTCGAGGAATGAAAATTACAAAGTGAGGAATATTCCCCTTTTTGGTAAACAAAGAAAACCATTTTAATATGACAAATCAATTGATTTTTTTTTAAATTTCAGTGATACTTGGATGAGGCAATGACATGCTATATAGACCGGTCACCAACAATAACACTTACTGTCTTTTACAGTTAATCAATACCCACCAAAGCAAATCAGGAAATGTATACTTTTACATTGGTAAATATGTTTAACGAATCTGTACATGTTTCCGTTCAATCTTCTCTTTCATTCAAAATCTTGATGGATATCCATTGCGATGACGTCCCAGACTCTAGGTTTATGAATTCTTTTTAATGAAGATTGCCATAACATCAGCAAAATCAACGTCTGTAGAACAAACAAAAAAAAAGTGGAAATAGGTAAATGCAAAATAAAAGAAAAGCAAAGGTCAACAATATATTATATAGATATCGGTATTTTTAATTAATTTATTGACAGTCTCGGTGCTTTTAAGGATATAAAATGCTACGAAATTACTTTTTTTTTTACAGCTTTTTTTTCGTGGAATGAAGAGACAGATAAATTCGTGTTCTTGTCAAAATATTTTACACACTTCGACTACGAGACCATATTTTCTACGAAACATCCTTTATCCTTTACTTTGTCCTTTATACTTTATCCGAAAAAAAAAATTCCAGAGATTAAGGGTCTCTTTTCAGGATTTTGCATTTATATAGAGACAATACCCCGATCAAGGGTTAAATCTAGTCCTGAACTCCTTATTGAGGGTCATTGAGCAGGGAGGGATCTCTATATGCCAATTCCTGCCGTGACACTTCAAATTCCCGAGCGCTTGGCGAAAGAACAGTTGCTACCAATTTTTCGACCAATGTTTCTTTAACCAACACGGAGTGAGCACTCTACCGACCTAGCTATCGTGTCGGTCTATGAAAAGGAGGAAAAGTTACATTATAAGTACGAAGAATATCATTGTACCTGAGCTCTGAAATGTGGCTAGGTCATCCAGTGTGGAATACAGGAATCGAGGTTTGTTTATGAGGTCATCCCATGAGGCTGGGCAGCATCCAGAGCTTCTGGGGTCTAGTACTGTAAACCACCCTGCATCAGAAGGGCACCCTCCCAAGTTATTCAGAATAAAAAAAACCCTCGAACATGGCGCTTCCCTAGATGAGGAATTAAATGTTCAAGATTTCAGTCTTAATTAAAATTTATTAAAATGAATTAGCATTGATTCTAGAATTTAGAAGCGGAAAATGGCCTTAGCTCTTGGCAACTCTTGGTGAACATCAAATAATCAAAGTTGCAATTTATTTTATAGTGATATAATTAACTTAATCCTTATAACATTGCATTGTAAAATATTGAAAAATGGGATGCTTTTGCTTCAATTGTTAATACATTTGTATGAGCATGTATATAAATTTATTGTTGCAGACAAAAAATAAAGATAAGATTTGTCATATTTTAATCCTCTCATTTTTCTTCTTGTGCGAAACTTGGTTTTAATGAGCACGTGACATTTTACCCACCCCTCTAATGAGAATATCAGATATTGTCTGTCTGGGGTGAGAGACTTCCATATGCTGGACAGAACCCGAGAGGGCGACATCCAACTCTCACGATCCGAATGTGTCCCGTTGAATGTGACAAATGCCACCCTAGATCCACTTTTGTATAGTTCTATTGTCACCTTTTCAGATAAAAAAAAAAAAGTGTGTAAGTGTTTTTAACATTTCTCCCTAATTCAGCATCTTTTTAGTGATTGCGAGGGGCTTGAAATAGATTATAGTTTACACAGCTGCAGACGTTTAGAAATGTACAGGTTCACCTCTAGAAACACCCCAAAAGCATGAAATATATAGAGAGAGTATTCAAAATCAAAAGTCCATTGAACAATACAAGTTATTGAGCAGAGCAAACACCGACCTCTGAAACATCAGAGGTGAGATCAGGTGCCATGGAGGAGTGAGCATCCCCTGCCGATCGGTCACACCTGCCTTGTGCTTCCTGTCGTAAGCTGAAATTAACTTGAAGGGAAAAATCCGTCGAAAATTCTGTGTGTACAAAATTGGCTTATCAATAAACTTAAGTATAAAAATGTGTTTTTAACTATGCAGCAACATCGAAAAATTGCATATAGGTCACAGTCAAGGACAAGGTCATGACCTTGGTGAAATTTGAAAGAACTTAATTAGTTAGCCGAGTCTCTCTCATAAAAGATGGTGAAGGTTAAAGACAACAGACAATGCAGTGACAGGACAAAAACAATATCGATCTACAGGGCGCATAAAAATGTCAGTCACTTTTTGCTGACAAGGTCTCTTCTTGATCAGACAATGGTGTGACAAATAGTTTTGATTTGATTAAATGGTTCGTTTGGATATGCTTACAGTTTGGATTATTCAAATGGACTTTGAGCATAATCATTTTTTTCTTCAAATTACATTTCAGACAAAATGATATTTTTCTTCTACTTTGTCTGAACTCAGTCTTCTTTGAACAAGCATACATGTAAACACTAAAAGATACATGTTTAAAAGGCATTGCAAACACAATCGATTCAGACAGAAAACCATTCAGTCAATGTTTACTTTAAAAAGAAATTATTTTTTATAACGACCAAATCAAAGTTGTTTTTATCATTATGAAATTCTATTGTTTGAATTTTTTCCAATAACTATGGTCCTAAATTGGCAAAAATTTACTCTGTGAGTGGATCGAACATACATTCAGTTCTATATAGAAAGCAAATTATTTTCAAAATCACTGAATATCAATATCCTTGCTTTGTGATATCCTCTTGTTTACCTCTGATATTGAGAGTGCACTCCAAACATCGATTCTAGAATTGCGGTAGTGAGTGCTGCATACTCCGGTTGCCATGGAGATACATGTGTCCTGTACCGGTGCAGGGGGGACTGTTCCCAGCCATGTATCTCTGACACTTACTCCAATCCCGGAAGTCGCCCGGAGCATCAATTCACGATCCTCAGCTAGGGATGGCATGTAATGGCAAAATCATATATTTCATTTTTATATATATATTTTCAATATTTTTATTTCTGTCTGTACAATTATTCAAAACGCTTGGATTTAAGTTTTAATATTTTTAATAAATTTAATGCAATATAAATGTGATATTATACAGAAAATTTGAGGAAAATGTTAACATCAAGTTTGATAATGTATGCTGTTGCAAGTTACGATATTTAATCCAAATTTTGTCAAACTGATAATTTTTCAATTTGAATATCCATTTCATCATTTATTATAAAAACACCCATAAAAGACATATCTTTGCATATTAATTTTCTACAACATGTGTTTTCGCACATACCTCTAAAATATCAACAGCCAAAATTGAACATAAAAAAGTGTGATATCATATTTCTCTTAGTTATGCACCAAATCACATCAAATTTATGTTAAAACTTATGAAGATCAAAAATATTCATTTGCCAGGAGAATATTTGAAATCTTTACTGCAAAACATTAACAAATTGGTGTTGAATCTGTCCATGTCTTTCAGAAAAAAATCTCAAAATATCTTTATTCTTTATAATTCTGGAAAATCTAAAATGTATAAGATGGAAATTTTGTTCTTTAATTATATCGATGTTAACAAAAACAGCTACTTTATTATGGTTGACCAGAGAATTTTAACAAAACAGTCTTTTGAAAAGAAATTTTTACACAGGCAATAGCCAATATGATTCTCATACAATTAATTTTTAGAATCGAAAAATATTGTGAAATTGAAGCAAATCATATGATTCACATATGATCCACATATGTGAATCATATGAAAATAATTACATATGATTTGCATATGAATGATTTAAGTGTGTTTCAAGCCATTTACATATGAGAATCATATGAAAAGGGCATCATATGTAAATCATATGAAACACTTATGTGTGTTTCAAGCCATTTACATATGAGAATCATATGAAAGGGGCATCATATGTAAATCATATGAAACATTTATGTGTATATTATTTCAATATTTTTCACATTATTGCACACATTTAAAAATCAGATATTTCTGCTTTAGATGAAAATTCATTACATTACAATGATCTTTCTTCATTGGTTAAATATTTTAAAATATCTTATAATGCTTACACAACTTTTTTGATAAATTAATCATAAAATTATTTTCATCAAGAGAAATAGAGAAATAACTTATTTTTCACAGTGTACATTCTTAACAAGAAAATACTGAGTATACAAACAAGTCAGTAGCATTTGTCAATACATGTATTTAACATATTCTAAAATGAGTACAAATTCTAAGATTTCAGCAAAATGATTAAGTAGTTAAACATGTATACATTTACAAATGAATAAAATAATTAGGTCATGTACTTGTATAAAAATACCAAATGACATGAAAGTGTCCACAGCAAAATTGAAATATCAGCAATAACATTTGTCGTGTATTCTATATTGTAAATTTATGGAAAAATCAAGTTATTTGATATTTTAGCATACAGATAAGAATGGGAAATCTTTACAAGTCAAATTCAGACAAGATTATGTACATCCTCCACATTTCATAATTATTCCACATATTTCCAGGTTCTTTTTCCTTCTGTATCTTTTCAATATTTTCAGTTGTCCTCCCTCTGATCTGACCATTTTGAAAATCTCTTTGAACTGTACCAAAAATGCATATCCACCAGTTCTCCCCTTCCTGAACAATTTCTTTGTGGCACAGAACTTGCATGAACTTGATTTTATTTTTAATCAGTATTTCACACAGTTCAAAGATTTACTAGTAGTTTCTATTGAATTCATTATCTTCTACCTTTAATATTCAAATTTATATTCTGGTCTTTTTCATCCTAGTGGACAAGAACCTGTTATAACCCTTATTACAGAAAGGCGAGAGAACCCAAATAATTTCATAGGAATAAGCTGTTGTGTTTTTTTTTTTATTACAAGTTAAGTTGTTTACATGAGATAACGAACAGCAATGAAAAGTCCATTCAAGAGTAAACAAGGATCTACAAGGCGACAAAGAAGGAATCATTTACAGAAATATACAAGTATAAATAATGGTAAAAACAAGATGTGTTTGTGAAACACTATGCACCCGGCGGCAACAAAGTTCGAAAAAAGCTATTTTTAGCATATAGGTCAATGTCAATGTCACAAGGTCATTGACATTGGTTTCATTTGAAAGAACATGATTAGTGGAGTATGCATGCCAGATACGAAGTCTTTATCTCCTATGGTTCAAAAGTTATGGTGAAAGTTCAAACAAGCTATTTTTAGCATAAACACTGTAGGTCACAGTCAAGGTCACAAGGTAATTGACCTTGGTGTCATTTGAAAGGGCTTAATGAGTGAAGTAGGAATGGCACATATGAAGTCTCTATCTTTCATGGTTCAAAAGTTATGGCGAAGGTTAAAGTTTGAAGAAAAAAATGCTTTTTTAGCTTATTAGTCACAGTCAAGGTCACAAAGTCATTCACATTGGTATCATTGGAAAGAGCTTAATTAGTAGAGTTTGCATACCAAATATGAAGTCTCTATCTTTCATGGTTCAAAAGTTATGGCAAAGGTTAAAGTTGATAGAAAAAGCTATTTTTAGCATATATGTCGCAATCAAGGTCACAAGGTCATTGACCTTGGTGTCATTTGGAAGAGCTTCATTAGTGAAGTATGCATACAAATATGAAGTCTCTATCTTTCATGGCTCAAATGTTATGACGAAGGTTTAAGTTTGCACACAAACAGACAGACAGACAGGACAAAAACAATATATGCCCCGGATCTATCGATCCAGGCGCATAAAAAATGCATCTAAAAGTCATTATTCAACTTAGAGATACATGTACTGTGAATCACAAGTTTTCGTGTGGGTTAATTTTCGTTGTTTTCGAGGTATGAATTTAAGGGACCCACGAATTCATGTACACCATGAAATGTAAAATGTTGCATTATAATTATTCAAATTCTATGAAAGCAAATCCCCAAAAATCAAGAGTTTTTTTTCTTAAACTAAGAAAATTTGACCCCAAGAAAAAAAGTGATTTGACAGTAGTTTGTATTTGTCATAACTGCAACCGGCTATGTACGATATCAGGGAAATTTCCGCACCCGTTTTATTTTCACCCCTTTCGCTCTTGTCACAAGGAGGCTAATTTAAAACGAGGCGAATTCAAAGAACACAATATATAAATTCTTTAACAGAACTGTGACTGGGCGAATTTAAAACGGGGCAGATTTGTATGCAAGTGTATAGGGCGAAACTTGGCGATAGAAAATTCAACACAGTTTTTACTTGTTTTTTAATACAGTAGTACTTTGAATTTAATTACATTAATATCGCTTATATTTTTTAACATTTTGTTTAATTCTCATTTCAATCGTATTCTTCTCCAGTGAGTGGGTTATGAGAATCTTATTTCGTATTTCTATGGTAATATAAATAAAAAAAAAACAAGGTTGAGCTAATTTTAGGAAACTTCAGCATGCTTTATTTTCTCGAGATATGAGATTCTGGTTGTCATGAAACAGACAGGGCTCACTACGTGTACTTGACGAACACCGCCATCACATCAGCAAAGTCCACATCTACCAAAGACAACAGTGCAAGAAATAATAAAACATAAAAATTACTTTTTTATTTACCTAAAACTTCAGCGAAGGCATGGAAGCCTTATATCCTGATTGTTTTAAAAGATTTGGATTTTTTTTATTGAAATGAACTAATCCTGCACCACTGTATAGTCTTGCTTTTTTGTAATGTTTCAGGCATTTTCATCTTAGAATTGTTTTAAAACTTTTCATTGGAATTTGAATTTTATTTTATTTTTATTTTGATTTGTTTTATTATTAATATGATTAATAGGCATTTGTCCTCTCCCGGTGCAATGGTACCTGTTTGTACACAAATTTTAGAATATTTAATAGCCATCATATTCTATTGTAAAACAAATGACTTTATATCATTAAACACAGTTTTTGGAAAAATTGACTTGATGTGGAATTTACTTTGAAATTATTTACATTAATATCTCTTTCTTAAATTTTCCTGTAGTCTAATGTTCATTTCAAAGTATTCTTCTAGTGAGTGGGTTACAGAATCTTACTCCACAACACCGGCAGTACCATAAATTAAAAAAAATAAAAACAAGGTGGGGCTCTGGTACCTGGCCACATTGTCCAGTGCGGAGTAGACAAACTTAGGTTTCTTTGGGTGGTCACTCCACTGACCCGGACAACAGTCAGACGAGGTGGGGTCCAGAACCACGAACCACCCAGCGTCTTGAGGGCAACCACCATAATTCTGTAGAATTAAGAAAACACGGGAGCATGGCTGATCCCTGAAAGAAATTTATTTTTCAATGCAGGATTGAAAGAAATTTCTACATGTAGTGATTCTGTAGTGACTCGAACAAGTATAATTTTTTAATACACCTATGAGGCGCCATCTTGTTATTTACTGCCAAAAAAGTAATATTGCCTATTCGAATAGGTGATATATCACCTATTCAATTGTGATAAAACTTTTCATCAGAATATGTATTTTATTTTTTAAATTTTATTTTATTTGAATTGGTGTATTACTATTGGAAAAGAATGATATACTTATTCGAATAGGTGATATTTCTAATTTGAAATTATATCGTATATTGAATAGGTGATATCACTTATTTGAATAAGTGATATCACCTATTCAAAGTAAATAGGTGATATCACCTATTCGAATAGGTGATATTACCATATCATTTTGAATAGGTGATACCATTAATTCGAATTGGTGATGTCACCTTTTCAAATTATTTATGAAATAACAACGGCTCGCAATACTATAGGTCCCTGAATCTTATTTACTTTCACTTTCGTTTTATAATAACTCATCATTTTAGAAGACAATAAATTACAATTTTGCATTTAATTTTAAGCAACCCCAATAGAAGTTGTAGGTTGTTTTGCTCACAAATTTATTTATTTCACTTATCTATCAAGTATACTATAAGAAAAATTGTGAAAAACTCACGAAAACTGGGTAGTCCGAATTTTCTTGGTTCTAGAGAGCATTCATTATTTATTGTTGTAAGAAATTCAAATAGGTGATGTCACCTATTCGAATAACACTGTAAAAAAATAACTAGTTAACGTCACGAAGAAAACTATTAGATTCACTGTCCATACAATCACTATTTTAATAGTAGTTTTACCAGATATTGGTATATTTACTAGATAAGATTAGTAAATTTAGAATTGATGAGTAACTTTCACTAGGTATCTAAGTATCACAAACCACCCCCGCTCCACAACTCACTATCTTAACCAGTAAACTGAAAGTTTACTAATCACGACCAACGCTTTACGAAACACACTAGTTAAATTCAATAGGTTTTTCTTTCAGTGAAGGGATATCACCTATTCAAATAGGTGATATCACTTTTTGCTAGTAAATACCAAAATGGCGCCTCAAACACACCCCTTGACGGAAAAGTAAATAAAATTTCTGGTCGGAGAGAGCGTTGTCCAGCTACTGGTCAGGAGCCTGGACGAGGACATCCAGCTCTCAAGGTCAGACCCAGTCCCGTTGAAGGTCATGTACATAACTCTGGATCCGTTCTTGTAGAGTTCTATGATTACCTTAAAGCATAGTGATTTTTAAGACAATTAAAGTGTGTTTTCCTGTTAAAAATATCAATATATCCAATCCTGATAACTTGTAAATCATTCCTATATTGTGTCATTTAACTCAATAGTAGCTGATGCCCAAAAATGAATTGTTCAAAAACGTTAACAATGGATTATGCCAAGATGTTGAAGATAGATTAGCCACAGATGTTCAAAATGAACAATACTTCGATGTCCACACAATAACTGACCTCAGATATAGATAAAGTCTTCCAGACATCGACCTTGGGATTCCTGTAGTGTGTAGTACACGCTCCTGACGCCATTGTTTTACACCCGTCCTGGGGAGGGGGTGGGTGAAGTGTCCCTAACCAAGTGTCTCTGACGCTAAACCCGACACCAGATGTCGCCCGAAGCATTAGTTCTCTGTCCTCCACTGTACAAACAAAAAACCAAACTATAGCCTCCTTTCTCTTAGCATGCTTAGTATACATGTGTATAATGTAGTTTTATTCACAAATCTCTTTTTGATATTGTCTTCAAACCACTTTTGTTCCGTTTTAGCAAAATTTAAAGATTTATTTCTGTTTTTGAAATGTTCGAAGCATGATTTGAACATCTTTTTGTCACATGGTCTTTCAGAATATATTTCAACATTACGACATATTCAAGGTTTTAGGCCTATCCCATGCAATCAACAGTTATAGACCAAAAAAAACTACAAAGTCTGTTATTGCAAGCAATAGCGTATGTCGCCCAAAACTAGACAAGACTTTCATTTTTTTCATCACTAAAACAATACCCATTAGCTAAGCTTGGACAACCACCAACTCGTATCAGTCCTTTCGGTACTTTGATTTAAAAATCAAAGTTGAAGAATTCACTTTCCCCCTGTTTCTATGGTAACTATTGACAATTTGCAATTTTTAATGCAACACGCACAATTACAGATACTAATCATTATATCAATAAAGTTTCATGAGGAATGTTCAACTACCAGAGAGAACACGCTCGGACAAAATTCGTCGCTTTTTGCAGGTTTCCATGGCAACTGTGGCCATTTTGAAACTGAATGACCACACAATACAACTACAACCAGTGATCGTCCTTTCAGGAAAGTTTCAGGAAAATTGTCCCAGCCATCTTCGAGAAACAGCCCGTAGAACAAAAACATGCGTACATTTGATTGTAATAAAATTGGTTAAATTCCGACTGCTTCGGGGCGACATAAATAAATAAACACAATCTAAACACCTCATTCCGGAGTTTAAGTATCTTTGGAAAATAAAACTTTGGATAAGATCAAGGTTATCACAGGGGTTTTTACTATAGTCAATCAAAGCCAAAGAATTCGTTACACTAAACGAAATATAAGATGCATACTTATATAAAAGCCAAAGATTAGCATGTAGTTATTGTAAATTCAAATTGTATTAATTTTTACTTTTCACTCTTCATCTCCATTTTCTTTATATTAAGATTGAAATATGTTGCATACTTATGTTACTTCCAAGGATGTCATCAAGATAATCCATTTACTTGTATACTGGTTTTAAATCTCAAAACTTTTTACAGTAAAGTTTCAGAGCTGATTGTTTACAATCTAAAGAATGTTGTAAGGATATTTCAAGCATTACAAATGCTTAAGATATGTTGCTTACCATTTGATTTGTAGTACAAAGACCAAAATTGGTTAAATTCCGTAACTGCTTCTGAATCTCGAGGTCCAAGCTTACTAGTATTCAGTTCACAAAGTCCTTCTCTCGTGTGGACATTGGCGCTGTGACAGTCGCCATGTTGTAAACATTTTAAACAGCACTGAATGTTTGGAACATGGGAAAACTGCACCGATAGGACATGATTCTTTATGCGGATTCCATGCAATATCCCGAAATGTCCGTCTTGTAAGGCAGCAACATGCGACAACATTAAAGTTAGAACTGCGTGCAGTAAGGCAATTCGACCTTTTTCTTGCATACTTATCCACTGGCCAAACAATGCTCTGATCTAAAGGCTTTCTTCAAATATATTTCAATTAGACCTGTTATTTCTGCAATGAATTCTTTTGGGGAAGAATCCAGATTTCGTAGTTTTGATTGAATATGTTTGCTAATTGGAATTTTAATAATTCATTTTGTAAATAAAAACCAATGCAAAAACAATAGAATTTGTCGATGACAGATTTCGACGCTTTCATTTTAGTAATAGATAATTTGCTTAGGCGGTGCACACGTTCCAAATCAGAGACTACCGGTAATTAAAAAATTAACAGTTATAAATTAATCAATATTACACAAGGTTTGGAAAAGAAAGGATTTTTCCATCTTTGGAGAAATGGCTATAAAAACCAAGGAATTCTTAATATTGCATTAGGCCTTAAGGTAATATTGCATTGAGGTAAATTATTGACAAGGAAGTTGATGAGACAAGAATATCACTAGTTTCGTTTAAAGTCATCATTTCGTCAGTTCTAATGTCGATACAATGACCTTGTCAGCAAATACAATTTATCATTGAGTGAAATGCTGACTGACGTTTTTCATACTCATTGTTAGTCCATTATTTTTATACACTGAATTGACGATGGATTTTTCCGTTATTTTCCGATCATGACAAGGAGCACACGGCGGGTGTGACAGGTAAGCAAGGGGATGCACATACCTCCATGGCACCTGATCCCACCTCTGATATTTCGGAGGTCTGTGTTTGCTCTGCTCCTATTTTGTATTGTTTTATGGACTTTGATGTTTAATACTACACTCGTTATTTCCATATTCTTCTCCATGCAGATAGTGCGATATAACACTTGGTTTTTTTTTTTGTCTTGGTTTATGTAAAAATTTTATAAAAATTAATATTTGACGTGTTAGCAAAACATTCCATCATCTGTTTGCATATTTGCATGATTTTAATAGATTCCTTGTCTGTCCGATGGCTTTACTCTCTCAAGACATTGTGATAGCTGTCAAAAATGGATTGGACTTGTACTCGAGAGTTTAAAAACTTTCCCCGCCTTAGTTACAATCATGAAAAAGCGAAAAAAGTCCACTTCTGCTCCCTTTTGCAATGTTGGACTAGCGAGCGATTTTTAGAATCAAATACTGTAAACCAACTTTTAGCAGCGACGACTTTATTTCGCGATTTTATAAAGGTAAACTAGTTCGCGACGATTAATTTTTGCGATAAAGCCTTTTTGGATCTGTTGTTAAACCAAAAGAGATAAATAAGCGAAATGTGATGATTGCAATATCAAGGCCAGGAGAAATATTAACAACAATTATGAGGAATGTTTTGTTGCGAAAATTTATAGCAAGCGAATAAAAGTTGGTTTTATAGTACATATTTCTTAATGTCATATGTGGAAACTTGTCATTTTCTTGCTTACAAGTAAAAGATCATTCTTATAAATCCAGTAAACAAAACAAATCATCAACAGGGCAAAAGTACAAACCCCTGGAAACAAGAACACTCTGTCGAGAGTTTAAACGCAATTATCTAAGAAATTGTATAAAACATTTCAGACAAAATACGATTCAACGATGCTTTGTATTCGTAACAAAGCTTATCATAACAACAGTAGAATTGGTGCCAAAAGTTGGCTCTGAAGAAAGTTGTAAAAACCTGTTTAACATCAACTTATTTGTTTGTAGGTTGATCGACTCAGTGTAAGAATTGATCGTATGCAATGATTTTAAGGCCATAACACCAAACGCAGATGATAACGAAGTATTACTACATGGATAGGGATGTTGACGATGTAAAAACTGAAGGCATCTTATTTATCAAACAATAGAGTTGTTACCAGGTCTTTATCATCTATAGTCAGTACAGTATAAAACAGATATGGCGGACTATGTGGTATCTTTTATTTAAAGTTCTCTGGGAAATATCGAACCGACATATGAAGGGATTTAAGTATTGTTTGATACATGTATATCTAAATGTTGAATTGAAGGTCACGGTAATTGTTTTCTTTTTCTCATGTAAAATTTGGAATAAAGTCTGTTTCATAGAAATAAAAAAAAGAAACAGGTCGGTTAATAAAGAAGTACAATGGATGCCCATGGGAATTCCAACTATTTATTGGAAGCCCTGGTCTCCGAAGAATACTTACATATTGTCAATGAAGAACTACAATTTATTAATATCAACTTCACGGTATATGTACTGTAGAATATTCAGAGTGATTAAAAACAATAAAAAAATGAAACTTTTTATTGTCATTGAATTATATACGCACAGCGCACAAACATTCAAAGAAATTATATCTAATTTAAATGAAATGTCACAAAAAATCAAAGCATTCAGAAATCATGGTTCAATTTTTTCCTTTTTTAAAGAAATTATGAAAACTGTTTTTTAAGTGTCAGAATGCATGCTTTGAAATCTACAGATTATTAAATTAATCTACGTAATATTAGAATTCTGAAACACATCAAACACAACATTTTCTATAAATTGATGTTATCTATGCTCATTGCCTCCGTCTTTAACCATCAGCTTCCTAGGTTGTGTTCTATCATCTTAGATAAAGTTATACTTCCACACCTACACATGGAGGGGTAACATAGTCCCATAGGACAGTTGTGTTCACACCACAGATCCCAACCCGTGTTTGGGCGGAGGGATACACATGTTTTACCGGAATTCATGATTCCGTTGTCAACACTAAGTTGGTCTTCCCGACCACACATACAGTGGGTTGGAGGGCAGTAATTGCGCGCGCAATTAACGCGGCACCAGTTGTCCATTGGTAGGAAGTTTTTCCAAGGTCCTACAGCCTTACATACAATCTGTACAGTTGGAGTAGGATCAGTGGTGGTTATGGGACTTTGGGTTGTAGATGATGTAGGTACGGGACTAGATGACGTCATGGGACTTATTGCTGACATGGTGGTGGATCTAACAGTCTCAGGTTCAGAAGACGTTGTGGGACTTGTTGGGGATGTAACAGGACTTGAAGATGACGTCACATTAGTTGTCATGGTGAATTTGTTGGTGGAGTGGGATACAGAAGTAGATCTTGAAGAAAGTGTTGTTGTTTGAGATGAAGTCCCGTTTCCGACAATTTGGATGTCGGAGCATGCGTAAAACTCTTCCTGGGGTCCAAATCCGAGTCCACATGGACCTTTCGTGAAGTCGTTATTGAAACAACCCCAACGGTTTCCTGCAATCATATTGTAAGTGAAAGTTGAATAAGACATTATGTATTCAGTTTTATTTTAATTTTTATTCAGTGTATGTGATTTGCTGCACACATTTTCCCTAGCTACTATTTTTCATGCTGATTCCTGTGACGTCTTATTAAAAAAAAGACCTCCCTTGTTTTCTGATTGTCTATAACTCTTGACCTGAGTAACACTCAAAACTTTAATTAAGGTAGTTCTTACCCTAAATCAAACCCTAAGCCTAGTATAGACCTTACCCTAATTCAAACCCTAAACCTAGTATAGCTCTAACCCTAACTCAAATCCTTACCAAAGTCAGTATAGCTCTATGACTAGAGAGGACCAAAATTCTGTTTTATGTAAGCTTACATTCGTAAAACTGGGGGTATCCTCTGAGTCCTATATATTTATTGATACCCCTGCAGGTAAGCATGGATATAATTCTTACCTGTTCTATATCGCCACTGCAGCACGCATGCGTCACATATGATTCCTGGTGGAAGCTGAAGTTCTATGAAGTATATACCCACACTCTTGTCGTCCACGAAAAATTTGGTTCCCATGGTTACCGGATCCTTCAGTAAGTTCTGGTCCAGGCAATCCTGAAAGACCGTAACCTTCCGGTCATTGTGTGGACAGAGCCGGAACTCGAAATAGCCCTTATGACTGGCAGTGACGTGAACAGTTGCCTGCATGATGGACCCGGAGACGTACGATTTGGTGATGATTCCCCGGGCGTATTTGCCGTTCGGTGGCTCGTTTTCCCGCGGAGCGTCATAAGGATCGCCGCACACGCCACATTTTCCATTATTGATCCACCAATGGGTCTGGAACAAGAAATTCTTTGCATTGATAAATGAAAACATTAGTAGCTTTATTTTTTTCCACTTTTTAAAAATATGTACAACAGTTTTGAAATGTAAATATTCTTTTGAATAAAGTTTCGACTCCAGTTGTATAATACCGAATTCTATATATAAACGGAAGCTTTCAGCAGAATTAGAAAATATACATGTATAGTTGAAATTATTTCCATTTACATGTATTTTAAAAGTTTGTCAAATAGAATTGAAATCGAGGTGTACCTTCCAAAAGGAAAAACCTGCGGCATTAAATACGAATAACTATATAGTGGTCGAATAATTTGTAACAACTAACAAACTAATTTCTGCTGATTTCCCATCTTTGAATGAGAGTACGACTACCTGGACAATGTACTTCCAAATAAACAAACTTTTGAACTTACGGGAAAACCGCCGCAGAACAGTTCCATGTGTTGATAGTTGGGAGGCGAATCGTATCCAAAGAGCCACATTGAGGACCGTCCCGGGGGGTCCCTCAAAAATCCGTGCCCAGCTACACCTAGCGGGCGATCAAGTAATAGCAAACAGGACAACATCAACCAGGTCCTCCACATTGTTTCTGGATGTGCGGGGTGGTTCCTTACTAGCTGTGTCCAAAAAGTCACGGACAAAAGACTTGACAATGATTACATCATGATAAAACTTCCGTTTTCTAATTAACTGTCTAGATTGTTACATTTTCTTTGTCGATGTTATCCAAATCTGTCTGCCCGTTGGAGAAAAATATTTTAGTTAAATTTCTCACGCGTTGTGGACCTGAATTTGGAAAGTGTGTTCGAGAATGACCGGAGGCGGATCAAGGTCAATGGAGCGGCGCTATCGATGAGGGCTGGGGTCTGGTGACCAAGTACACCCGGATTTTATACAGTGTCATCTGTACTAGATCGAACTCTGGTAAAAACCAGTCAAAAGGGGCCCACTGACACCGTTACTGGGTATTTATGCCCATTTTAAGGTTATGGTGTTACTTTTTATTGCACAAAAATGCGGATTATCAATTTCCAATCTTAAAAGCAAGTGAATTAACTGTAGGTCAATGACTGACAACTGTTCAGATTCTGCTTTAATTTGCATCTTCAGGAATGATAACAATCTAGCCTAATTATTTATTTTACCTAATTTTAAATAAATTGCGCTCACTGAGTTGAATTTGCAATAGGCCTAGATACTTCATTTTTCCAAGAGGAAGCAGGCTCTCTATGTCAGGGAGTTTAAAAATTCTGTCAAAAACTAGTGTCTTTGAATGATGAATATTGCAAAAATGCACAATTCACTGTACTTGCATGCTTGCGGAACTCCGATAATTTTTTTTAAGGTGACATAACATGTATGTATATATCCTCTCTCTATATATTTTTTTTTTATTTTACGACGAATAATCCAATACTGATGTTTTATCGATAGAATATTTTCTGTTTAGATATGTTAAAATATTTATTACAGACTTGTAAATGAATAAATCACTTAAATGTAATGGGAAGTCACAACCGTGAATAAATTTAAGGATGATCTAAGGGGAAATACTCTGTGTTGCCTATTCCGGGAAATTTTGACTATTATTTATCTTCCAAGCGTTTTTGTGATATTGACGGGCACATGTTTTCGGATTTTGACATTTTAGTAAGTAATTGATGTAAAGCAAGATTATTTTAATATATAAATTACATCGTTGATACATTTCCACTTGATTGATCTTAATAAGTTTACAGACTGGGAGATCCCAGTTGTTTTTTGCTTATTTTTAGTTAAGGTCTTGTCGTTATGGAGATTGTGCGTGATCACGTGACCAAGCAACTGAATAGTGTATAGACAGCATTGAATGCGTGTACAAAAATACATTTATTTACGTTTTTGTAGAGGAGGGGTACTAGTTGTAGATAGTAAAGATGCACAAAAGTTATCAGTCGATATTGCCGACCCACAATAAGCTCCTCCAGAAGCGATGGGACACAACATATTACGATGAACACAGGAGAAAGGTAATTAATCATTAGATCTCGTTATGTTTGAAGAAGGGGTCATTGTTTGTTTTATCAGTGTTTGGTGTAATCAGATGTAAATCTACTACTGATAATCGCCTCCTTCCATGACATCTCAAATATTTACTTGGAAAATTTTACAGCTTTTGAAGTTTTTTTTTGGAGATTTTAAAAAATTCTTTGAAAAAATAGGTTTTTAAAAAAAAAAATCGTTTTCACATTGTTTATTTCATTCATTCATATCAGGGACATAGATACAAACTATCCCTATTGCCATATACTTTTACTTTTGTTTGTAACTACTTTACTAGTAAATTAATTGTAGAAATAATTTTGTTATGTTGTAATATCTCTTCATAAATATTTTCCAGAAATCAACCTTTTTTTAACGATATAAATTTTTCGTTGTAAGTCACCATACATTAATTATTTTACAGGTGCGGACTGCAGCTCCAATGGTTGACACAAAGGCACCTCCCACGTACATGCACCTTCACCTGAAACTCAAAAAACTACAAGTACGTTATTCTTAATTTATTTTCACAGAATTCTTAAACCTGCGACAGTCATTTTTATAAAAACATTTTGGATTCCACTTACTACTGTAAATATATAAACTTTTTATTTGCAAGGACTTCATTTTCTTGTAATATGAGACTGTTTGCTTGATAAGAATGTTATTCTATAATACTTATAACTGTTAATTATTCTAGGTTACATTCAACAAAAACCTTGACTTCAAAAAAAATTTCTCATACACTTATATATCCAAATAAGAGGAAATTAACCTGTTGTAACAATTTGGTAATTTACACTATGAAAGAAATAAAGTGGTAAACACTTTTTTTGGGCTTTATAAATGGTTTTGAAAATTTGAGAACACTATTATAAACAGGTATCCAGACTTGATTTTATTATTAGATTTCAGGTTACTTGTATTTTATTGTAAGTTTGAAGTTTACTTGTATTTTATTCATGTAAATTTAAATGTAATCCTAATGTTGACCAATTACTTTTGAAATAAAACATCAATAAGTGTCAGATTCAAAACATAAAATAGACAATCCAATAGATTAAATCGTAAGTTTCCCCAGACTTATTTTATATGTCATTGTTGACTCAAAATCTTTCAATTTAGACTCATAAAAGTATATCTGTATTTGAGAATTATGAGATCATGAAGTCCTGGGGGTTTAAATTTCTGCCTGCTCAACATACAGACAAAAAGGGAAAACTGTCATAGAAATCCCAACCAAAGCCTATTTATCTGTGCAAATACAAAATGGAAACTACATTGAGTTGTTCATTTTATGTGTGAATTCAGAAGAAACAAACTTTATGAAAAATTATTATACAGCCCTGCCTCGCTTCTCATGGTATTTCTTAAATGCTAGATTATGTATTGTGCGTTTAAGAATGAACATTAATTTGATATTTCAATTAATATTTTGTATCTGTGTTGAAAATCATGTATATTTGTATTTGAACCTCCTATTTCTTACGTTGAGCTGCCTAGGTTAAATATTTTAATTGCAATTATTTTACAATCTGCTCACTAGAGTGGGAGAGCCTGTTATAAGCATTTCTTAGTAATTTAGTGATTCTTTAGTAGAAAACTGTGGTTTTAATGTTTGAAAATTTAATTGAGACATGGAACTAACCTGCCGATTTATGACACAAGCAATTTCCATTTTTTAGAATGTTACTGTTAACCGGGAGAGAGCCCCTTTATCAGATTTCAATACCTTAGTATTAAAGTGTCACATACATCAAGTTTATGAAAAAATCAAAATCTTAAATCTATAATGAATAATGTTAAAATTAAAAGAGGGATCAATGGGCCCTCTGACCATTTTTTATAGTGACTATTTTATTTTCATTGTTTTACCTGCATAAGCGTTTTTTAAATAAAGAGCTTGATTTTTTTAATTAAAGCCCTTTAAGGTCATTGAAGCAATCTGGGATTTATACATGGAACATTGCATATCAGCAATCAATTAAACTAAAGTGGCAGGCATCCATATCACATATAGCACCCCCTGTACATTCTGATGTAATTGAATGATTTACAGAATTAAATGGAGCACCCAGTCACTTTGATATAATCAGACTCTTCATCCCTGCTGGTTCTCACTCTGTAGGGGGGAAATTTTAATGGGGCTATGGAGATTTATGCATTTAAATCAATAAGAAGTCAATAACCCACATAAACATTTTACTATTTTCCTGAGGAGAATTAATCAATGACAACATTCATTGTCTAAAGAATTCCCCTCCTGATCAATTCATTCATTGTAGATTAACATGCTTTAATTGTAATCAGTTAGAGGTACATATGTATTACTAGTTTTAAACACCAGATGTCCTGTAACTAGTATATCATGCAATATTTATCCATCTAAGAACAGATAAGTACACCAAAGTGAGACCTTAAGTTCTATTTGTATAAAGAATGTGGTCCTTGTATAATGTGGTTTTATCAACCTGTTGGATATATCTTGTAAATTTCCAAGTCTTAGGGAAACATGAAAAGTATCTGCCAATAGTCTATCAATATTTCATTTACAATATGAAGTTAATAAAGAATTAACTACAAGTTTCTTCTGTGTTAGGTGTGTTTGTTTGTTGCTAATGCAGAGAACTGAACAAAAAGTTCATAATACAGAAAATGACACTCGACACCTAACTGCAGTGTTTCCCTGATATAGAAATATAAAAAGCTTTTTGAACCATTACATGCCTGCATTCTTAGATTTGGATTAAATGCCTGCTTTATTCAAAGCCTAAATGGCATACACTTATATACAATAGTCCCTTTTATAATCCACATTCACCTAACCTAAAGTAAACGCACTAATCGTGAAGGGCCGCTGAGATATATAATGGTTTAAATATTCGACTCCCCCTCAGCCCTCCTGGCTGATAATGGTCGCACTATTAACAAAATAACACCATAGTCTAGTGCCTGCTCTACCCTCATAAAACAGCCCCGGTTATATTATCTATAATACATGTATATATAGTTCCATTCGTCAAACAACATTAATTCTCACTTAGCAGTTAAATCTTCAGAGTTTAAGAGGTTTGTTCATCTATTTAAATAGCTGGACAGGCAAATGTTGGTTTTTAATTAGTGAGATTTGAGTTCCTCTTACTTTTTAGTCTAGATATGCCAAACTTAAGGGCTCTGCCAGAAAGAACTTGTAGTAAGACTTGGATTTGAACCTCGTTACATGTTCCGGTCTTGATTTTTCATGAAAAAAATTTCTGTACATTCTGTACCTGTCCATGTTAGCAAGTAACATTTATGTTACGCATGCGTGTTTTTACCTTTTTATTATCAGCTTTTTTAAAAATATACCAAAGGCATGTAAAGAATATGTTTATGTAATTTCAGATTAATTACATTGTAGTAATATCCATATGTGTCATGATATATCCAGCTTTCTATGATAGATTGATTGTATATTGTTTAATATTCCTCTCGAGAATTTTTCACTCAATCATATGGAGATGCCACCACTTGCTGATGACGAGAGCTGCAAATTTTGTCCTGTACTCAGCACTCAGGGCCTTTGAGCTATGAGGGATCTTTTTTGTGCCAGCACCTACTGCAACATGGGACCTCGGTTTATATGATCTCATCCTAAGGACCTGTCTCCATGTCCCACAGTGGGATTTGAACCCGCGATGTAAGGATCAACTCCTTATGCCGCAACTCTAGAGCAGATGCTCTGACCACTGTGCCACTTGGGCGACCATAATATTAAAGGATAAAGGAGAAAAATGACTTATCTATCCTCATATATAAAGCAATAGACAAATTTAACTAAAACAAGACCTGTTAACTTCATAAAACAATGTGTATGTAAATCGAAGGAGATAGAATCTTGATTTTATTTAAGGTTCCTTCTCCAACTTCTCACTTAAAAAAATATTTCATTAATGCTTATTACAGCATTATACAAAAACTCCTTCATATACATATACAATTAAAATTCACCAATCTTCAGCAGTCCTTTCAGGGCAAAATTTGACTCAAACTTAAAAATTTAATTAAGGAATAATTTTAATTTTAACTAGTTAGAGTTATCTCTCTTATCAATGTATCAGTGAGCCTTAAGTAACATTGATGAAGAACCAATGAAATATAAATTTATTTAAATTGTTTGTAATTAAAATAGCTTTTTTGTTGGTATTACAGTTAGAAGAAGAACGACTAGCGACGATAGAAAGAGACAACCGAATCTTACTAGAAAAAATGTCTTACATAATGAGGACTAGAGGTCGGGTAGACAATAGGAATATGTACGAATATAAAAGGTGAGTGTGTGTTATCTATGGATTAATTATTCACTTCATGGAAATCGGCAGAATATTTCTGATTTTTAGATAATCATAGCTATGCAAAGGACTCTGCATCCAATAAATTTGATAATAAATATCTGTGATAAAGTTATTAGTTTAGTGAAAAAGTTGGTTCATTGAACTGTATGATAGGAGCTTCCTCATAAGTAGATACCAGGGGGGGTATATCATCTCAGTACACTTGGTCCTTTGATCCTCAGCAGGTATTGCCATTGGAGATCCTTCATTTGATTAAAAGAACGTCTTTTATTCACCTCTTCCTGGGGAAATTAGGTAGGGAATCTCTTTGAGGACATGGTACCTTATCCTTGACAGGGGCTTTGTAATCACATATACTCTATGTCATACTCTCTTCTCTTTACAAGAAAACACAAAATTGGGGGGATAATGCAAATTAAGTGCCTATTTATTTATATAATCTTTTCATGCATGGAGAGAGTTTTTCAATCATTTTAGGTTCATTGTTAATTTAAAGGAATTAGATTTAAAAAAATATATGTGGAATAGATCGATAGCCTACGAAAAACCCATCAAGTGTGAATATTTAATGTTCGGCTGATTGGGGCATCATGAAACTTTGATGATGTATATACAGAAGATAAAGCTATTGATGAATACTTTATAAGCATTGTTCTACGAGTGTGAAGAAAGTCTGAGCCTCATAAAGATTACCCAGAAGCCCTCTGTTAAGTGAAACTGAAAAAGATCAATTCTTCATCAAGGCTTTTAAAATGTATGATCTTCCTGAACAATACACATCATTGATTTGTCAGACAGTAATTTCTTCTTGTCTATTAAAATTGAATAATATTCATAAAAGAATTCTCACATCATTGTTAGAGAGGGACCAGAAAGGGAATCGATTATAAACTCAGAAAAATAGACTCACACAAAGGGAGATAAATTAGGCACAAACACACTCCAAGGGAGATAAATCAGACACAAACACACTTCAGGAGAGATAACCAGACACCAAGAGGGAATCTATAGATAAATCATTAACACAATGATTTTTTTGGATGGTTGATTTATGTCATGTGACCAGTAATTTGTTGTTTTCCAGAGACTGTCCTTAAACATGTTAAAAAGATTTTTAAAAATCTGGGTTAATTGATGTAAATATGTCACACAGAATCTATTTTCTGAACTTTCTGAAGTGACAGCCATCAAAAGCCACTTGAAGGCAGTCAACATCAAGTCCAGAGTTTGATCCTTCCCACAACACTGGCATTTAAATGTTGTAGTTTTCCTTAACTTTATGGTTTAGAGTGCTATATTATTGTAATTTAAATAGGTTTGAAATTCAAGAGAAAGTTAAGTTTAAAGTAACTTTAAGAGTTGTCTAAATTCTCTATTAGATTTAAATATCTTAGTTCTGAAATCATTTCAATTTAACTTTTATGTATCATTTGCAGAAACATTTTACAAATGACTTGATGGTTTGAATTTGCAAATAAAAGCCATTGTACACCACTAAACATGCAAATATTTTACAATGAGGTAGATCATTTGTACCTTTAATGGAGAATGAAATCAAAATTAAATATTAGACCTACATGCAGAGTAGTTTCATCTGATTTGTCACAACACATTTAGTACATAGCAAAATAAAGTTTATAGCTGATCCCAGATACATAATTGCTCTCTCTTTGCAAGTCAATTAGGATTTCTACTCAAGTTTTGCCTTTGAGAGACTCGGGCCTAAGCTTCCGAGAAAAATATTGTTTTGAGAAAGAAAGTGACATAAAAAAACTTATTTATACTGACTCATATTGCTTAGAAATTCCTAGATCATTTTATGACTGTTATTCAAATTACCCATTATGTTTCAAAGTTTTCATTTCATTTACTTTTAAACAGTGATTTATTAACTTTTGATTTTTTAACCCCTATAGTTTAAACAAGGAGAAGCGACAACGTGAGTTATTACGCGTCACTAAGGAGAACCAGGCTATTCTACAGCGAGTCACCATGAGACAGCCGGAATACAGTGCCAAACGGTGGGCAGATATCTGGGACGAGGAACAGAAATTCATTGATAACATCAGCCACTACCCCAAAAACTGGTGGCTCATGAAGAAGGTACCAGTCAATACCGTCATCAGGGAAAATTAATGTACTGTAAAATCACATATTTTCGTGGGGGTCAAATTTTCGAGGTTTAAGGAAAAAATCTTGGTTTGTGGGAACTTGATTTCATGGATGGAGAAGGTTTTAGTAGTAATGTATATTAACTTTTACATTTCATGGTGGTCATAAATTGGGTCTATTTGCCTTGAAAACAACAAAAATTAGTGATTTCACAGTATTGCAACAAAAAATTCAAGGCTTGATGACCATAACAAATAACAGTTATTCTTTAAAAACTTTGCATGCATAGTTGAGAGAAAAATAAAAATTCTGTATGCTTTAATCATTGGTCAGTGGATTTTTAATGAATATTTCAGGAGAGGACCAAGTCGAAACTTGAAAGTCGATCTCAGAAAACACGATCTAGTAAAGACCAAGACAGGCTGGATGAGACAGAGGAGGAGAAAAAAGAGGAGGAGAAAACTGAACTGAAAGAGAAGAAGCAGGAAAAGCCAGTCGAGAAAAAAGAGGAGAAGACAGAGTTAAAGGAGAAGAAGACTCAGGAGAAGAAGGAGGAGCCTAAGAAATCGACGTCCCCCGCGGAGCAGGCCGAATCACCAACAAAATCCAATGAGGAAAATCAAGACAAAATCGCTGAATAAGTATTCAACACAGACTAGAAATAAATCAACTTGTTCAGAGGAAACCAAATAACTTGTTCATCTGACACCTGTAATTGAAAATATTGAATTTGAAAACGAGGTACCATAAAAAAGATTAAATGTCGAATTTGGAAAGTATGTTTTTGTTCAAAGACTGTCAGAAGCTGCCAAACTGGTGTCTTAAATCTAAGTATTATTCATCTATTGAGTTTTTTGTATTTGATCACTGGAAAATATTTATATAAATAGACTAATGTAAATGGATTATATCCCCTTGTTTTTAACAAAACAGCTGACTTTTACTAGCTAGAGTACATATTACCTCATTGACAAGATATATTGTGAGTTCTATTATGAATACAAAAGGGTACTTAATTAGTGTTTCTGATCAACGTTTATTACGAATCTGTAGCAAGTATTTACTGTTTTTCTCAGATTAAATGTTTGTTATGAATCTGTAGGAAGTATTATTGTTTTATTTTCCGTCCAAATGTTGTTATAAACTGATCATGACAATGAATTCTCTATGAGATGTACAATCACAACATCCTGTGATATGCTGTGAATTTGATTCACGTTTTTTTAATGCCGAATCTGATTTTTATAATGATTTTGTTGTTGTTGCTTTGTTTGCTATTGTCCCTGTGATAACTCGACATTTCTACTGCCTCATGTGGAGCTGTTTTACTTGTGTGTTTAACTTTTCCTGGAAGAATCTTAATATGCGAGCAGTTGTACAGAAATTAATCAAACTAAACTATTTAACAACAGCAAGGTCAGAATAGAGTTAGGAGTTGCTCATTTATTAATGTCTGTTACTTTAGTTATAAATAGGATAATAAATTGGTCAAGAATTTAAACTTTTGAAAGAAAAATATGGTCATATGATTACACATATGTATTTTCATGTGAAATTTTACAATGATAATATACCTTTATCAAATTTAACTGTATGGTTGATGAACACTTAGGGGAAGTAACTCTTGCAGGGAAAGTAACTTTATTGTATCATTCTACTATTTTCCATTACATATCTGTAATCCTATTATTGTATGAATCAGTATTTCATGTATGTTACATGTAAAAAGCTAGATAGAACTTTATGTATCTTGTCTATGTTTATTTGAAATCTTTTTTTTTACCGATTGAATAAACTTAAGTTCATAACTTTCCGTGTTTTCCTGTGTTTGTTTTAAACAAATTTATATAAAATGTTCCATAAAGATAGACTTGTGGATATGTCAGACTTTTAAGTCTTATACAAACTTGTCCTTTAAGAGGTTGGTTCACTTTATGCATTAAATGGCCCTGTAGATATACCAATTGATTGATCAACACTTGATTTTCCATTTGAAGCATTAAAATAAAATAAAGAATTAGTGCTTTCATATCCTATGAAAAAATTTTCTCCTAAAAGTCCAAGTCTTGGAGAACTGGCTTTATGAAACTGCAGTGTTCTTAAATTTTTAGAAACAGGTACATGTATAATTAAGTACATGTACTTTCAGTGAAGAAAATATGAGTGCACTCTCTGATCTAAAAAAATAAAACATGCCTTTTAATCCTCAGAAATAGTTCTATCATTTACTTGTTGCATATTTTAGATTAGAATTTGCACTCTCTATTAAATATTGAAAGATAGCTTTAAAAATTGGCCGTTTTTGTAGACTTTTTCAGAATATGAGGAAATTGACACATTTCGTGACGTCAGAATCCATTGACTAGCCTGAATATTACATCATTTTTAATAGATACGCAGTCACCAAAGACCTAAGTGATATTCAATGCATTGTTAACTAAAACTATGCAGTTTCAGTTTTTCAGAAAATCACAGGGCCAAATAATTAAGGCAAAAGTGAACCTTGTTCTTTGTTTTGATATCTGCCAGGGGTTTGTTTTACAAAAGAACTTAACACAATTAGAAAGATGATTTAGATATTTAATGCAAGTAATATTCAAATGAACCATGAACTTTACAAAACTTTATGATCAACTATAGTTTTTGATTTTAGTCATAAGTTGTATTGTAAATCAGGTCCCAGAATTAAGCCTAATTGTTAGACATAAAAACATATCAATAAATATAAAATAAATATTTTAAAGTTTGAAGGATATTTTTTTAATTGTTTTATGTACCATATATACTCAAAAACAAAAATCTAAAGCAGATTTCAGTCAAAAACTCCAGTGTGCAGGTACAAAAAATAAATAAATTCTGAGGCAAACTCGAGAAGATAAGATTCTGGCATTACTTCCAGATTTAGGTGTTATAACAGCCAGGGCTTAATCAGAAACAAAGACTTATAATAGTTAGTGTACTGAAGTTGACATCTTGTTTGAAGCACATTTTATTATGATGGATATTAGATGCTCAATGTTTGTAAGCCCTAAAAGTAAAAGCAACAATTTTAAATACACAGACTAAAATTCTACATATATATAAATACATGTAGTCTGTTTAAAGGGGAATAACTCTTAAATTTGTTTTTCAAGTACTGTTCAGAAATGGATAAATACTGTGTACATGTACATTGATAATTCAATAATGTTAAATTTCTTATCTGATATTATGAATTCGATCAACTTTTATTTGAGTGTCATAACATCTTTGAAGATGCATTCACATTTTGTTAAAATGGGCACATTACTCAAAGAAAATAAAAAAAAAACACTGTATATTAAAAGTCCTTGAATGCAAAATATAAGGTATTTATTATGGACCAGTCAGTATTCACAATGGTTTAAGCAAAACATCTTAGTCATTAACTAGATGACATTTTGAATAGACATGATTGCAATACAACATTTTGTCAAATTATCCTAATAAAAACCTTTACTCTAAGTAATTCAAACATCATATTCATAACTTAAGATTTATCGCTCACTTTTCCATAAATTTCGAAAAAGATGCACATCATGATTTTTAGAAGATTTACAAATAAATACAATTTAAAAGAAATATTCTTTATAAAAAAAATCACAAACATAATTCCAGCTTCAGTTCATAGATTAATATAACAAATTATCAAAGTTTATACTAAAAAAAAATTTTCAAATGGATTATTCTTGCCTTTTCTCACAGATTTACAGTGATTTAATTGATTTAGCAACAGTAAAAAATATCACATCTTATAAATGGTAACATTGATTACTTGAATTTAATTCACTAATTTGTTGCCAATTAAAACTCGATGACCTGCATCATCATCACTTTGTTCTCTATAATGTCTTTTAACCACTTCTCACGGAACCTAGACTCTCCTGGTCTGCAAATTAAACAATTTTTTTTTTTTATGAATAAACAATTATATGCTTCTTATGTGTACATGTATATTGAAAGGAAATAAGCATAAAGTCTTCAATCTTTATGTATTTAATAACAACTTTGATTCCCTAAGACTGTAGGCTGGCCTTTATTGGTACATTGGACATGAATAAAAAATTACATTTACTATACTGAAGATCACTTATTTTTCGCAACACCTTATTTTTGCAAGATAGATATTTATTCTTTATTAGCATTAAGACAAAATTTTCATAAATTGCTTGATTTACAATAGCAGATGAATGATTTAAAATTCCCCACCCCCATCCCATTCCATCCTTGAAAATACACATAAAAAAGAATGTATAAATCTGATCATTGTTATTGAATAAGAAAACAGAAAAAGAAAGAGGTATGAACTTCTTGTTTTTCTGTAGAAAACACTTTCTAGTTTGTTAACATAGTGCATACTTAACACAGCACAGACGAAATGTTTTGTTTTAATTATTGAATTAGTACTTACTTGTGGACTAATCTGTGGGTTTCAAACACGTAGAATACATCAACAGGAAAAGTCTGAAACATAATTACACAATCATATCTTTAGAAACCATGGTTTTATCAAGAGTGGTAAACAAAAATTATATCATTTTTGAAATAAATCAGATTTCTATATATCTTGTAGTTTACTTGAGTATCAAGTTTATTGTAATTGATGTAAAATATAGGAGAAATAGCAATTTTAAAGCAAGAATGAGTGCACTTTTAATGTATGTCATTTGGAACCTTTTTCGGATTTTCATTTTAAGTTTAGAATTACAATATATCGCTAAATTAATCTATAATTATTGTGCATGCACATGTTTTTGATATTTATATACCTTGAATTTTTTTATCATACATATTTCTATAATTAAAGACAACATCACTGAAAAGAACAAGTACTGTATAAGCCTTCAATTCCGGAAATTTGAACTAGACCACTTTCGAATTTAAGGTATTCGCAAATAGGTGGAGACATATATCACATGGAAGTGGATTGTAAACATTAATTAGCACATGACTTTTCCATACTCAGATTCTACATTATGAATTTAATTGGAGAAGAGAGTTCACTCTGATACAGAAAGTTAAGAAATTTATTTTTTGGAATGCTGCACCAGGTACTAACTCTAATCTTAAGTTCACTGATCCTTTATAGAAATTTCTTTATCTAGTAACCATGGCTACACAAAGCAATTCATGCAATTTATAACATTTTGTATTTATAAAATCTATGTGGGTTGGTAACATATTAACAAAATGACATACCCCGGGTTTAATTGAAGAAACAACAAAGGAGAAATAAACACATGCCGTGGCACGAGGAATGGGCTTCCTGCGGGTGGGGATGCTCCATCGCACACGGAATCTGTATCTGGTCAAACCAGTGGTCCTCTGAGAAGAAATTTTTTACAGTACAACCAGCTGTCCTATTTTGTAGGCAGAATTATGTGTGTAAGGCACATTACTGAGTTAAAATGTTTAGGTGAAATGGACAAAACTTTAAGAATGAAGTCATTACATGTTTAAATGCTTTTCTTTATCACAAACTTAGTGTGAAATTTCATTAACACTCATAACAGTTATTATATACAGTGTTTTAAGTAGTTCCGGATTGCAACCAGGATAACGCTCGCTGCATTGTTTGCGTAGGACTTAAACTTGATTTCTAAACTGAATCAAATAGTCCTTTACCTACCTTTTCAACCCCAATGGTTAAAAATGGTACACTATATTATAAAACTTTCGTACATTAAATATGCTCTTTTGAGCCGAAAATTTCAAGTAGTTCAGGTTATAGCCACTTAAAAAGACTTTTAAATTAAAATCATCAAAATTCATTATAAATGATCAATTTGAATCTACACTATCTACAATGAGATGCTTTACATGTAATTTATATATGTATTATATAAATAAAAATATAAAGGAGAAAACATGATGTTTGAGCAAATTTATTGAAAATGAAAACATGAATTAATCTCAACATGAAGTGAACTTGCGCTTCTATGTATACACTTTCTCAGCCCTTTTGAAATCAATTTAAGGATGTACAACACACCTACCCTAAAAAATTCCTGTCGTTTAATTTTCGTTATTTTTATATATTTAGTACATGACTATATCTCTTGCATGTATGCACATTTTGGACAAAATCGTTCGAGTGGTTTTTGGACAGGAACTTCCAAAAGTTACCCCCCATTAGTTGTTTACAAGGAGAGAAAATTTTTAATTATATACACAATAAACCTTGATTTTCAAAAAAGCCAGATTGATATAAATGTTTTTAAGCCATTTAAACAAAAACATTAGTCATCTTTATGATATACATATCATCAAAACAATTTTTAAAGACCTTTAAACTGAAAAACTATGAATTATCAAGTTTATTGTAATTTTTGTCAAAATATTGGAAGAAATAGCAATTTTAAAAAAATTAGGTAGCTTTTGTATGTCATCTTGTAAATTTTTGATAATTTTTTAAGTTTTGATTTATTACGGAAAATATATTGCTAAAATAAATCACGTTTCCGCGCGGTTTTGTGCACTTTGTTATATGAATTTACAAATACACATTAAAAAAATTAAATTGGAATTTTTTTGCTTCAAAAATATATTAACTTACAAATTTAAAAGTTCTCATATGTAAAGCATATTTAAATGTAGATTTTTGGGCAATTTTTAAGTACCCCTATCACCCCCACCCCTTCCTTTTTTGCGTCGCAGACCATTAGCGTTTGACGAAACGTCGTTTACAGTGCAAATATACTAGTATTTCGTCATTTGAATCCCGGAGTTATGCACTAGTTTTTAAATTCATGAATGCAGAATAAATATTGACTACTCTTTTTATATGTATCAGGAAAAAATTACTGAAGGATTTTAGTGTGTAGTCCATATATGTATGCGTTATGCACTCCATATCACATGAAAGTGGATTGTAAACAGTTTTGTTAAACATGACTTTTGATTTTTAATTTTATTTCTTTAATCTTATATTTAAAAAAATGGTGTATGTTCAACTCTCCTGTGATATAAATGGAATAATTGTAGTTTCTTTCATGTCATTATTTCAAACAAGACAGTATGTGGACAGTGGACATGGGGATACATCGACATTTGCATAGATGAAGGCCTAGTACACCCCTCATGATATTGTAACAGTGTTACGCATTCTTTCAATCAGAATGTCGTCGCAAAAAGTTAAAATGAAAATTCCCATGCACATTAACTTCAAAATATCAAACATTAAACTCTTCATCTATTTCAATTTATATGAAATCGCACATTTATATTTTTAAAAATCTTGTTTTGATTCGAGGAAATGCGATTCGACATTGTTGACAGAAAGTCAAACGATTTGCTGCAATAGGATATTCATAAATGCTGATAATTTCAGTACAAGTGAACAATTCTTTTCAATTCTATACTTACATTGTGTATATGAGGTCTATAGTATTCAATTCTCGGATTTATCAGGTCTTGCTGTAAATGTATCTGCTTCTGTGGAAAACCGTGAATAAAGGGAGAAAAATAAACATTTACATTTTAATCTTTTAATCAGTAAGGGTTTGAGAACAACATCGATTTTACAGTGTAAAAAGTTTTTTGTTTATTAATCTATTGTTGTTTTATTTAATTATATGAAAAACAATATTTATATCGTAGAGAAATTGTAATGAAGACCATTAATCGGAATGTTATATAGCAAATTGTACATAAGAGTTTCGGCAATGTAAAATAAAATTTTAAATAAAGAAAATGCACGCTCTTTCAAAAATACAATTATGAAATGAAATAAACATTAAAGGATGTTATTTTATGTTTTGCTTTTTACGGAGTTTAATCGGGTTAATTAAAAAAAATACTTATTGATTGAGTATGGTACGCACAATCACAGCCAAGCCCCATATCCCAATTTCTTTTGTGATTGATATACATCGGGATTGTTTTACTCGTCGTTTTGACGCTTTATTTTTGACGTTAAATTTGACTACGTCAAACGTTCAATTGAAATGAAATTTATAACAGTGTGTTGTACGTCTTTAATTATTTACAAATATTTCAATGAAAAATTAAATTATATTTTTGTCCTTTTTATTTATTTTTTTTAATCTTGTATGGTGTACAACTCCTTTGAGAAAACACCGTCCTTAGTAAATCCAGAACTACTTAAATTGGGATGTTGTGAAGATTGCTCATTATTTTGGAGATGCTTCATAGTATTAGGAAACCCAAAACTGGTGAGGGTCCTATCCACACTTCACCAATTAAAAAGGTACCCTTAAAAAGTTTCAAAAAACTCCTACAACTTTAGAAACAGCATGTAATATTTCTACTCAACGTAAATAAAGCGCTTCTGGTAGTAAACATTAAGCTGTTAACATGGAAAGAGAGACAGATTTTATGGTCTCGCTTTATCGTCTAGATTTTAGTCAATAAATTAAGCTTCGTTTATACAAAAGTTCACAAAAAACAGAAACCATTTTGTGTTTAATTTTCATTTTTAAACGAAAATTATCCGGAACTGCTTAAAATCCGAAACTACTTAAAGCACTGTATTCCTGCCAAAAAATATGACATTAGCCTCACTGACTTAAAATGATACAAACTTTGATGAATTCATGAATCTTTTGTTCAGCCTTTTCTGCAGAAAATTCAGATATAGTCAGCCATTTGATATTTTTGACTTCAAAGTTATCATCTCTGACAAATGTAGATTGTCTGGAGAACTCTTCTGCCTTAAGAGATTCGAATGTTTTCTCTCTTTCTGTTAGAGACAGGTTTGTCTCCAGTCGCTTTATGGCGATGTCAATCACCTCATCCACGAGTCTCTTGGCCTGGTCTGCATAAACATCATCTGTTGACATACTGAACCCTGTGAAAATAATAAAATCAAGATATAAATGAACTTCAGCATGGATTTATGATATCTCTGAAACATGCAGATTTAAAATAGGCGCTTGTTTTTAAACAATACACTAGTTTTTCAGTAGAAAACTAGTGCTAATTTATACAGTACGCTTGTTTTCCTTTTGGTGCCATATTCCCTGTAAGCTTCATTAAATAAGACAACCTCTATGCATTGAGATTTTAACAACATAAACAAAGAAGTGTCACAAAAATCATTTAAACTTTAGCATTGCACACGTGCACATGTGTAATGCATTTGTTCTCATGACCATATCGTCTTGTCTACACAATCTATATTTTTAACATACTGAATATTAAAGCATTTAATCCAAAATTATAAAAAAAAAAAATACGCTCATTCAAGTGTACATGTTTGATTTTACATCGATTTCACGTGCACGCACGTGCATACATGAGCATGGTGACCATACCTGCGTTTACAAAAATCCATTACATCTATAATTTTCAAAGCCCACCCCGGTTAACTTTAAAAATAAGGGAATAGCTGTTTAAAGTTTCAAGGCAATCAGATTGCAGCACATATCAATTTTCATGAAATTGCTTTATTTCATAAAAAAGGATATCATAATGCATGGCTATGTTCAAAATTTCAAAGGATTTCGGTCAAAAAACAAGAAAGATATTGAGACTATAATAATTGCAGCCAATCTGTGTTATTATTATGGTATAACGTATTTTTTTTAAATTTACTGAAAATTTCGGTAAAATTGATAGGTACGCGAACTACTGTGGTCAAGGTTTAAACAAAATAATTATTTTTAAAAATTTTATGCCAAAACGTATACGCTCCGATAAGCAAGTGCGCGCAAAATGATTTGCTTCCGCGTGTACATAACATGTCTTAACCCTAAAAAGGTTTTATAGACAAACTGTTTACAAGATCAGGACAAAAAAGTTTCAGGAAGAAGAAGAAGAAAAATAATAATAATAATTTCAGAAAGGGTTATAAAATTCTCCCCAACTTGATTTGCTTATATTTTTTAGTTGTTCATATATTTTGTTTTAGTAAGGCTCTTGTAATCTGTTTTTCAAGGTTGTGTGAGATATATCCAAAGAAGTGATAGTTATTTTTTGTAAATGAAGACAGTTTTTCTTGCCAATATACTTTTTAAGCCTTATTTACAGATTTTTGATTTTTTAGTCTACATTGCCGCCATATTTATTTACATCGACGTTTCTAAGCGCAATGCAAGTAATTGACCAATGAGCGATGCGTTTACAAAATGTCTGAATGTTAAAAATAAATTCAGAGCCCATGGTTAACGTTAATAATCCGGAAAACATCAAGTGATCAACAAAATAATTATTTTAAAGAAGTTTGTGCTTGTGAATAATCGAAGTGAAGGACGGATTTGCTTCTTCGTGTTCATTTTCTTCTTCACCCTATATATTAGCTGCAATAATGTAACCCTCTCCGTTTTTTTTTTACTGATCTGATATTTTCTGGAAAAAATGGAGAGGGCTATTGCAGCTACCTATAGATATATACTAGTACCTTTATTATCTGCTGCACATGCGCTTGTTTCTGTATAGCCGCAGAAATGTAGCATTATGATTTTATATTCAGTCTTTGAATAGTCAAAGATTAAATATAAAACTATAACGCTACAGTTCTGCAGCTAAATAATAACACAAGGGATATAAAAAGCTACCTTTTCTGAATTTGTTATTTGTTATTAACTTTTCAGTTGTTCATATTTTGTTTTGATAATGTTCTTTAATTTTTTTTTCAAGGTTGTGTGAGATATATTCAAAGAAGTGATATTTTAATTTGTGTAGTAATGAAGACATTTTTCTTTGCCAAGATATTCTATACAAGTTTTGTTGTCATGGTAACTAAAGATCTCTGTTAAAATACTTTCAAAATGCCACTCTTTCTTCAGGTTTTATAATTAGCCTGATTTTAATATAACTTGGCAATCAGATAGACTTCGCTGAGATACATTTATCATTTTTTTCTCGAACTAATGATTTATGATGTTGCCATGGTTACCAAAATCGAAATTGTTTTAAAAACATTTGTAAAAGGCTACCTCCTCCCACAATTTAATTTTGTTTGCAATAAATTTTGCTACAAAAAATAAACTAAGGGTCATTTTTCTATCCGTTGCTGTTGCCAAATTTTAAATTAGTGGCGTTTTTTTCTTTTCAAGCGGATATGTTAAAAAAAACCAGAAGAGCTACAGTCTCGTCAGAGACTTCTACATGTAGTTTATTGTATGACAAAATATTGAAAGGAGCACTTTTAAATTCTGAATATTGACTCTGAAATAAAATACACAAAGACAATCATACAAGATATAAAAAAAATTAAAATATAATATTTCATTATTTTTTAAAAATATTATATAATATTTAATACCGGTAAGATATATTAACAAAAAAATAATTATGTAAATAAAATATTTTATATGTATTTGGAGAATGTATAAACAAAACAACTGAGAAATGTTTAAATGTTAAAATTATACACGCACAGTAAAATAACCGAGCTAGATTCATTTCTTCAGGCATTCAAACTTTGCTCTCTGGGTATGCATCGTGTCTTTGTCTTGTGCAACGACATAAATCTCGGTGGATCCAAATTCAAAGGAAACGTCGACTTCCCGTTTTTTGTCCTTGGCCAAACTTTCAAACTCTACAACCACTGTACCCAACATACGACATCCAGAGTCATTACAAAAGAAAACCCGACTGTCAGATTCATAGATTTCTATGTTTGCATGGGGGCTATTTTCAGAAGCAGTAGTAAACGTCTTTTGAATGCGAGTGAGAGGGGCGTTTTTCTCGATCATGCATTTAAATACATCAGTACAGACATCCATATCATCAATATTCATCAAGTTACTTCCAGGGTGTTTTCCTCTTTCAAATGGAACGTTGGTCGCGATACCGTAATACCTTGGACTTAGTCTTTGTGAAATGCTTTTGGGACTGTGACCAAATATGACAGCGCCTTGTAAGACAGCTAGGTTGGGCTCTGGTGGAATAGTAACTAATTTGTTTGGGAAGGAATCTCTGATTTTCTGTTGAAGTAAAGGACATTCCGAGAAACCCCCGACTAGTAAGATGGTGTCGATATCTGATACTGTAGGGTTCAGAAAAAGTCGTTCTAAGTGATTAACCACTGCGTTGATCGGTGCATCAAACACAAGCTCCCTCAAGTACCGGGGTTCAAATCGAAGCTTGTTTTCCTTAAAAACTTTTACTTGTTGCTGCAATTTAAGATCAGCAAATCTATTTTTGACTGAATTACCCGATTGTGATTTATATATTTGGCAAAGGTTTCCCAGATTTGAGAACGTAACTTTGTCTTCTTCATCTCGCCCGATGCCTCGCTTTTTGGATTCAAAACTTCTCTCCAATTCTAACCAATCGGAGGCACGATTACGTTTAAATTGTTTTATCACATCAGCCCCGAACCATTGATCTAAGGCATCGAAGAACATTTTGTCGACATTGGTTCCACCAATAGCGTCGCCAGTGGCGCAGTGGAGTTCCTTCAGAGACCCATCTTGGGCCACTTCATGCGCCGTTACATCAACTGTCCCACCTACAAACAAACAATGTAAGAAGTAAAATTTAGAATTTAAAAAGTGACTGGTGCCAATGGTTTTTAAGCAGGCAATTACAGCCTTGTGAAGGTTCGAATCAAGAGAAATTAAAAGAATTCTATTGGTCTCAATACAAACAACTTCATCGATGTTGAATTTTTTCTTGGTCACGTCATAAGTCTTGAATAAAAAAAAAAATATAGACTTCTAATGGTCTCAGAACAAGCAACTGCATTTTTATTGAAATATTTCTAGATCGGAAGCCATAAATAAAAAGAAGCAAACAGAATTCAAATACTTTCGAAGCAATCTTACCCAAAGAACTTTATTCGGTAATAACCAATATTTGTCCCCTAAAATCAAACTTTGACGGAGAAATATTTAATAATGTTCTTAAACAGGGGATATATATATGCTGACTTCAAAACACTGAATATTTTCATTAGCAATGACGTCATATGTTAGAAATGACGTCACGAAAATGACGTAAATTTAAAATTTCCATGATTTATACAGAAAAATGTATATTTTACGTCGATATTTTGAGTAAAAGCTCAATATTTTGATATTATGTGTAGAATGATAATATCAATGAAATATGTAAATATTGTTCCTGAGCAAACTTGCGCTTTGTCCATTTTGTCTTCTTTCTAAAAAAAAATGATATAAAATCGAACTATAGTTTGTGAAGTCATAAAAACAAAAATTGTCAATAAACTACTTTGAAACTATAATATGATCTGTTAATCTATATTTCTCATATAATTTATAAAATTTAGCACATTTCAAGAATTTTTCAAATTTGACTTTTGTGGGGGCAAAGATATGCAATATATCGCATATAGTATCTTTGGAACATCCCCTGGTTAGATTTGGAAAGTATACTAGGGCCTATATGTTTATGGTAAATAAAGTACCAGGTTATATATTTATATATTTACATTTCAAAGAGTTATCACAGAGAAAAAAAAAACTAGAAATGGAAATATATTCCTATCAATAAGATGTTTACCCCCGCAGTCGACCACCATATATTTCTTTCCTGGCTGATATGCCCTGACTTCCGTCTCGTCATTTTCCTTGCTCAGTGCAATCTGCTTACAAAATATTGCCGCCGCTTCTGGTTCTAACTAGACAGCTGGTCCCCTTATATTTCCATTTCATTGTGAAATAAAATTGTAACATAGAAATTTTAGATTTAAAAATGTAGACTAATCGAAAATTTGATTTACACTAGGACTCCCTGACAATTTCTGATTGTCTGTCAGTTTGTCCGAAAAAAAAAACCTTTCAATCTGCACATAACTTGGTTAAATTGGAGCTATGGCTTTCATATATCACATGTGCATCACTTGTGATACATATTCCTCCTTAGCGCCTGACCTATATATCTGCCTAATTTACATTATCTTAGACCTCTTTTGCAAAAATTTACCAAACTCTAACTTATCAAGAGTTATCACTTTTAGAAAAAATTAGATATTTGGAAATATTGATTTATTTCTCCGTCAATGTACTGATTTTTTTGATAGGCGCGGTTAAATAAAAATCACGTGCAGGGCGGGACAAAACTTTTATACAGCTGGTGCTACGTGGATTGTGAATCCAATACCATAAGGAATTAACTGTCAGATTTTTCGATTTCAAAAGACGATGATCAGTTCTTTTGATAATTTTATGCATAAATGTGTAGCAAATTATCACGCAAGTCAATTTGTATGGCACGCCAAATTCACAAAAATGAGATAATTTTTTTCACAATGCATAATATATAAGGCACAACGAGAAAAAATAGTTTACGGACTGTAAACTATAGTTAACAACGTTAATCTATATTTTACATCTGACTATAGTTAACGCCAATTTTTCATTAAATGATGTGAAAATTACTCTAACACCAAAAATATCATTTGGTTTGCCGTTTTTTGATAGGGAATACATTGTTTGTAAACTATAGTTTACAAACCGTTGAAACAAAATAATTTTTATATATCTGCAAGATTTGTGAAACTATGATTCAACAACTGCCATTTTCGATTTTTGTTTACAAACGTGCACATTTTTATCAACAAAAAATTGTTAAAAATTATTACAGACGAAATGCAAATTGTGTACATTGAATAACTATAGTTAAAACCGTTAAATATAGTTTTACAGTGGATATACTTAACAAATCGTTAACTATAGTTTACGGTTTGTAAACTATAGTTTACAGTCGATAAACCTAGTTTATCAATTTTGAAAATAGGTTTATCTCATTTTTGTGAATTTGGCGTGCCATACAATTGATTGATCATATCATGAAATCGAAAAATAAGACATTTATTCCTTGAATTAATAACTTTATGCAGGATAAAATTGTTTTCCTAGATATGCTGTTTCTTAAAAGTAATGATTTATTTAGTTTTGTCTTAGAAAATAAAGTTTCTGTATTGTTTAAATAATTGATTTTTTTACATACTGAAAGAATTAATGTAACATATAAATTTTCACTGATATTTTATGCCCCCGTAAGAAAATTTGAAAGGTATAAATGTTTGGATGTCCTTCTGTATGATTCTGACGCAGTTTTATATATATATATCTGCCCATAACGTTTATTGGTTGGAGCTATGGCTGTATATTTTCAAAATGCTGCTTTACTTGTGACAAGACCTTTTTTTGGCACCAACCTTTTTCGTGCAAATGACCTGGTTTCCTTACCTTATCCTCTTTTGCAAAAATTTAGCAAACTCTAACCTTGGTCATGAGTCTTGCTTTGAACTTTTAGTACTAGGGCTTTCATATTTCAAAAGATTTATCCTTCGATTTGAATGCCCACAATTTTTTGCAACACTTTTGAAAAACTTTTACAGTTGTGATTAAACTTTTATATTCTTTTGAAGGTATATTCCTCTAGGTATTATTAATTTTGATCATTTGACTTTGAAGTTTGACTCACTTTGAACAAAATTTAACTTCTGAGCGGTTTGTGCTTGAACTTTTATATTCCAAAGGTACATTCAAGATCCAGACAGCTCAGTATTACGTTACGCTACAACTCCATATCATTATTCGAGAGTGAATTTAAAACGGGGAGAATAGACAATGTAGGAACTGTATATTCATTCAACAAAAACTCTCTTTCTTTGGGAATTTAAAACATTTGTTATCTCTTGCCAAACTTATTTTCAGATTTAACAGGCAATAACACAGGGCGAAAATAACCCTGCATACAGTACTACAGTGAGGCATAAATCTTTCACAAAACATCATTATTATTCTTTGTTTACTGATTGAATAAAGAGTCGATACTAGTAAATTCATTAAATCTGATATTGTTTTGTCTTTTGGTACGTAGGGGATAAATTTAATAAAATCTGACATTTTCCAAACTTTTTTTTATGGACTTTGATAGAAAAAAAAACAGGCTAAAAAGCTGGCACGTAAAATATCTTATCAGCAAAAAAACCTGGAAAAGGAAATGTTTATCAATTAATGATGTAGAGGTTTTAACATTAAGCCATTTACAAATCATGTATACCATATAAACAGCTAAAAAATTATCTCTTATCAGAAAAGCTCTGCTGAGGAAATGTTTAACAGTGATGCACAAAGACGTTTTAACTATTATACATATATCTAAAATAACTTACTTCGGTTTTAAAAAATATATAATTTTTGAGGGATTAATCGCTACATTTGCGTCTGCGTAAAATTAATGTCCACTTATACGATACAGTGTACATGTGTATGCTTTTTTTTAAAAATAAATTCACCTGTTCGGCGGCTCTCCTCATAAACTGTTTGGCTTCGTTTGACCAGATGGCGGGAACAGTGAGAACCCAACGTATGTCGTCTGCCCATGACGTCTGCTTTGTAACTTTCCCGCTCTTGTCCTTGCTCTCAAGCTGCTTTACTAAAGCTTCGTCCAAGTGATCTTTCAAGAACCGTATCGCCCCGGAGAATACTTTGATGGCAGACATTTTCTTTCCATTGTGAGCAGTGAGCTGCATATCCTCTGTGATTCGTTTACCCTATTACGAATAAGAATTTGCCATGAATTATTATCGAATTATCAAGAACAGAGTAATTCTTTTATCCAAAAATTGTTTTTTCAGGTAGAAAATAAAATTGCAATTTTTATGCCCCGTAATCGAAGATTTGGAGGTATTTACTTTTTGCCGTGTTCGCCCGTCTGTCTGTTTGTTCGCAAAAGCCAGAAGGTATATATTTTTTGCCACTGTATTCCTTGTAACAAGACCCGCCTAAATTTGACTTCTTGACCTTTCTGTTTGTCACTTTTACAAAAATTTTAACCTTGCCATAACTTTAGAAAACTTTTGTGTGGGTTGGGATATGGCTTATCATATTTCATATAAATATATACCTTGCAGTGTTTGACCAACATTAAAAAAACTTTAACCACTTTCAAAATTGAAGGTAGTTTGGTGGAAAAGATCTTTCTTCGATAATAACGATTTTCTTGACCTTTGCATGTCCCCGCAAAATCGGGTATATAGTATAATAGTGTGATGTATATAGATTTGTCCTGTCCGCCTGTCTGTTTATCCGCAAAAACTTTAACCTTGCCAATAACATTTAATTGGATGCAGCTATGGCTTTCATATTTTACAGGTGCATTCCTTGTAAAATAGCCTTTCTTATGATACCACCAAATTTGATCTAGACCTTTGGCCTAAAATTTTGAAATTTTTTGGCCATAACTTTTGAACACCATATTTCAATTGTGTAAAATTTTCAAATTTTAATCTTAATTTTTTGGACGTTAAGTTGAACAGTTGGAAAAAATTCAAAATTTTAGTTTTAAAACTCATTTTTCTATATCTTCATATGGATCTCCCTGTTTTAACAGTGACATTAAGACCTTTTAAATTTATGGGCATAAATAGTTTTGACCTCTTGACCACGCTTGGAGTTTGAACCACCTTTTCATCAAACATGTACCTTAGCCATAACCTTTGAACAGCTAGTACTAGAGCTTTTACATTTCACAGGTGTGTTCCTAGTGACAAGACTTTCCTATGGATACCAACAATTTTGACCTTGACCTTGAAGATTTACTTGCATTAGAAATGGCAGTGTTTCATGATCACATGTCTTGTTAATACCTACCCTAGGTCTCCCTCCTTGAGATATAGCCTTAAACAGTGTCATTTTAAATCTACGAAAATAAAACCAATTTTGATGATTCTCATTGGGCAAATCGTCCCCGCTTTCTTCATCCTCCTCGTTTTCAGACACCAAAGAAGCATATTTTTTCTCGGCGTCGTATCCAAAGAAACGAAAACGCTCATGTTCATCAAAGAGAATGGAAGTGGGTGCCTTAAAGGTTCCGTCCCCCTCATTCTCCCATCGTGTGTTGTTGTACACTTTGAGGGGGTCTCTCGTGTAGTCGCTCAGAAAGGAGAAGGCGTATCCACTGTAAGTCGTGCCGAAGTCGATGGCGGCGACAACCATGTAAGTTTTCTCTCCATCAGCCATCGTGATGACGGTCACAGAACTTCGATTTCTCCATGTATCCACTTATGATACATAATTTCTGGCACTTTCTTTTCCCAAAGTATTTCTTGTGAGGATCTACCTATGTATATGTTAATAAACGTTTACTTTCGTTTTAAACAAGTTTTTTTTTTTTTAAATAAAATTGGGGTACATCAATATCCGTCATCGTTTTTTTTTTAACACAACTACACCGTTCATGATTTAAATGAATAAAAATTTTTAAAATCATTGACTTTTTATCTTGGTTCCTTGGGCTTTGAATGGTAAATAAACTACATTGTATCTTTTTATGCCCGTAATCGAAGATACGAAGTGTATCGTTTTTGTCCGGTCTGTGCGTCTGTTTGTCCGTAAAAACTTTCACCTTGCCCATAGCTTTTGATTGGATGGAGCTATGACTTTCATTTTTCACATATGTTTGCCTTCCTTTAGGTACCAATGTATTTGACCTGACCTCAGAGTTTGACCATTTTTGCACAAAATTTTAAATCTTTATCTTTATCCATGATCATAACTTTTAATGTGTTTGGGTTAGGGCTTTCAATCTTCACACGCTTATTTATTATGACAAGACCTTTCTAAACATATTGTTTTACCTTCTGACCTTGACCTACTTTAAAAAAAATTCAACCTTGGCCATAACTTTTGAACAATTAGAACTATGTATGGTCTTCATATTTCAAAGATGTATTCTTTGTGATAAGGCTTTTGTTTGGATACCAATAATTTTGACCTACATGTACTTCTGAAAAACTTAATCTTGGCCATATTTTTTGAATAGTTTGTGCTAGGGCTTGTATATTTCACATGTAGGTCTCAAATGACAAGACCTTCCAAATGATATAATCAATTTGACCTTTGATCCACATTAAAAAAAAATTTAGCCATAACTTTTGAATGGTTGGTGCTACATGTATGGCTTTCATACTCCACAGATGTAATTATTGTGACAAGTCCTTTTTAGGTCAACATTTTATTTTTCTTGACCTAGGAGTTTGACTCTTTCCACAGGGTGGCATCTGGATTATTTTGCTGTAAGCCTTCAGAATTTCATGAAGCCTTTCCATATCAGGTATTATCAGAATTCAGTGATAGATTTTAATCAACAGAAAAAAACACAAGTCAGTTTAACAACACCATTCATATTTATTATTATAAAAGAATGACTTAGCTTTATTAAAAAACATAGAAACTTCAGGATCAGATAATAACTTTAAACAAAATAACTTTGAAAACTTCCCATTGTACAAAACACAACATGTATGAAATTGGTCAAAAACTACACATGCACAAGAAATGTTACTGGAGTAATAGTCAAATCAATTGCAATAAATCCCTCATGTTATGTTTGGGTCACTTAACCAGTGTCTTCTATAACAATAGGTGATACATGGGAAAGTATTAGAGATGTAGAATAATAATACTGAACAAAAGCAACAGGCAATGTCGACAAATGGACAAGAAATGGGAAGGAGGGGGAAAAAAATCCTATAAATAGATTCAAAACAATAAGTAAAAAAAATAACGTAGGCCCAGGGGTCACAAACGCTCACCTTCAACCACAATAAAACACAAGAAATGTATGTGCTTCCAGAAACCCTAATCTTGAAAAAGGTTACATGTATTTGTTAGCTGGATTACTCAAGTTGATAGGAGTCAGAAAGGAGCACATTTCACGATGAAGTGTATCAGTTAAACAGTTGGCAGTTGTCATTTTGGAAGCATGTAGAAATCACAAATGTTTAAGGACTAACAACTCTCTGCTAAGGGCATTAACTCTACATTTTGAAATATCACTTTGTTTTATTTATTTCTAAACATTTCTTAGTATAAACAACAGTTTGTCTCAAATTTGGCACAGTGCAGTTCACTCAGTTTGTTTAAATTTCATTTTAATCTCCATTTTCTGTTGGTACATTGACCATGCAAACAACAATTTTAGTGAATGTGTGTTCCCTTCAACTTTATTCTGGGCAATATTAAAATAAAACATTTTAGTTAAATAAAAATTGTCCTGCATACTTCTATGAATGAAAGATTTCCTCTGCTACACACATTATGAATTGTTCTTATGCTATACATGTATTTAAATACCATCCAGTTCGTCTATATGAAAATACTGAAATTTTCAAAGAACATATATCCATCTTGACAGACAACAAACTTTCATCAGAATAGCTCACAAAAAACTTATGAGCTAAGAGTTAAATAAATTAATTGCTTTCCTACCATACATAACTACTGTAAAACTAATGTATTAGAATAAGAGTAGATATATTGTCAAAAATTTACAGACACAGTTGAAATTTTAAAATTTGATACATGAAAATCCACTGCCTTCTTTGCCCATAATAATCTAACTGAAAAAAAATGTTATTGCACAACAGAAATATCATACCCCATCACCACGTGTGTGGTTATCTATCTAAACACAGATCTACGTGACTAGTTTTCTTATATGATGGACCCACAGTCTTTTTTCATCTTTTTAGTGATGATTTTACAATGATTTTGCTGTTCTGGCAAGTCTAATTTTGGCAGCAATGATAATACCTTATACCCATATTTTTAATTAAAGTTAAATCTGATGAAAAATTGCAGCTAAGTGACTAACTGATGAAAAAACTGCCGTGTTTTAAACAAGATATAAAAAGTGTGTAAGCTTCATCATGCTCTACAGATTTCAAGGCAAAGATGAGGTTTATCTTTGTAGCTCTATTCTTTATGACATATTAAACACACACTGTATCCTTGTAATAAAGTTTCACTCACAGAATCTAATAAACTATGAAATCTACATGGAAACAACACCATACTTATGACTCGTGCAAAATTCTTTTTTTTTTTTTTATAAAATATAAAAGTATAAATATCTTTGAACTAAAAAATATAAAAATACCAGTTTCCATTATAAAATGAAAGAAAATCTATAGGAGCTGTCACGACTTGGACCACCGAGATCTGGAGTGCTCTGTTCAGTAAACAAGACTCTTACAAGTGGCCGGGAGAGACACACTTATAGATTTTCTTCTCTGATTATTAGGAGACACTCATTCCAATAAAAAAAGTAATCACTTTTGTATTAAAAAATGTAAAACAAAGGGAATAACAAACAGAAAAACTGACAACTACTACCAAAAAACAAACAACTTAACCCAATCAAATCTCCTTCAATTCCTGGAAGTCCCTCTTCAATACAAATCTATATCCGGCTCTGGTGTACCCAGCCCAATGTGAGCTAGGCACAAACCAAATCATCGACAGTGGCACTCTTTACATGAAAGACTTAACAGTGTTAGCTTTCAGCGAGGGGAAATCCTGTTTCAAGCGGGAGGGGGAGGGGCTTCTATACCCTACAAGAGGTCAGTTTTTTGTGGTCCATTTGTTGTAAGACACAGATTAAAAATTCCATTTTATTCATAAAAATTTAAGAGTGTTATGAATGAACACATTATTCTGAACAGAGGTAAAGTGATGAAATAAGGAGTTCCACAAAGGGCTGTCCACTGCTGTAGGGTATATAGTATTGAACAGTCGGAACTACTGGTCAGTAGAAGGGTTACAGTGTGGTGAGGTATGTACGGACTTCAGATCCTTGACTGAGGTAGGCTAGGACACTGTTACAGGAAGTCTCTTGCTGAAAACCAACGCCCCGTTACCAGTAATATCGTTATTGTACACCTGAACTTTAAACTAACAACTGGTTTTTTTAGAATACAGAATCACAGTTGGCTGTTACCACTGGGCATGCTCAATAAACTTTACAAAGGAACACATTTTACAGTCACCATCTGTCACTGTAAATAACTCGGAACACCTTGCACTTTATCCATACTTCCTATGACCTTCTTTTGATTTACTAAAACTTTGCATGTTACGTATACAATAATGTTGCTTCTGTCATAAAACTCCACTAACAATACAAGGGCTATCAAACGAACAGCACCCAAGTTTATACCAACAGAAAAATTTGATTTCCTCTCTGATGGACAGTTGTTTGACATTTACATGTAGTTAATTCTGTCTCCTTTTATCAGCAGGTCCTTGTAATTAAACCATGTACAAAAAAGTGCCTCTCCTGAACTAATATTGTAATAACCAAAATACACTTAAAATATTACAGAGGAAAAACAAACATTAGTCATTCTTATCTTAAAACTAGCACCTGTAAACAAAAACAAAATAAAATTACATTGTACTACCTCACAAACAAATTATATATCTTAAAAGTATTGATTTCTAAAAGTGATGTTATCTACAGCAAAAAGTCATAAAAAACTCTAGGAATTGGTACAAAATGTCGGCGAACAGCTTGCATTGTTGTGACATGAGACAACACAGAGTTTGATTGACGTGAAAATTTGTAAGTTGATAATAAAATATATTACAGATTTATTTGGCTTACTGAAAATTAAAAAAATACGTTGTGAAAAAAGTGCATGTTATTTCTCTTATTGTTCAAATCTTTTATACAGTTTTACAATTATAAAAAAGAAGAAAAAACAATGGAAGTTGTGAATGTACAATTTATACAAAAAGATATATATAGTTTTCCATAAAAGGGAAATATGATGAGAAGCCTTTTTTGTATTTTTTTTTTCATTTTTGCAGAATGTACAAAGCGGAAGCTGGGTGATATGTGAAAAATATCTGGAATATATAAAACAATAAAAATCGGAGTGACTACATGATTACACTTGGTGATGGCTAAGATGAATTATGACGGCAAATAACTAAAAAAAAAGATCATAAAAAAATAAGTGTAACAAACTAGTTTTCTCTACTATACACTGTTGTTGAGCAAAAAATGAATAACTAGATCATAGAGGAACCACAACCAAAAGCTACTGACTGAAAAAATAATCAAAAATGTGAAAAAAGAGAGCAAAATTCATATCTGTGAGTACATGAGGCCCTTTTTAAAATGTATTTCTTGTAGTCCTATATACAGTTAGTACCGGTTTAAATGGTATGCAGTAAACTATCCTGTAAAACATGAATACAAGCCAGTACAGTATGTGACTATAATCATGGGGGATAGGATAAAAAATAAGCCCAATAAAATCCCACAGATCCAGGGAAACTCTCCACTGGCCGCAACAAGAAATGACATCAATATGGTAAATCACAGAAAATTCATACAACATAGCAAATATTTAATTGAAAAAAAAATATATCAAACTAATTAAACAAAAAAAACAGCATGCAATAACTAGAAACTCTTAATCAGCAATAAAAGTATAAAACAGTTATATAAACGGTAAAAAAATCAAAATGCTGAATTCTGAAAAGTTTTCTTTTTTTGTCACAAATCCCTGCAACATGTTTCTGTAGTTTTTGTTTATAAATAACAATGATTAACAGCAACACTGACCAGAACAAACATACAAGACATTGACTAGATTAGAATCACACTATACAGAGAACCATAAATAGCTGGATTGTCTCTAGCTTAAAAATGTCACAAAAGTAGAAAAACAATCTATTCTCCTAGTGATCTACCGATTATATAAAAAACTTCATATTCTTTATTAAATACACAACGTGCATGATGGAAAAATTACAAAATTCATGAACACAGATTGCATGTGTGATATATATATTGCTTTAATTATGATATAAATAGTGGAAAAATATTTTTAACTGGTCATCATTTTCTCTTGTGAATAAAAAAAGGGGAAAAACTTGTATAAAAAGTTTGGGGTATTGTTAGACTGCTAGATTTCCTATGGAATGCTCTGGCTAGAGACAATCTATAATAAATAGTTGGCAAGGGAACGTTTTTAGTGGCTACCTTAACCAATAGCCACATCCAGCACTGACAAAAAAAAATAAACAGTAACAAGATAAAAATTCAATAAATAAATAATATATTAAATCTGGACTAAATACATCTACAAGTTTTAATTCTTTTGAAGAAAAAGCTTGTTGACTTTTGTTCTAACACCAGCGAAACGGAACTGCCCTGGGTCGGTCGGCTCCCTCCTTGACCAGGGGTTTGTGGAACTCGCGTCCCGGGCGGGAGTGAATCTGAGCCCAGCACTGCTCACAGTAATACTGCAGACAGGTCACATTGGCGCAGAAAAACGGGGCAAATTTCCCTCCACACCGCGACCCCTGGCACTCGTCACACATCTGATCATCCAACACATACGGCTTCACCTCCACCTTTATTAAAATTATAGTGTAATTGTTATTATTAAACATTTATAAAGCACCCTATGTATTAAACTCTAAGGTGCTGTACAAGCATATTACATAAAACAAATAAAACTTTAAAATTAATAACAGCAGTCATTTGATGATCTGTTGTAGATATTAAAATATGTGAAATGAATAGCTACTGCTTTTTATTTTCAAAGATATTGCATTTTTTTTAAAACGGTAAATTTAATTCATTTGACAAACCAGAAGTCTCTGTCGAGACTGAAGCTCTACTGGTTTGTACTTATAACAAATGAAGACAAAAGTAGCAGTTGGGACTTAAAACTTTACAACAGCAATAAATAAAATAATGATGCTTGATTGAGCTCTTTTTTGTGGCAAGATACTGCAATAAGACTACAGCTGTAGGAGTAGCTATTAATAAACTTTTATAGTATTTACAGTTTTAGTAACCATGGCAATATCATTCCTCGAAATCAAAAATCGTTAGAAAGAATTGTGTATCTTAGTGTAGTCTACTCGTGTGCCAAGTTATATTAAAATCAGACCAAAACTGTAGGAGGAGTAGCATTTTGAAAGCATTTCAGAGAAATTTCTATTTTTAGATACAAAGGCAACATCGTTTAGTCTACTTGGGTGCCAAGTTATAATGAAATCAGACCAAAACTGTAGAAGGAGTAGCATATTGAAAGTATTTCACAGAAATTTCTATTTTTAGTAACTACGGCAACACCGTTCATTGAAATCTAAAATGGATATATAGAATTATGTATCTTAATGTAGTCTACTTGTGTGCCAAGTTATATTGAAATCAGACCAAAACTGTAGGAGGAGTAGCATTTTGAAAGCATTTCACAGAAATTTCTATTTTTAGTAACAAAGGCAACACCGTTCATCGAAATCAAAAATCGATACAAAGAATTATGTATCTTAGTGTAGTCTACTTGTGTGCTAAGTTATATTGAAATCAGACCAAAACTGTAGGAGGAGTAGCATTTTGAAAGTATTTCACAGAAATTTCTATTTTTAGTAACCACGGCAACACCGTTCATCGAAATCAAAAATCGATGTACAGAATTATATTTGCATATCCACTGCACTCACCCACTATGAACATGTGTTCATCAATTGCGTTCATAGGACTATAGATGCAACTGCTTCTGCTATGTGAGCAATATTGCTCTTTTAAATTCCTGTAGAACAATTTTTACTACAATAGTACACCGTGTCGAGAAATATATATATGAAACTTTTCGTAAAAGGAATAAAAATAAGTTTTTAATAATATTCTTTGAGAAAAAAGAAATTCAGAATAATTAAAATTGCTGATTTATATCTTTAAAAATTTAATTTTTGTCAATGTATTTAATTGTATAATAAAACTTTTTAAAAATTGTAGAAGTCTGCCCTATTTTTATTTTTTATAATATATCATGCATATCTGTTCAAAGAACGATAACTCTTCACACTTGGGTAATAACAATCAGAAAACTAGTATAACTAGTATATCGACTTCAAGAATAAATTCAGCTATTAAAATAAATAGAAGAACTAAAAAAAAAAAAATAGAAAAGCATTCTGGAGTAATAATCATTATAAAAGCATTATCATTTTACATCATAGTGTTAAATCGTTGATTTTTGTTAGAGGGTTTCAATAACGTTGATCGATGACGTCACAACTGCATCAAAACAAAAATTAAGAGAATGTGTTGACGGCGCTACTTGTATCCAGGTAACTGTGTTTGAGAGGGAAATACTTTATAATTGTTTGTGATTTATTAGATAAAAGTATCATTGATCAGGTGTACTGATTTTAAAGCCATATGTTTTCCATTACTGAACACAAGAAGCCGCGTCCTTATGTAAGTCAGGATTTCCTCTGATATTTTTTAATAAATCAAAGAATGCAAATATAAGTAATAAACAACGATTATTCAGTGAACATGGCATTATGAATAGCAATAGCTCTGCTGGCATATTTTCCATGATGCGCTAGCGCGCATCATGGAATATGCCAGCAGAGCAATTGCTATTCATAACGCCATGTTCACTGAATAACGTTGTTTATTTCTTAAATGTATCTTAGTGTAGTCTACTTGGGTGCCAAGTTATAATGAAATCAGACCAAAACTGTAGGAGGAGTAGCATTTTGAAAGTATTTCACAGAAATTTCTATTTTTAGTAACCACGGCAACAACGTTCATCAAAATCAAAAATCGATGTACAGAATTATGTATCTTAGTGTAGTCTACTTGTGTGCCAAGTTATAATGAAATCAGACCAAAACTGTAGGAGGAGTAGCATTTTGAAAGTATTTCACAGAAATTTCTATTTTTAGTAACCACGGCAACACCGTTCATCGAAATCAAAAATCGATACACAGAATTATGTATCTTAGTATTGTCTACTTGTGTGTCAAGTTATATTGAAATCAGACCAAAACTGTAGGAGGAGTAGCATTTTGAAAAATTGTTTACAGACAGACAGACAGACAGACGGACAGACGGACGGACGCCGGACGCATTACTATCGCATAAGCTCTTCTGGTCTCTGACCAGTAGAGCTAAAAACAAATTTAAAATCAAAATTTTACATGGAAAAGCTGATAAATAAGGGATTCCATGAGATTGTGTGACATACAGCTAAACACTTTTCTTGAAATCAATAATACATTTGCATGAAAACAGCAAAAATATGGTACCTAGTCACTGAAAGTCTTTAGAGGGAATTGGATAATAATAACAAAAAGATTTTTTTAAGTGAATTGAGATACATGTACTTATCTAGTCACCAAGTTCATTGACTCTGTGAACAAATGAATGAATTGGGCAGTGGTCCACCTCTTTTTTTGCTAATTTTACATCAATTACATGGCTGCATTTAATATGGACTACAATTACTGTTACCTACCCTCTTGTCTATTTCCCCATGCTGGAGCTGTACAAATCTAGCACTAATGGCCGCTATATAACTCTGCTGGTTGGAGAAGGCCACACGTCCCGCCCCCTTGGGATATTTTAGCTCAGGATCAGTGTCTATCCCTGCATAACAGACACCGCCATACAGACGATCCATGATCATAGCTAGCTCCACTGGAAAACAAACAGAGAAATGCTGAACTTAGCACCCATTCAATGTATTCTTACTTACTTAGACCATCAGACAGGTCTGACTGTATTTCTTAATTTGTATCTCAGGACCCAGGTACCTCAATTCAAAAGCATTCAAGAAATAGTCTTCTACATCACATCTTAAGTTAAAACATGTTTCTTTTGATATATCAGTTATGAATTTGTTCAACGTTTGCAGAGATGAACCAAAAGCAATAATTGGAATTTTTTTTTTACGTCCAAGATACATAACTCTTAAAAAAAAAAGGTTGCTCAATCATATCTAAAACAGAATTGACCTAGAAAAATTCTTATGATAAATCTGTATATCAAATTTCACTATAGTATGTGCAACCTCTGCAAACTAAATCAACAGAAACTGAAAATAATTGGAACTTTTTGAAATCCAAGGAGCATAACTCTGTCAAAAATTGCTCAATCGTACCCAAAACAGATCTTGATTTAGATAGTCTTATATGATAAATCAGGATACCAAATTTCATTTCAGTATATGCATCCCCTACGATGAAAATGAATGAAGACTGTTGGTTGACTGACAGACATCAGCAAAGCAATTACATCAAACTTTAAACAGTTATGAGGTACCTGCTCGTAATGGTCTGGGGACTCCTCCTACAAAGATAGTTTTCCGTGGATCCAGAGGCTGTGATCCGTCCATCACAAAATCGGAATCACTCAGGCTCCAGGGTCTGATCTGAACCTGTTCAAGGCAGAAAAAAGTCAAGGAATCAATTATTTAAAATATTGGAAATTGTGCAAAGAAACTACCCACAGAATGGCTTTTATATCCTTGATTACTAAATTCTTCTCAATATGAGGATGTCTTAAAAGGAAAAAAAAATGTTTGACCTTTTCTGACTTTGGATAAAAGAAAAAATAGGTCAGTAGGTAGTTTAAAAACTATTTTCATAAATTTTTCACATCAATGCTAAATCTAAAAAAAAAAGAATTAAAATTGAAGACCTTTATCTAAGATCAAAATATTTTTGTAATAATAGAAATAAATGGGGTACTCAATGCTAATTTAGTGAAAAAAATCCTGAAAAGAGTTTCTTTTCATATAAATAGAATATTTTAATTAATTAAGCATAACTCGGATGTTGCAGCATGATCCCTTCCCCCAAATATAAATATACAGATGTAGAGACTGTATTTTAGTAGCCATCAAGGTCAAATACCTTTGGCAGATCGTTTCTCACCCTGAGCCTAGGGAGCAATAGACTTGTTGATAATTGTGCCAACCTAACGAGGCATTTGACCTTCTACTGATAGACAATGCAGCAAAAAAATGAGATGCATTTCACACAGTAGTCAGATATCACTAACTGCTGTCAATCAAAACCAGCTGAAATATTCAATATACACAGTTCTCGGATTTCAGCTTATCAGATTGTTGGAGAGATAGAAATACTTTATGGACTTCACTCTTGACGAATTTCATGACCCTGTTTTATCAGTACAAATGTCCCCAGTATCTGTTTGTTAATTTGTGTGATAGAATACTTTTCATAAATAACATATTTATCACATTTTATTTATTAATTTGTCATTTAAACATAATTAAAACCATCATCATTAGAATTTTTTTTTATCTCAGATCTGTTAATAACAGTATATCATTTCTTTAAAAACAATTTATATTAGATATATTTAATTGTTTTTTAACAGAAAACCTATCCACTGATAATAGCTTTATCTATATCAATAACATTAAACACACTGTTGGTGTAGCTCTCCACCATTTAATCACATCATCATTGTAAGCTAAAGCTGTAAATTATTATATTGTAGAGGTACTCACTTCTGTGAGGGGGCTTACAAAAAACGTTTGTGGAAACAGAATGGACACAAAATCTGTGGCTAGCACCAATGTACACAGTAATGATTCAATGTTTACAATGATATAATGGTAAAGAATGGTGGACCTATTGGTCTGGAACTATGTTTTTAAAAATTCATCACATATTTTGTAAACAAGTGGTACCACAAACCCTAAAATGTTGACAGTATGACCATTGGTGAGAGTGCAGATATTCAGTTTTAATTTAGATTGGGCTCATCAAACTGCACATGACATTTGGTGCATCTATAGACTCTGACGTCACATGATGTATTTAAGTTGCATTAGCAAATTGAATCCTGAATATTCTTGACTTATTTGAAAAACATTTGACTGTTTATCAGCAATATATCCATTAAATCAAGGCGCATTTACTTTTTGTTGTAATTTTTGCAAGAACATAGCTTAGGAAAAATTTCGTTTTGATCAAAATGCAAGTCCAAATCTTCTCTTTGCCTAGGTGTTGTTGTTAGAGCTCGCATTGCAATGGGCACTTTTGGCCAATCGCTATAAGCATAATTCTTTTTTCCAAGGATTCAGTTTTGACATTATTAATGAGGGTTGAAAGATGGCTAAAATTGGGTATTACATGTACAGACATTTTATTCTATTCTATTGGTTGTACCGGGTATTTTTTTTGACATTATAAAATCGCTAAAATTACCTCTCACTAAAATATAACAGGATTTTTTGGAGGATAAATCACTAAATTTATGTCTCCCTAAAAACTCTCTTATATGGTATATCAATTCAGTCATTTATTTTTTTTCGCTTGTATTATCTGTCCTAAAAGTTGTAAGATAATGTTGACAAGCTTACTTACTGGTTTGTCTTTCATTGTGGGGCTGGAGACACACCAGTAGAGCTTCTCATCGTCCACAATACAGTGTTCTATCAAGGCCTGAACAGACATCTCATCTTGAAACAACAGGAAACAGTAGCCTACAATGGACACACAACAAACGTCACAAACGGAAAGCAGTAGTCTGTCATAAAAACATTATACATATACTTAACAGTTTGATTTGTTTTGTGACTTTTGTCCATTTCTTTGGAAAACATTGCCATGAAAATGAAATGACATTTAAAACTTCATAATATGTTGATAATGCAACCCTTAACGTTAGGGCTAGCACAGATACATAATCAGTTTTTAATTTAGATTGGCCTTGTCAAACTGCACACGACATTTGGTTTGTCTAGACTCTGACTTCACATGACGCAGTATAAGTTGTCTTACCAACTCGAAACCTAAACATTGTTAACTTAAATGAAGAACATTTAATTTACTGTTTATCTTCAATATATATCCATTAAATCAAAATGAGTTTATTTTTTGTTAACTTTTATTGTTATTCTTGCAGAAGAATAACTTAAACAAGTGATGCATTGTGGGTCCAAATTTACTGAAGAAAAAAAAATGTTTGGATCAATGTGCAAGTGTGAATTTTTCTCTTTGCCCAGGAGTTGTCATAAGAGCTAGCATTGTGAATGGCGCACTCACTATAATATTTATTATATCAATCAACTATAACACAGCTCATCATGGTTGCACAAACATGTCACATAAAAAATGAATTTTTTTATCGATTCAAAAAACTTTTTTTTTACGTATCCATTTTCCGTTTTTATCCGATTGATTTTTTTTTATGTCTCCACTGCACCTATGTCATTTTTATCCAATTGATATTTTTTTTAACGCCTCGGTTACACCGACCCTTTATCTTTCCCCAAAGTACTATTAAAACATCTTCGTGATTTACAAATTTAGAGATGGCGTCTGCGAAGGTTGCGGGAAATATTGACTCTATAGTTCTGTCAGTTACAGTGAATTTGAAAGGAAAAACATCTAAATTACTAGTCCAAAATATTGTGCGTCAGTTCCACCTTACAGATACATGGTATGATGTTTATGAGATCACAGAACCAGTGGCATACGAAATTCCACATGGGATAGATGAAAACTTTGAAAAAATAGCTAAAGTTTGTAAGGCAAGTGGAGCTGAATCTGATATTTGAGCAATAAAAGATTGAATTCATTTAGAATGCTTCAAGTTTCTCATTTGATTAGCAAGGAGAAATCTAAGACATAGTTAATACCTCTATATAATCGAAATTTATTTCTGACATTTTGTCTCAAAAAAAAAAAAAAGCATACCTACCTACTCACACCTAAAATGATGAGGCGCGTTACCGCAAAAAAAAAAATAAAAAATTAAAGATGGCCTTAGTTTGTAACTCTTTATGTGTAATCCTTTCTATAAATCTTATATCATGCCCTGAATGGTACTTTGTAATGGGTCTGTGTACATACCTTTTGGAGGAAAGTAAGATTTACTCTCTGCTTTGTGGGGCCAGTCTACAACCAGAGGTCCAAATCTCCTGAATGCAGCAGTAATCTCCTCTACAATATATCAATCACAAGTCAATCTCTCTGCAAGAAGGGGCTTTTGCTTAACATTTTAAAAGCATGATCTTGCCAAAAAATGAATAATAATAAAATTGAATAACAATCAAAGAACATTGCTCAAGTTTTGCTTTAAAAAAAAAAAAATCTTTCATTGTTATATATTTGCATGTTTCTGTTATGATATGAACCTAATTGTAACAAAGATTCTGTCTAAATTAATAATTCCTGACTTATTTTGTTCTCATCTATATCATTTAGTACATTGACTTTCTACATCATAAAATGACCCCTCTCCCTTATTTGACCCCCCTTTCCCCAATATTACGCATTCTTTTTATTTACTTCAATCATAACACATTCCATTCCAAGAAGAGCATACAAACCTTCATCAATGTCAGGAGGCAGCCCCCCTACAAACACCTTCCTAGAGAAGCGCTCGATCCTCTCCCCCTGGGACCCAGGTGACCCCCGCGGTCCACACCCCAGTACAGACAAACTCGGATCCAGCGTCTCTTCATCTAGCTCTCCAAATCCAAATGTTGGCTTTCCTGGAAATCAGGAATCGGTAAATTAGTACATTGATAAGGAATTGTTGATTTTCATGAAATTCATGTATTCTGTACCTGACTAAATGTATTATTCTTTGTGGTGGGTGATATATGATCTATCTTGTAACACCCCCCTTTTTTGAGTTTGCTATCTATAGCATGAATGTGCTGTTATGAGACTATTGAGAGGTCTATGACTGGTATGTGGCATTACACCATTTTCAACATTTCTAAGATAAAATATACCTACAGTGGCCTCATCTTGAAACTTAATTTTTTTAAACTTTTTTAATTCCAGAATTATTTCCCCTGGAATCAAGATAAACAATACTTGTCAATAATTATTCTCCTACAAAAGACGCTTTGTGCAAAACTGACCATTCCTTCAGTTATTACATTTATACATGACAATGCATAAAATTATCCAAGGTAATGGAGAGCTATAGGACACCAGTGGGTGACACATTTTATATACTCATCTCCCACCAGTAAAATAATTATGTACTATGCTGAACAAAGATCAGATAGTAAGCAATGCTTGTGTCTGAGACTCTTTCAAATATTTTTAATAAGTCAATGCATGGTATTTTCTATGATAAATAGGTTAGGCTTACAATTATGTCATAATTTGTCAGGTAATACTATCAGTGATACATGTACTAAAGTCAGCCCCAGAATTAATATTTTTTATCCAAATAAGGCTTCTTTCAGTACAAGGGTCTGCATTGCATTGAAAAAATGCATGTAACGTTAAATTAATCACTGGCGGCACAAAGGCCTGTATTCAATTTTAGATTATGTTTGATGGAAATATTTCGTGTACAATTTTTCAAATTGTTTTACTTTCCTTATAAATGCAGCCATTTTAATACAACAAATTTCATTGGTTAAAACCTTCAAAAACTGTTTCCTGTTTTAAAAAAGCACAATCACAAATAGAATAAAAGGTACACATTTTACACTTTAACATACCAAATCCAAATTTTGAAATGGAATGAACATGCTCCAAAACCTTTTTTTCAAGATCACTCCTCCAGAAAAGCATCCTAAGCAAGTCTGGTAGTGAGCATCCCTTGATGCATCAGCCACCAAAGTTTGGCTGTCTTAGGGCTTATACATAAAAGTTTACATTGGAATTAACTTTGTCACTCGTAAAAATATGTAGTTCAAAACCAGCATTTTGAGCAAGAATGGTCCAGCAAAGGCTTGGTATTACAGGTGAGCTAATAATGCTAAAATGAAGACATTTTATGATCATTTAATAAGGTATCATTTTTTGAGTTTTATTGGGATGTAAAACGGGTTGGCCACGTGATCAAATCCCATTAAGCCTGATTGGCTTTATGGAAGATTTGATCATGTGCCAACCCGTTTTACATCCCAATAAAACTAAAAAAAAAATGATACCTTATTACTTATATTTACATTTGTGACTTATTCATACTTTAAATTTGCCTGATTGTGACTATTAACGTTTGAAATGCATTATTTTTCAAACCCAACAACATTTTGTCAAAATCCACTGACATTTTTGCTACTTCCTTTATGACGTCACTGAGAAAAAATTATGCTTCGAACATTTATCACAAAACTTGTCAAGAACATCTATGATCTCTTGACCGGTGTACCTTTATTTATACAGTTATAAATACGCTTGCTTTCAGTAGTGTTATATAAAGGAAAACATTTGCAAATGTAAATTTAACACATGTGTATTTTTTTTTTTGTAATTTCTCATTTGCATATATTTCATTGCATTAATTATCAAAATTTCTTTTGTGTCATTTAAGACATTTGTGGATGTCAAACTTTTATTAACCTGGCCCTCTCCATTCATTTTAGATGGTTGAAACATGCCTTATAAATTTACAAATTTCACACCAAACATCAATCAGGGAATCTTGCGGTTTATCTCTCATTTCCCATTTAGGTTCTCTGAGAGTATTAATTAATTAAAAGCTATAGGATTCTAGAACTTGGCATTTTTTGAACACCCATACTGGCCACCACAATAAAAACAGTAAAAATATTTCAGCAGATTGGATTATAATTAATTTTCTTATATTAATGAAGGAATTCATCCTCTAATCAATCTAATTTTTTTCATAAGGATGCATGAAGGGTTTCATAAATTATTTAATTAATGGCTTTTATTTGTTTTTTTTTTTTAAATTCCAATAAACACTACAGAGTCAACCCACTACATTTATGCTGGGAAGACTTCTATAATTTATAACGATGCTAGACATTTGACACTTTTTGATAGAGCTATATATAGCTGATGGTAATTACATTTTTTCGCGTTACGAAGTATAGCGAAAAATAATTGTCCTGACGACATGTAAACGAATACGAAAGTGTGGTGTTGCGTAAAAATTAAACAAAATTGTTATAGTAGGTTTCAGCCAATGAATTTTATATTCAAGCTATTATTCATTGTGAACGTTTTAAAACGAAATTGTTACAGATTGCTATTTTCTATTGCGGGTGGTTAGTACACGTGAGTTCACTGATTCTAGACGCACGCTTTCCCGAGCATAAAAAAGTCGTGTTTTAAATTTTGTTTTGAAATAAAATAGCTGAATTAATAATTTTTTTTTAAAAACTAAGAATAAGCTATTTGGATGTTTAAATCGTGCACATGAGGATCTCGCCCTGTACCTTTTTTATACAGTTATAAATACGCTTGCTTTGCCGTAGTGTTATATACAGGTTTGCAAATAGTTTTTTCAACAATATTTTTTATCTATGGTTTTTCCTGGGCGGCAGAGGAGGCTTTGCATATATTTATTGCATCAATATAAAAATTTGTTGTGTGTATGTGTTTGTGCCTGTTTCATTTTGTTGGTAAAATGTTATACAAATCAAAACTGCTTTGTTTTTATGTTTGAATATATTCAATATAATAAACCTGCCACCACAATAAAAATAGCAGATTGGATTATAATTAATTTGTTTATATTAATGAAGGAATTCAAAGCAATCTTTTTCATAAGGATGCATGTATTTCTACATGTATTGCATATTAAGGTCAACCCACTACATTTATAAATGCGTTTATATATAAAGTTGACACTTTTAGTGTAATGAAGTGTGGAACAAACCTTTGAGTGGGTCTGCATGATCCCCTGAATTTCTCATGATGTCAAGGAGCTGATTCTCAAAGTTCGAAAACCTCATACTGTCATAAGAGTTACTCCTGTCCTAAAAAGCAAGATCAATGTGTCAATTATACTCAGTACGTACAAGCATGCACAGTATTGGAGGTGCAGTATGTTTCAAGTAGTGCTGTCCCATTTAATCAATCCATTGATTTCACATGGCCTGATAATTCGATTATTGAATCAGTATTTTCAGTAATTGATCTTGACAATCAATGTTTTTGATTTTTTAAAATTTTCCTCATTCACTCTTTTATCTTCAGCTTATTCCCCTCTCTATCCCCCCCCTTTGCCTTTCTCATGTATTAGTACTACTAGTTCCCATATCAGAGTTCCCATATCAGATGCTTTCTTTATCACTAACTAATTGTATTAAATTACTGGTTGATTTATTATTGTAATATCTAGTGATTACAGAATATAGACTTTTCTAATCTTCTGCTAGTTTTAAGCAAAGTAATCTTGGTAAACATATGATGAAAACATCATATACATCATAAACATAAATGTTGATAATTATTATAGTACATTAAAATACACTTTGATCCCTAACATTTCCATCTGCCCAACATGTACAAAAAAAATATGATAAATAAAGGCTAGAGGTACTGTGAACACTGAGCTCACTAAATGATACCCCCTGCCTCCCAAATGAGTATAATGGCAAAGTCCATGTTTTGCTCTAGGAGACCCAAAATAAGTGTCAGATCAAAAAGTAAAATAGGAGGTGCACAATAGCATTATGTTATAAAGAATCTGTGAAAGTATCGTTAAATTTCATTCAATGGTATTGGAGGAGTTGGGGATAAGAGATAGGTTACCCTTCAATATTAATTTATAGAAAGAATGGCAGTGTCAATGTTTTGCTATGGGAAACCCAAAATATGTGTTGGATCAAAAAGTAAAATAGGAGTTGACTGTTGCAAATGGTACTATGTAACTAAGATTCTCAGAGTCTCATTAAGTTTTATTTAGTGATATAAGAGGAGTTGCGGAGAAGAGATGGATCGATACCCCAAAGCACAGCAGATGGATAGACATTCCGATCACTTAACTATATACCCTCCCACATTTCCAGAGGGGGTATAATAATAATGAACAAAATAAAAATATATATACATGCACAATATTAAATTATATATCACAACTTCAATTCCTCGATTCTTGACCCAATTATGCAGGTTCATTCCCCTTGAATACACAGTTTAAACAGCTCTAGACCTTTGACCGGCTCAACCAACACTTAATACACCAACTTTCAAAATTCTTTTCTTGACCTCTTTTACTTCACCAAGTCTATGTTAACTCATGAATCAAAATTGAATATTCCAGCCAATTTATAAGCATGTATCCGCAATGAAAAACAGATTGAATGGAAAAATGTGGAGATACTGAGCTTTAGTTGGACCTCAACAAGTGTACTTGTATCGTATTTTTAGTCACAAAGTGAACTTAAAAGTAAACCTGACATAAAACATAAACTGGTAAAACAATAGCTTGCTGACTGGAGCTCACATCCTACTACTACTTGTTTTGTTACAAAGTCTGGTGTGCATTAGGTTTATAAATAGCCCACACCTTGTTCTTATTTGATGGAATGAATAACTCAGAACATTTATCAAGTAAAAAGATGATTAAATGTATTGGCAGACTTTTGAACAGGTCAAACCGGTGTGTAACCCAAAGACAAAACTGGGTCAGAGATAGAGGGCCAGAGATGTAAAAGGTAAATATAAATATTCAAAGCTGGATGCTGAATGTTTCCTTACAGACCGTGAGACATGAAAAGTTTTAATAATAATAATGTAAGACCTAATTACTCCCCGATCATTTCATATAATAATGATGGTATTACTAGAAAATGGAATAATTTTATGGTAACACTTTAAAAATTTGTATAATCAAAGGTTTGGTAAGCTGAACTGTAAAAGAATTAACTTAGTATTTTAAAGAATTAACTTAAAGAGAGGCAGAACTTTCTTTTATAAAACATCTGATTCTGAGCACATTATCATGCAGTAATCAGTAAATATCAAAGAAAACATAGATTCCATGTAAATAATTTTAGAAGAGAGCAGATATTTTTGTGACCCTGTATGGTCGGTGTGTCCTTTGTTTCACTTATTCAATAAACTCTCTCCCTTTATGTTATCAGACCGTTATCAGCATCTGTTATGACACACCCAATTAAGCCCGATATAACAATTACAACCCCCTGTTCTATAAACCCATAAGGTACAGATTTGTCTAGACCTTGGTACATGTTTCCATTAAGCACACATGGGGTTAACTTCTGTCCTCGGGGAGGGTGTCCATTACTATACACCAGGGACCACAAAGTCAATGACCGAGTGACCATGCATTAAATTACTAGAATCAATAAGCCAATAGCTCTCCATAAATCTTTCACTAGTTATGACCATCAGTACAGTTATCTCCTCGTACATAAAAATGAAAACAATGATATCTATACTATGTACACTGAATACATAAAATTCTCCAGACTGCCCCTAAGATACTTATCACAAACCTCATGCTCTTAATTGCATTAAAGGAGCCAAGAGTTACATCATGTAATTATTGATTTTCAGCCTTTGCTGGCATAAAACAGTTAAAACTGCCGTGGTTAAAGGGGGCCTGGGTTAGGAGTTTGATTTCATATTCTCTCATCTACCATATGTAGGTATTGATCCCCGTGCAACATCTGTCAGAAATAAACAAGAATCAAATATACAGCATTCATAAGCCTCTACACAGGACAAACGCTACCAATGAGGTGTCAATACTCAATTGATTAGCATCAAAACAAACAGACATGTATACATCTGTTCTGCAGTCTATTGATTGCAGCAGTGTAATAATCAAACAAGATTCTGAGGTATGAAATCAATAGACGAGGACGACCCACGCAATATTCATTCACAGCCTCAATGTCACATATTGCTCAACATTTTTCCAAATCTCTGGCACTGCCAGAAAATTGATTGTTGGAATGCAGAAAATGCAGCCCAAGCGGGCACCAGGTGCACTATTTGAATGGTGAATCTTCATCTGTTCAATTCACCTCAGGAGCTAGATAGGGCGTACATATTGCCTCTGTATTTTACATATCTCTCAGTGTATCAGCTTGTGTTAGGGGCCTCCACAGATATATTTTTTGTTTCTCTTGACATCAGAGATCGGATTCAGATAGAGGCAGTTTGATAACACATATTTTCTTTATTACAGAAACCATCTGCATCTTGTCATAATTTATGAGAAAATACTCAATAATCAGTTATTGTATCTCCAATATTTTTCAAATCCTGGAGCAAAATGCATTTTGCATGACATTTCAGGTAAGAAAATGACTACCACATTGTGCTAAAACAATCATGTGTTTAGAAATGATTGAGCATTATTGTTATAATAATAACATTAACTAATCCATAAAAATATAAAACATTTGAAATACCTGGTATGATAGCATAGATTCTCTGTGTGAATCGTCCACACTGCCCATCTCCAGACCTGGTTTTAGCATTGTTGCCTGGTGCATTTGTCCGGGAAATGAAGTGCTCCTCCGGAATCGGGAGGGAGCTATGAGGGGGGCAGTGTTGGTGATCTGCTGTTGGTACGACACAGGGGACTTCTTCATCTGAAATGATGCTGCATTGAGTGAGGAGGGGAAGTTTGGCACGGACCGCCTCTGGTGTTGTGTGGAGTGAATATTTCCCCATGTTTGGCCCTGGCCCTGGGAGTGGGACCACTGTGGAGCATTGCTCCAGTTTGGGTAGCCTTTAGAATTATTGTTGATCAGTATTCCTGGTTGTTGTTGACGAGCTGGAAAGTTATGATGCCCCGTTATAGCTCTTCTCTGGGGAGGTGGAGGCTGTTGTGTCATATTTAACCCCATATGGGTGATCACAGTTTCCTCTGAAGGCTGGTTTGTCCATAAACTTGAGCCAGAAGTCCCTGATGACACAACAGCTGTTGACGAAATAGTCTCCATAACGGTACCGTGCGCCTGTGTAGAGCTCACAGAAGTCAATAAATCGGCTTTCTTCTCTTCTGATAAAGTACTTGCATCAGATTTGTTTCTGATTTCCGAACCATGTACATTTCCGTTTTCTGCCACGACTTGTGTGAGTTGCTGATGCTGAGATGTGGTTTTCTCGTGTATGTTTTCATCTTGCATTGTACGCGGATCGGGGTTAAATATGGACTTACTTTGTAAAATGTTCTTTGAATTTAGCGACGAAAATCCTCCGATGTTAGTGGCCACTGCAACTCCGTAATCCCCCATCAATAAATTAACGTAAATATGGCTGAAAGGGGGAGTTACAATGTTCCTCGTCCGCCACGTCTGCTCCTGATGGCTCGGATCTGCTCTTCTGCGTATTTTGGCCCACTGCCCTTCATTTCCGCTTTGTAAATTAGGTTTCTAATCCTCAAACTGTAGTTAATGAAAAGAGTCTTCTATACATTTTAATGATATTCACGTAAATACATGAATGAAACATTGTGTAAATAAGGGAGAATTACTTAATTCTTTCAGTTTTTTAAGGGAATTATTGCGATTAAAGCCAAAACATAAAATGACAGACGGTGATCTAGAAACTGACTTATTTGAATAATCATAAGTGGGCGGGGCTTATACCTTTATGTACCGTTATTTCAATAATTTACATATTTTATTATTTATAAATGAGCAAATCATAGGTAAACATCTTTAAAATATTTTTATTCAAAGTTTACTTAATATTTTCCGATAATTTATTAAACTTTATCTGCAATTGTACATTTAATAACATTTATATTTTTATTTGAATTCTCAAAAATTTAAAAAATTTGTATATATATGTATACTCAATAATGACAGGCCCATAGAAAGCCTTTGTGGGAGGAAGGGGTTTATAATGTTACAATCAAATTATTAATTTTTTCGGTTTTTGTTTGGGGGGGGGGGGGGTACTTATAGTTTAAACTATAATTCTTGACGACTCCGGCGAGACCGAAAAAAAGCCGGGGCATCTAACATGCAGACGTAATATTATTGAATGAGGGTACACATCCATAAAGTTTTTATTCTCTACCACATGCCCTATATTGACAAAATATTTTACTTTTATTTATACTGTATAAAAGATATATTCCTATAAAATAACTGCATTTAAAATCTATATTTTTAATTATGTGAGCATTGCTTTAATTAAAAGTAAAATTTAAATATAATTTGAAAAAGACGCATCATTTTTGGTCCGAAAAATCATGTGACAAGCATGAACATAAATAAAAAATATTGAGATAAAATAGCTGTGCATCTTTTAATAAAAACATATAATCCACGGCTTGGAATTTCAATTCATTTCAACTGTCAGTTATATATGGTGTTTAGAACCTGTCTTCATTAATGTCGTCCTTTAATTGCAATTTTTAAAGATGACACATTTGAATTCTAAATGTGGTTTCACAATGAAAAATAACTTCTTTGTCGAGTTAGAGAAAGTCTAGCTTCTTAACTGTTTTATATCATTAATATTTTTATTTTGAATTAGAATGTGAACTTGTGTTATTTTAATTTAAAACATTAAGCATACATTCAACAGTACTAAGTGTGTATTTTCTGGCCACATGGACTAAAAAGCCGGGTTTCTTCGGCTGTACTTAAAGATAAAATCGATGTTTTCCGACTAGTGGGAAAAACAGGAAATAAAGTGACACTGGACAAACGTTAAACACTGAAAAAATGAGTTTCTACATCTAAAAACCACCGTAGACGGAAAGGAGAGGAAACGCGCACAGTTTTTGTTTCCGCTTGTCTTGTGTTTTAGTTATCAATGTATAATTTGAAATATTGAGTAATGCTTATTTTTTTCCCAGATTACATGTGCGATATTGAATTGAATTTAAATGCCATTATCGCGCGCGTATGTGTGTGTGTGTGTGTGTGTGTGTGTGTGTGTGTGTGTGTGTGGGGGGGGGGGGTTGAAACGCGTCTTATTATCTATAAATATTAAATTTACAATCTAAAAAAATTGAATGTCACCCTAATTGTATACCATTGATTAATTGCAATTTAGATTTGATACACATTTACATTTAACATGGTTAAATATGGTTAAATATGAAAAAATGATGGCATATGTTTTTTTGTTTTGTTTTTTTATATCCAACGGAATATAAAATTTATCCAATATTTTTTTGGTATAGGTAATACTGTTTTGTGTAATTTTTCGTGATTTTTTAAAGGTATCAGATTAATTAAGGTTTTATATCTAATTCTCTAAGTTACATACCGGTATACTAGATGAATATAAAAATGTACAGCAAACAATTCGAAATATTACGGGGAATTTTTAATGTCTCCGGTATGGGACTAGATAGAAATTAATAAAATATACAGCGTATAAAATTTACACTCTTTATTTAACAGACACTTAGCATCGGTATGCATGGGGTTGCTGCCCCCTTTTCCCAAACATAGCATTTTTCTGTAGAAAATATGTGTTCATTAACCCCTTTTTTTGTTTCTGTATTATCAAATAAGGGTAAAGTCATAGTTAACCGTGTATAAATAAAAGTTGGTATTGAGAGAAATTGGAATATTTGGTTTAAAAAAAAGTGATGGAAGCAATGAGAGAAATCATTTCTGGACAGTGAGAAATTTTTTATAAAATTTGAAGCGTCCCCTGTCGAATGGTAACTGTTACAACTGATGTGTTCTTTGAGACGATGGGTAGTGGTGGAGGGGGGGGGGGAGGTTAGAAAATTTAGTGAGTAAAAAGGTGTTAAAACGTTAGTCAATAATTGACTTAATTTATGAAAGATTGTATGCAGTGTCTATTTCTTTGCTGACAAGGTATTGATATCGGCCTTAGAATTTGCAAAATGATAACTTTAAACAAAAACTCTTGATATCCATGTTTCATCAACTTATTTGTAAATAGTTTGTCCACTATTTTTTTTTTTTTTTGATTTATTTGTATTGTACGTAAACTATTAAACACGTAGGCAAAATCTTTTAAGATTTTTTTTGGCCCCCTCCCGACTAAGGATGAAAAAAAATGAGTTTGTTGGACTTGATTGGCGGAATTCCCCCCCCCCCCCCTCCCTCAAACAATGTCAAGATCAATGCTGATTTTTTTCACAATCTATTTTCCTGAATGCATAAAAATCAAATAGTTTCGATGAGGTTAAAAACAATTTAAGTGTCACTTAAATGGCTAAGTTTATTTAGCCAGTGGGTCGGGTGAGGGCAAACAATATTAAAAAAGTGCATATTCTTATGTATTTATTAAAATACACCCCACCCCCCCACCAAAAAAGAGGAAAAATTTGGTCTATACATTTGCTCTGTTAGTCCAATAAGTGAAGAGATTAGTAAAAAATATAATTTTTTAATAATTGTAATTACATTATAATACATTCTTTTTGCTCTGCAATGACATTTTCAATGACGCGTGCATTTTTCCTTGAATTATCATGATCGACTTATCCTGAATTCACTTCCGGCTTAGAATTGTCAACAACAGAACTGTGCGAACAGACCCACGTAGGTCTTGGACAGATTTAGGACTTATTTAGTTATTCATGCTCATGTGTGGTGAAAAAATCCATTCATAAGAGTATTTTTTGTAAGGGAATAGAATTAGAAACACCATTTCTTTATCCAGTCTGAATAATATTGTGTCAACCTTGCGTTTATCTGCCCCTGAGGTGTCTTATTATCGCTAATGTGTATTCGTGGTTTATATTCATGAACAGAGATGGTGAGAGACATTTGAGAAAAATGTTCAGAATCGTTATTTATTGACTGAGAAGGAAACAGAAATATGGCAGTGCATCGTGAGGAAGAGAGGTAAGGGACAAATATTATAGCCAACCAGAAATCGCGTGGAAGATCCTATTAAATAAATTTTTATGGAAGAGAATATGTATTTAGAGACATGCAAGAATTGATAGACCCTTCAATTAAATGATAATTAAATAAAAATATTAAGAAGTTTCAATTTGTACAATTTTTTTTAATCATTGTTAAGAGTGGTTGCTTATTTTCATCATAACCATGCAGGGAATGCGGGTGGGAACGACCCGATTCCTTGTTCGACCTGCGTGGTTTCGACCCTTTTCCTTGTTCAACCCGCGTGGTTTTGACCTGAGTGGTTTCGTTCCGAAGCAATATTAATTATAACAATTTCGATAGTTTAAAAACATTTTTTGGGGTCTAATTCAAAATATTCAGATTTTTTTAACCGCTCGTGACTGTTTATTATTAAAAATATTGCTAAATAATTATGTTTATTTAAACCATTTAATATACATGTATAGACCCAGGGCTCGACATTAACTTTTTTCCCTACTTGTCCATTCGGACAAGTGACCAAGACATTTACTTGTCCGAATTTCAACTTTACTTGTCCGAAATTTTTCAATAAAGTTCAATAGTTTCAACTTGAAAATTAAAATAAAGTCCATTACACATGTCATGCACTTGATTGATTCGTGATGTTACTGTAAATACAACAAATACATAAAACGAAATTTTATCTAGGCTTTCTGTCCTGACAATAACGTAAATGTCCACAAGTGAAACTGTCAACATCAAACAGTTCACACTTCGGTTCGTATCTTCCATGACTTTTCAGTATTATGCAATTAGTGAACTTCGATCTCGATCGATATTGAACTCAATTAATATAGCGATACATATCGGGATCGAAGTCTGGATTTTATGTACAGCTTCCGTCTTGAGACTGCCGATTTAGCTTTCAACAGTCGTTCTTTTTATTATTTAGAGACCCCTTTACATTAAAATACACTTGTCCAATCGGACAAGTGCCCAGCAATATTCACTTGTCCGTATTTACTTTTCATTGGTACCGGACAAGCGGACAAGCGTTAATGTCGAGCCCTGAGACCATAAATTCGTATATTATCCCACAAAGGGCTGATTAGTTTTTAAGGAAAAATGTTCAAATATAAATTATTTATATATTTCAAATGATATTGATTGCATCCTTGTCCTAAAAACAATCTCAAGTTTACTATTGACTTCAATGTTGACAACCAATAATTGACACGTATCCCTCCCTGAAGCCATACAGCTACCGTGTAACCATGTGTATACCTAAGGTATACACCATACCTTATAGTGTGAACCCTTCTACACCATACCTTATAGTGTGAACCCTTCTGTTTACCTGTATGTATATAATTATAAGTAGGTCGAAACCACTTGGGTCGAACACGGAATCGGGTCGTAACCACTCAACACCCCATGCAGGGCATAGGCCTATTGTGAAATTATTTTACAACCAATACCTGGTATGTTTCTGGGTGGACTTCAAGGTGAAGACAAGTTTCCACCATCAATAGATATTTCAAATATCACTCTAATGAAAAAAATTCAGAAATTCCTGCATCATATTAGGAAAACATGCTGGGTGTGTTTTGCGACTGAGGATGATGACAGTAGCGCCCCCTGGGTCAGACCATGTCGGTGTCGGGGAACAACCAAATGGGTCCACCAGTTTTGCCTTCAGCGGTGGATTGATGAGAAACAAAAGGGAAAAAGCACCACGAAAGTCGCATGTCCACAGTGCAACACGGAATACATCATTGTCTTTCCTAAACTTGGTGAGAGTAATAACATGAATACTACATCATTAGAAAATTTAAGCATTCTCAGGAATGTCATATCTATTTTTCTATCATTCTTGCTCTATGTTTTAAAAGATATTGAGCACTGATGTTAAACTCAGACAATTCTGTCATTGTCAAACACCAATGATTGCATTTTGCCCTCTTGAATGCAAATGAGATTTAGCTGATTTTGCCCATCTCATATGTGACGTAAGAGGTCCTGACCAATATCTCAACAACAGGTCCATATCTCGCCCCGCAGTCAAACATCATTTTTTTAAATGATGGTTCAGTAAAGTATTGAAAATGTTATAAACTTTATTAGCAAAGATTTATATAGGAGAAAATTTTTAAAAGTTTAACAATTTGTTTTGTTGCAGATATTGTTATTGCATGATTAAGATCTTCCTTGACTTTGCTACAAAAGAGTGGCACAAAAAAATGGATAACCGCTAGTTAATTGTGATACTAATCATTGAGGTGTAATTATGTTGAAATTGGTTATGATCGATTTATATATGTAATGAAATTGAACTGTAAATTTCAGGTCCAGTGGTGTATGTGATGGACATAGTTGATCGTATTATTTATAAGGTCTGCCCCTTTGTGGCGGGGGGCATCGTGGTAGGATCTGTCTACTGGACGGCAGTGACATATGGTGCTATAACGGTGATGCAGGTAATGGATCCTTTTTGTCATTTTTCTACACACCAGTCATTTTTTTATGTGAGCTATTTTTACTAACTATGGCAACACCATTCATTGAAATCAAAAACCAATACATTTCCACTTAAAAATATACTGCCTCTTTGATCTTGAGGTCACAAGGTGAAGGGTGAATCTTCTGTAGATAAAGGAACTTGAGGAAGATATTGTCTGCTCAATATCTTGAGAACCCTTTGCTAGACAGACTTTGTACATTAGTTTTCAGAAGTAAATGACTCCTATTAATTTTGAGGTCAAAAGTTAGAGGTTAATGTTTCACACAATGATATTACCTTCTCAGTATCTTGAGGGCTTTTTGCTAGACAGACATCAAACTTACACATATTTTGCTAAAGTATTTCTTGTTTTAAAACATTTGTTCTAGTTTAAAAAATATTTAAACTATGATGGAAAATAAAAACAATTTGAAAGGTTATATGTTAGGTACATGGAGTAGATAGATTTTCCACTAGTGATGTAACACAGTACATGTAAATAACACGACCACCTGTATGACAGATATTTACGTGACACCATTACATAACAATCTGAAATGTCAACGTACTGAAATACACATCAGTATGAACTAAAAATAGAGAGACTCTAGACTGATAATTATAATGTAACAGACTTATATAAAATTTTAGGAAATTCCTTATGATTACCACCACATGCAGATGTATTGATTAATGTTTTGTTGTCTATGACCTTCTGCCTTCAAGTCTATAAATGTGACAAAAAGAATCCACATTTCATAGGAAAAGTAATGATGCAATTTTCACCATGTGTATTAATCCATCAAATGTTTCTTACTCTACCTATAAACTAACTTATGTATAACATCATTCAAAGGGTATACATGATTTCTTGATTCATACTCTGTCCTTGTTGCTAGCGCTCTTGAGTGCTAGCAACTACGTTAGTCCAAATTCCTGAAATACGCATGCTCGGCTTCATGGTCATGCATTCTGGGAAAACTGTAAAAACTACTATAGATAGACCGTACGATAACAATTTCGTTGTTTCATTAAATAACTGTTTATTTATTGTGTAGCGTACACTTTAAAGATAACTACATAATTGTAATACTTCAAATTTTCCTTTTTTTCTGACGAAAAGGCCAGAGTCATCATCTGATTGTTCTAAACAGACAAGGGAGGTTTTTGTTACATCTAAGCAAAAGATCGACTCTATTTTCAAAGTCTCTACCTCATCACAGTAAAAAAATATATTCTATTTGCTTCCAATCACGGCAATGTAGGCCAAGCAAAAAATTCTATAAACAAGGGTTTACACTAAAAATTATGAACAAAACCATTATTTATTAAAAAAAAATCTGTGTATGGCTTTTAACCTAACAGTTCTTAACAAAGATGACCCAAAGGGCCAAGCTACTTCACATCTTCATATTCGTAACTCTCTGCAAACTCCAATGGGTCCACACTAAAACTTCACCCCCCCCCCCCCATCGTTTCTTTACCAACCTGTCTATAAAATACACTTCACAAAAAATTATAACTTTATCACACCCCAGCCTCGATAAACATTTAAAAATTCAGCAAAATAAATCACTTAATCATGTTAATCACGGACCTTCCTTTCTGTGTTCACAAATTGCTATGGCACAAGCTCATCTATCTTTTTTAAAAGATAAACTTGTATAGAAAATAATAGTCACAGGCAAACTGTATATATTATGTGTATTGTGTATCATATTCATGTCAACCCAAAGAAAGCCAGGAGCTCCTGTACATGGCTGGGACAATTTTATTTTTAAACCTATAGTAATGATAATCACTTAATTTGTGTACAATATTTAAAAATGGCCTCTATTACATGGAGGCTGGGGGATGTCTGTGGGGGCAGCTGACAAGAACTGTTACATATGGATCAATAATCAGTAAATCTGGAAAAATCTTTGAAATGACATTATTAGCTCACCTGAGCCGAAGGCTCAAGTGAACTTTTCTGATCAAAATTTGTCCGTTGTCTGTCATTGTCGTCGTCATTGTTGTTGTCGTCGTCGGCGTAAACTTTTCATATTTTCATCCTCTTCTCAAGAACTACTGGGCCAATTTCAACCAAACTTGCCACAAAGTATCCTTAGGTGAAGGGGATTCAAGTTTGTTCAAATGTAGGGCCAAGCTCTTTTCCAAGGGGGGACAATTATGAATTAGTGAAAAATTAATGGCTTTTTTCAAAAATCTTCTTCTCAAGAACCACTGTGCCAGGAAAGATGAAACTCATGTGAAAGCATCCTCAGGTAGTGTAGATTCAAATTTATATAAATCATGGCCCCCGGGGGTAGGGTGGGGCCACAATGGCTGATCAAAGTTTTACATAGGAGTATATAGGGCTCAGGAACCACTGGGCCAGGAAAGATGAAACTCATGTGGAAGCATCTTCAGGTAGTGTAGATTCAAGTTTGTTCCATGACCCCCGGGGGTAGGTAGGGGCCACACTGGCCGATCAAAGTTTTACATAGGAGTATGTAGGGAAAATCTTTAAAAAATCTTCTCAAGAACCACTGGGCCAGGAAAGATGAAACTCATGTGGAAGCATCCTCATGTAGTGTGGATTCAAGTTTGTTCAAATCATGACCCCTGGGGGTAGGGTGGGGCCACAATGGCCGATCAAAGTTTTACATAGGAATGTATAGGAAAAAATCTTTAAAAATCTTTTTCTCAAGAACCACAGGGCCAGGAAAGATGAAACTTATGTGAAATCATCCTCAGGTAGTGTAGATTTAAGTTTGTTCAAATAATGACCCCTGGGGGGGGGGCAAAATGGCTGATCAAAGTTCTACATAGGACTAGATATGGAAATCTTTTAAAATCGTCTTCTCAAGTACTTTAAAGCCATGATATTTATGTGGAATCATCATCAGGTAGTGTAGATTCTAGTTTGTTCAAATCATAACCCCCAGGGATAGGGTGGGCCACAATGGGGGATCCAAGTTTTACATTAAAATATTTTTTAAAAAAACTTCCCAAGAATAGCAAAGCCATGATTAGTAATACTAGTATTTATATGGAAGCATTTTCGGGTAGTTTAGAATTAAATTTTTCAAATCATAACCCCCAAGGGTAGCTAGCATAGAAAAATAAAGGGAAAAATCCCAAGAACAGAAAAGCTATGTTTAGTCATATTGACATTTAACCATCCTCATGTATTGAAGATCTAAATTTATTCAAATAATGGCCACTGGGATATAGGGAGGGAAACAATGGGGAATCAAATTCAAATTATGAAGTTATATATAGGAAGAAAATGTTTTTTAAAAAATCTTTTTATCAAGAACAGCAAAGTCATATGCTGTATTAATATGAAGACAATCTCAAGAAGTATTAAAATTCAAGCCCCAATTCACCCCCCCCCCCCCCCCTTCAGTGAACTTTTCAGTTCTGATCTGATTTTTGCTTTTTCCTAGCCGATTTGCTCAGGTGAGCGATGTGGCCCCTGGGCCTCTTGTTTACTTTTTAAAACCATCTGAGATATAATGTCTTGTGATATGACTGTTTGGGCTAGTGCAGTTGTACCATCAACAGTCTTTACACAGCTTATACATCATCTTTGATCTGACTCAATAATTCAAACCACACAAGATGTGCATTCTAAACTGTGAAACCACATGACATTACCAGGAGTACACACAAGATGTTGTCAATTTGTATCCGGATATCTGAATCACCAGTTAAACAAGACAGTATAACATTTTAAAATTTCGTTCCGATGACATCCGGATACGGATATCTGAAGGTCCACTGTATATGTAACTTGTATTTTCATAACAAAGTCCAAATAGAATAATTTTTTTAAGTGAAAGGCATTGTAGAGTAGATGGACTATAAATGTATTTATATTTTTTATACGTTTTTAAGCTAAAGAACTAAATCTGGGCCAGTTCACAATAACTTAGCTGCTGCTCAATAGATGAATGAGATTTTATGCCTGTTGTGCCTAGGCTAGCATATAGGTGAAGACTGTAGTGGGTACCTAGATGTATGAAGCTGCTATGGTCTTAAACGTAGCACAGATAACTGCAGACCTATTTAAATATTGACATTATCACATGGAATTATGGAAGAAAAGAATATTCTGGGAATGTTTGACACAAAAATTTGCTTGAGAAATGTAAACAACTATACATCCTCTGGTCTGATTAAAAATTATTCATAGCTCACTGCACTTGCTTAATTTTATTGTTTTAATTTATTAAAATCAGAGAAGATTATTGGCTACCGGTAATTTTCTATATTGATCTGAAGTCTGATGTGATTATGTGTACAAATCTGCTGGACACGATGAATTGATAACATGAACTTTTTATACTATCACACACAGGCAGTCATGGCGGCATGACTTCACATTTTTTATATCACAGAAATGAAGTCCTTTACCTAATAAATCACATTGTATGCTTAGCTGTCATCTTGAGTTTTCTAGAACAGTAACAAATTTTGTTTGGTTTATAAGTTACCCTGGTGTAGTTTTTATTCTGCACCTATTTTGTGTCTTTACATGTGAGCCTGTAACTCAGTAACAAAATGCACATTATACATACAATTTTTAAACCTGTCCTAACTCTATAATTCTGCCACTGATTTTTATATTAATTTTCTTCATGATATGGTAACATAGGAAAAGAAAAAAAGATTTGTTTGTGAAACACTAATGCCCCCATATGGCAGTTTATGGCAAGGTTGAAAATTTCTCAAATGCATGTCAAACTCCAAAAGGTCAAGGTCAAAAGACTTGGTACCCAAAGGAAGGTCTTGTTACAAGGAATGCACCAGTGGAATATGAAAGCCCTATAGTTCTAACTTTTCAAAAGTTATGACCAAGATTAAAGTTTTTAAAAAGTGGGTCAAACTCTAAGGTCAAGGTCAAAAGGTAAAAAATATTTATACCCATTGAAAGGTCTTATCACAAGAAATACACATGTGAAGTATTTGGGCCTTTGTTCCAACTGT